ACCAATCTCCTGGCCTTGGTAGATGAACAAAGTACCAGTCAAAGTGGTTTGCAAAAGAGCCAATAATTTACCACTTTTGTTGTGATACTTCTTGTCACCAAATCTAGTGACACTTCTCGGCTTATCATGGTTTTCTATAAACACGGTAGACCATGCATCTGTTCCCTCAATAAAGTCACATTGGTCTTGGACTGCCTTTTTGAAATCCTTCAAGTTAAAGCCACGGTACCTAAACCTGTCGCTCTTGTCCCACCCGATATCAACAACATCAAATAAAAATATCATATTCATTTCATTCTCAGAAGCACTGACATACTTCAAAGCTTCCTCTCTAGAACAGGACCCTACTTCACCAACAGTCATGACATCATAATGTGAAGTGACCTTCTTAAAAATTTCCTTGTGAAATTCGTGGATTCGTGGTCCATTTGTGGTGTACTTTATACTAGGCTGGTAGAACTGGTCTTCAAAGACAATTGGCGTATCAAGGAATCGTTGATCTTTTGAATACAAGCGGGCTGTATCAATTCTAAACCCATCAATGCCACGGTCATACCAGAACTTCAACGCAGTGTCGTAAAGTGCGTTTCTGGTTTCTTCGTTTTCCCAGTTCAAATCAGGTTGGCTGGCGGCGTATAATCTTAAATAATATTCTTCGGTAGTCTCATCATACTCCCAAGCGGAGCCAGAGAAAAAGGACATCCAGTTGTTTGGCGGTAATCTGTTTCCCTTGTCGTCGTATCTTGGTTTCTTCCAGATGTACCAGTCTCTCTTAGGGTTGTCTAATGAGGATCTGGACTCTTTAAACCACTTGTGCTCGGAAGAGGTGTGGTTGATCACCAAGTCAGCGATAATTTTGATACCTTGCTCGTGACACCCATCAATCAACTTTTGCATATCTTCCATAGTACCGTACCTGTGGTAGATGTTTTGGTAGTCGCTGATATCATACCCCATATCGTCTTGTGGTGAGTCGTATTGAGGACTGAGCCAAATCACATCAACAAAGTCTTTCAAGTAGTCCAACTTGGAAGTAATACCGAGAATGTCACCACAAGCACCATCAAATGTTTTGTCACCTCCGGTGTATCTTCCTTTTAACCCTTTGGCAAAGGTAGCAGGATAAACTTGATAAACTGTTGTTTCTTTCCACCAGGTGTAGTCAATAGTCATTCTGAATTAGACTAAACAGACTAACTCGGAGTGATTGATAATTTTCAGTGAGATCCTTATAAAAGAATCCTGATTAGGTTCCTGCTGTAATTGACTCTAAATAGTTTGCCAACAATTCAAACTAGTGCCATATGGTTTTCATAGTGCCCTGTAGTTTTTCAAAAAATCAGTTTAGTGCCGTACCCTATTTCAATAATTAAACTTAGCCACGTGTTGGGAGTATAAGATGGATAAGATAATTACCGGTTACATCAGTTAGGTTAAAATTTAAGCGGCTTGGCTTCATCTTTGAATAAAAGAATGAGTGGTTAACTTCTCAAAGTGTGAGCTCACTTTCAAAGATGCAGCCTCTTCATACAAATACCGGTGCTTTCTTCCTTTACCTCACCGTGCAAAAGATTTGTGGAAAGCATGTAGTACAGAGGAATAATTTTACAGAATGTGCCTTTTTCAAAAGATAAAATGTGATTTTTTTCTCAATTAAACTTAGGGTGAACAATTAAGGTTATGAGCCAACACGTGTGAGTTGCAACCCTAGTTGACTTGCAAGCTTGTAGTTTTTTAAGCTTATCCCTTAGCGTTAATTGTTATTAATTAACACAATTATTTTCCAACTTAATTTGCCGAATATACTGTGGCCCAGTTTAACTCATTTGGCTCTTTTTGTCGTTATTTTTTGTATTTTTTTGCAACCAGAAAATTATAAATACAGCCCGTATTTTCCACGACAACAATCAAAACAAGACAACAAAACCAATAGAAAAATGCTGGTAGACAAAGGAAAGGTTGAAGAAAAGGTGGCAGAATTTGTTCTGGCCTCTCCAGCTACCGAAGAGAAAGACATTGCTTCCTCAGGTGTTGAAGATTATGTGGTCAAGTTCTTCCAGATGTCAGAAGATGCCCACAATGATGACCAAAGGGAAAAACATATGTCGTTAATGGAAGGTATCAAAACGTTTCCCAAAGCTATTGCATGGTCGATGGTGTTGTCTACGGCTTTGATTATGGAAGGTTACGATAGCAGTTTGTTGTCAGGGTTGTATGCCCATCCAGGGTTCAGAAAAAAGTTTGGCGATTACTACCCTGAAATTAACCAATACCAAATCCCAACAAAGTGGCAAACTGGGTTATCCATGAGTTACCAAAGTAGTCAGTTCATTGGTTTATGGTTGGCAGCTATTTTGTCTGACAGATTTGGCTATAGAAAAACTTTAATGCCAATATTGGCCGTGTCGGTTAGCTTGATTTTTATTCAGTTCTTTGCCCCTAATCGTAGCATATTGCTTCTTGGTTATATCCTATTGGGTATTGACTGGGGCTCATATCAAACAATCACGGTCATATATGCTGCTGAAATTGCGCCTGCCTGTTTGCGATTGTATTTAACAACATACATCAATATCTGTTGGATCATTGGCCAGTTGATAGCTGGCTGTGTTCTCAAAGGCATTTCTGGGATGAACTCACCTAATGTCTACCTTATTGCTTTCGGGATACAATGGATTTGGCCAATTCCTATTATAATTGGGATTTACTTGGCGCCAGAGTCTCCCTATTTCCTTGTCAGAAAGGGAAGATTACAGGAAGCAAAACGTTCTTTGTCGAGGATTTTGACAGCTAATTCATATCTAACAAACAACGAGTTAGTTGCTGAAAGTCTTTTGAATAGAATTCAATTAGTCGTTAGAGAGGAGGATGCGACGTTTGAAGGAACGTCGTTTAAGGAATGTTTTACAGGAACTAATTTGAGACGAACGAGAATTGCTGCAACCACCTGGGTGTTTCAAAAGATCACAGGTGCTGGGTTGATGAATTATTCGACCTACTTTTATGAGCAGGTTGGTTTAGCAACATCTAATGCTTTTACTTTGACAATTGTTCAATACTGTTTGGGACTTATTGGCACAATAGGTTCATGGTTTGTATCACAAAAGCTTGGTAGATTTTCAATCCTTTTTGGTGGGTTATGCACTATGACTGTGTTACTTTTCATCGTTGGCGGATTAGGGTTTTTGCCAGATAAAGCTGCAGATTGGGGTATTGGGACCTTGTTGTTGGTTTTCGTATTTGTCTATGATTTGAGCGTTGGCCCTATGATCTACTGTATTGGTGCCGAGATTCCGTCAGTCAAGTTGAGACAAAAGACAATTATGTTGGCAAGATTTCTATACAACGTGGCAGGTATTATTGTGAGTATTCTTTCAAGCTATATGTTAAACCCGACTGCTTGGAACTGGAAGGCAAAGGCAGGATTTTTATGGGGTGGTTTGGCAGCCTTTGCAGCCATAATTACCTGGATTCAGTTGCCCGAGACAAAAGGAAGAACTTTTGCAGAATTAGACAAGTTATTTGAACAAGGTGTTGGTGCCAGAAAGTTCAAATATACAATTCCATCTACTTTTGATGCCTCTGAGATGCGAAAAAAAATGGGCGAAGCGGGTATTAAAAATATTATAAAAGAAAGAAAGAATATTGATGATAAATCAGGAAGCAAAGGGAAAGTGGAGACAACTGCTTGACTGGTTTATAGAGTGATTACGAAGTTTAAAAACAGATAAGAGTTTGTTCCTATATCTATATGCTATTTCAAAATATTTGTTGCAATCTATAAAACTCATTGGTCTTAGACCTGATCCGTGAATTGTACAATTTCACACATCAAGAGTGGCCCATATTCCTTCCTTAGACACACAATTGGTACGCATAACCAATACCACAGCTTCTCTAGATTCCATAATTCCCATCTATTAATGCATGACGTAAATTTGCTTTATTGGTAGTCTTGTTCTTGTTATGTTTTACACCAACAGGAACCATATTCATCGACGCAGGTGCTACCATACCACTGGGGGAATTATAGCTTGGTCCACCTTGCGGAGGTTGGTGAAGACGGCCAGGAGCAGGTTGCATAGCACGATGTTGCGGGTGTGGTTGATATTGAGGTTGAAATCCAGAAGGTGCATATGTTTGATGCATAGGTTGTTGGTAGTATTGCATTTGTGGCAGCACTTGGGGTTGCATATGCTGCTGGTACATAGAGTGCGACATGGGTGAATGCATTTGCTGCGGCATCGTCTGTGGGTATACTGGATGCTGCATGGGTTGTTGCATGGGTTGTTGCATGGGTTGTTGCATGGATTGTTGCATGGGTTGTTGCATGGGTTGTTGCATGGGTTGTTGCATGGGTTGTTGCATGGATTGTTGCATGGGTTGTTGCATGGGTTGTTGCATGGGTTGTTGCATGGATTGTTGCATGGGTTGTTGCATGGGTTGTGGCATGGGTTGTGGCATGGGTTGTGGCATGGGTTGTTGCATGGGTTGTTGCATTGGTGACTGGATTGGTGACTGGATTGGTGGTTGGATTGGTGGTTTCATAGGCTGCTGATTCATATTCGAAGCTCTAGGTGACCTCCCCGACTCATAATGTCTTGTCTGCTGCATATTAATATCACCACTCTGATCGTGCGGCATTGGCGACTCCAGTCTCGTCAGATGCAGTGAGATTGGTGGCGAAGTAATCTTCGGCTGTTGCTTTACCATAGGACTTAGCCTGCTCTTATGTGCCATGTCCGACATCGCAACATCATTGGAGCCGCTGTGCATGTTGTGTACATTATTGGGAGTCAGAATAAGCTCAGAACCATACAACTCCTTCTTTCCATCCACCGGCAACATGACTGGGTTGTCATTGTGGGGGCTAGGAACCATATATGGAGTGGTTTGCCTTGGGGGGCTCCTTCTTCTGTTGGTTTCATGAAATTCCTTTGATGATATCGTTTGTGGGGAGTCAACTTGGATGCGAGGATCTTCATACATTGGTGACTCATTTACAGTAGGTGCCTCTGGTGCCATATCGTATGCTTGTGGAGATATACCCAACCTAGGAGAATTGTCTATATGATATTCTCTATGGACTGTTTCCATTGGTATCGAACTATCCACATCATTGGACAATACAACATCATGGCGATCCCCATGAACAGTTTGCCCATTGGCGACTTCAGGCAACGGTTTATTCATCTCTGCTCCGCCGGGAGAATCAACACTTTTCAAAAACTTGTCTTTGTTTGGAAGTAATGGCGTCAACCGCTCTTGAAATTGATCATTTGAATTATTAAGTCCTGGTGATAGTAATGAATCCCACGAACCCATATCAGGAGGAGGGAGATTAAGGGGTAGGACAGCATTTGTAAACCCTGCGGCTTGAGCTGCTGCAAGTTGGGCAGCCTCTGCCTGTTTTTGCATCTTCCTTTCCTTCTTCTTTCGCTTCTTCTCTTTAACAAGCGCATCATTGGAATCGATTAGCATACTCTTTACTTGATAAGTAGGGACTTCAACACCTGATCCATTAGCTTGTACTTGATCAAGTTTCTCTGGCATATGTACCTCCTCTTCTGGATGATGTCGCTCTGGTATCTGAATCTCTTCATCTGGATGAACTCTCTCCGGAGCCTCATACTGTCCTGGAACGGTACCACTGAAAGAGTTTTTCTCTGCAGGACTAGACCTTGGTGATATCTCCGCATTAAATTCAGATGGCGGCGCTTTTCGAGATGGTGTTGCACTCTTATTGGGAGCATACATATCCCCCACTGTTACTTTAGTAAACCTCGACGAAACATCACTCATATCAGCGTCAGCATCATTGGATCTACTCATTTGCTCTTGGCGCATCAACTCTCCTGCATCAACCGAGTTGGGATAGACAACATCTTCATCACCAAACAGCTGTTCAAACTGTTCATAAACGTCAATGAGTTCCTGTGGTAATACCGGCTCCGGCGATGCATCCCACTGGCTCACACTCTGTTCTTTATCTGGAGGCAATTCAGTTGGTACTGGAGGCAATGGCGTCAGCTTTTTCTTAATCGGAGGAGATGTGCTCTTCCTAGGTAATGGGGGCAATGGGGTGCTTTCATCCTTTTTACGCATCCTCTCCTTTTGCAATAACTTGCATTCACGAGAGTATGTTTCATCACTCATGGTTTTTTCTGTGACGACTATCCATTTTTGGAAACCCAAAACCTCAACCTCCACAACAATCGTTCTGCCAAACGTTTGCTTGATTTGCGGTGGCTGGTCACTAGCAAGAGAGGACAACCAAGCCCAAATGTAGTAATCTTGTATCGACACATCTTTGACCAGGATGCGTGTGATCAATGGCACATCATCTTTGGAGAGTTTGTGACTAATAATTGGCGAGGCCCATCCAGGCTTTAAGTTGAACAAATTCTCCACTTCATCGTCAGTGATTCTATCAATAATCCTTTTTGACTCGTCTGTGAATGCATCAACAATCTCACTCGTACTTTTCTTTTCAAACACATTTCTCAAAATGGTGTAATTCTCCTTTGAAAACATGTCCTTCTTATCAAATGTCAAGCTATGCCGTACTTTGCTAATCAAGTCGTATGCAGTGGATGATGGTTTCGTAGTAGTAACACATACACAAGGTATGCTGATACTCTTTGCACTTTCTCGTTCAGAAGATGGGGGGTATTGAGAAGTAACAAGCAAGCTCTGAAGCGTTTTGGGCAACTTTAATGTTTCAGCACTGTTTTCTGGCAACATTGCTCGCAAAAACGCCAACACCAAGTGAAACATCGCGTCAGTTGTTGTCTTCCAGCTGTTGACACCTTCAACAAAGTCGTGCTCCATTTCAATGCTATCATCTGAAAAGATAGACGTGCTGGTGCTTCTCTGCGGATTGAATGCCCAGAGACCTGCCATTTTACTGATTTTTCGTCCGCTTAAATGATTGTACTGAGTATTAGATGTAATGCTCAAAATCAAGTCAAGAAAGTCATAAACGATGGACGCATGAGCCGGGGAGGATAAACATTTGGGCATGATAGTTAAAAAGGCATTCTTGGGATAATTCAGCTCAGCCTCTTTCCTTTTGAATTCACAATACACTTCGTATCCGATAATTTCGCTATTTGGTAATCTCGCCCAAAAGTATTTAAGGCAACACATAAGGGTAAACTCATCTGTCGCCAGGCATATTTGTTTGCATATTGTAATGTCTTGAATTAATTCTCCTCGCGGAGCAAGCTGTAGTAGCAATTCATTCAATTTGGAATCTTTGATTTTCGATCTAAATGGAAGGAAAATATGTGGCGTCTTGGTCCCTCTCTTCTTTAGCTCTTGTGTGATCAAATGGAGAACTGATTTCAAGTTCTTTCTTGAAAGCTGGTCGTGTTGTATAATTCCGGAGTCAGTGGATCTTTTAAATGAACTGGGACTTTGCGGAGGAAGGCTCGGTAGTTCGAGATCGCGAAGATTCGGTTTCGGTTTTAACATAGTATGTCTTGACCATGAAGCAGGATGCAGGTAAATTTATCAACCGTTGGCAGCCTTCTGCTTTCTGCTTTTTGAATAAAAGTGTTGATCTACAACCGTGAATGCGGTAGCGCTTTGTTTTTATTTTTTTTTATTTTTTTTTTATTTTTTTACTTTTACCTTCTCGAGAAACAATGTGTGTATGGATCTCTTTTAGTTTCTAACGTGAATGATGTGTTTTGATAGATGATAGATGAGTACTAACCATAACCATATTCGCGTCTAATTTAAATATTCTCGTTTATGACACAAAAAAGAGGGAGTAAAGTAAACCTTTAACCAGGCAATATGTAACAGGCATCAGCCGGGAAAGGGGGAGGAGATAAGCTCAATTAATGCCACTTTCGTAACTATTGAAATTTATTGAATAAAAAATGTACAAGAAATAAAAATCTAGTAAATTATCAGCGATGCTCCTTCAATGTAGTGTTGTTGGAATAGTCGATGGGATCGAAGTTACATGGTCTTCGGATTTTTCAGTGTTTTCTGTAAGCTGATCTGCTTCTTGGATTATATGTGACAAGTTTTCAACACCACCACAGGACTGAACCAAGGCTGGACAATCTTTATGAGCCATCAATATGTTTTTCATATGTTGCAATTGAGTTCGTAGTTGAGCCACTTGTGCACTTGTTTGTCTATAGCCATCGGAGTAAAACGCCAACTCATCCTCCATTTTTTGCATCAATTGTTTCTTTCTCTGTCTACATTTAGATGCAGCAACTCTGTTTCTTTCGAGAAAGTTTTTGCGCTTCTCTTCCTCGTTATTTGCATCCTTTCGTTTACCACCAGCAGGCTTAGACCCAGTGTTTTTTGAGTCATCATCCGCATCACTAGGATCCTCATCGGTATCTTTTTCCTTGTTATCACCATTCACAGTCTCCCCTTTTCCTGGTTCCAGTTTTGCCTTTACAGCAGCCTTCTTGGGTTTTGTAGTACGCGGCTTTCTAATACCTGCCGATTTTCCCTTCTTTTTCTGCGACGAAATAGAGGACTTCTCTGTCAGATCACTGGTTGCTGAAGGACCATTTGGCTCGGGAAGAGGGACATCGGTCATTGTTGGCAAAACCTCATGCGAGGGATTGTGCGACAGATTATGCGATGCTTGATGTGATGAAGCGTGTGAATTTGGAATAGAAGTCGGCTCTATGTGCACATGAGGTTGAGGTAGTGGGTCTTGCTGTACCGGAAGTGGTTCTTGCGTAGCTATTACGAGTGGTTCCAAAGGTTGTTGGAGGAATTTCTGATTTTCAGGTATAACCGAAGGGGGAACCAATGTTAGTTGTTGATTATTCACTGGTGGTGATGTTGCTGTCTGCGGATGATGCTGATGTAAAGAGCTAGGATGGGGTTGCGGTTGTGGTTGCGGTTGTGGTTGTGGTTGTGGTTGTGGTTGTGGTTGCGGTTGCGGTTGTTGCTGTGACGGTGTGGATTGTGATTGCTGCATTTGTGAAGGTCCTAAATTATGAAGTCCATTCTGAGCCATTCCCATCAACATACTAGTATTACCCGAAGGAATCCCCAATAAACTAGACAATCCCGGTGTTATTGGTCCATTTAAAATCCCACCAGGAGTTGATAAACCAGTCCCCGCCGGACCACCAAATCCAAATGATAAACCCCCTGGAGTTAACCCGGATCTCAAATTTGACTCGTTCGGCGTTAATCCGGTTTTGCGTGAAACAAACTGATTATAGTTTTGTTGTGTAGGATGAAACTGGCCATTTTGCTGGGCCACCTGATTGGTCGGGTTATTTGACGCACTCAACAAACTATTCCACAAGTTTGTGGTAGGTGTTCCCGGATTTGAAGTGGCTTCCAACGGAGGCAATCTTCGTCCACCAGGCGTAAATAAAGGGGGTGTGATCCCTGGCAATTTTGTAGGATGTTGTCCCTGCAAAGGTAGATGAGGATGGTGTTGGTGGTGGTGGTGGTGCTGCTGCTGCTGTTGTTGTTGTTGTTGTTGTTGTTGTAGTTGCGGATGGTTTTGGTGCTCCAGAGGATCGTGTATCCCAGTGAATGTCAAATTGTTTTTATTTGTAGAGTACGCTGAGCTATTACCAGCGGTATCTATCTCGGAGCTAGACTCATTGCGTGATTGATGACCTGTGGTTGTGCTTAAGGACAACGACGATTCCTTCGTAGCGAATGACCTTTCAAAAGGATTAGGCTCTAGATCAAACTTGGATCTCAGCTGTTACTCGTTAGTATGAATGCTCTCTAGGCAATATAACCACTCATATTCAATACGTACTTCTCCAGACATGACACTCACTGTTTATACTTTGGAAGTCCGTTCTTCTGCTTTGTAATCCGAAACTAAAGAATAGTTCCAAATCGAGAAAGTGGCAAGGGAAAATAAATAAAAAAAACAAAAGAAAAAACAAGACGCAACAAAGTAATGTTGAGGTACCTTTCTTGTTTCTATCGTGTAGTTAGATATATTGTAGACTGGAACAAATATCGACTCAAAGATAACGCGTGTTTTGATTATCCTCTTTCCTCGAGATGTGCAGTCCTTTCTATTGACCTAAATCGGTTTCAAATTTGTGGAAGTTTTCTTTTATTTTTTTTTTTGCTGTGTTTAAGAAAAAGAGTAAAAAAAAAAAAATAGTGTCTGTGTTGGATGACGTAAGAAATTGTTTTCCTTTAAAGAAAATAAAAAAAGATAAAATTCGTTTCCCTCTGTTACGTTTCGCACTTACGTCAATGTCGTAAAAATATGTTGGACCAAAGGATTTTACGTCATATACAAACTCTAAAGGTACTAATCTATTGCAACTCCTTGACAAGTTCGTTCAATTTCTTCTTGGTATCCTCCTTAGCTTCTTTAGCCAACTTTGGATTCTCCTTCAAAGCGCTTTCAACTTCCTTTTCAATGGAGTCATCAACGGGTTGTGCTTGAGGAATTTTCTGTTTGGAGCCGGTATTCACCTGATTTTCCCTCATTTGTGGCCTGGTTGATTCATCAACTTTTCTTTTCCACCCTGTTTTCAAATGATCATTGATTTTGAATTTTGGGAAAGGGTGCGCTTCCGTGTTAAACACGTACTCTGTCAACGGAAGTTTATTTTCGTCATCAAATAACAAGTACAAATACTTTAAGGTTTCGGCAAACCAAAAGCTTTCTGTGTTATCTTTGAACTTTGGTGTGCCATCTGCATTCAAGCTAGTGACATCGCTCAACGAGCTAAAGCTAACCTCACCATGCTGATTTACTATCTTGGTGTATTTGATAAAGCTCTGGAAAATCTCATACCCCCATTGACGATACTTTTCATCTCCAGTCAATCTATAAAGGTAAAACAACGACTCAACAGTCTCTGGTCTCTGCAAATTATGCCTATCCAATGGCTTTATTCTAAAATCATGCGCGTTTGTTGTATCTTCGTTAAAAACAACAATTTCAGGAGACAATCCAGTGGGTGATACGTCATGATACATTTTATAACAGGTATATGTCAAATCTTCACCAAATTTGAAATCCAGTGCTCTTTCCTCATTCCACCATTGCTGCTCTTGCGCTTCTTTCAATGGCAACCCATTGGTGGCGCCTACAGCTAACAATCCACCATAGAAGCATACTAAATGATCCATTTTCGGTGAGAATGGACCGCCAATACCTCTCTCTAATTCACCAACAAAGGTCAACTTGTTTGGATAGGACTGTCTGACTAGGTGTTTCTTTACCCCTTCGACTGATTCACGATACAAATCGTAATATATCGGTTCTCCCTCGCTTGTTTGTAAATACTGCTTCAAAAGATACTCATAGTATGAATCGCCCCTGCTTCCTAATCTGATCAAGTTACCTTGGTAATTTCCAGTGTCTGCATTAACATAAATAGGTACCAACCCATCTTTCGGTTTATTTGACTCGAGAACTTGCATCACTTTCTCTGCTTTCTCCCACCAATCAATCTCACCGGTTAGTTTAGCCAAATACTTCAACTCTAATTGTACCGTGGCGGCCTCTGCGGTAGAAGATGCACCACTATCCATATGATTCTTAATACCAACGCCGGTTTTTAAGTTGACCGAAGAGTAAGGAATTCCCGAGGGACTATCATACGCACCGTGCAAGGAATTGGCCAAACCAACAGCTTTGTCGAGATAGACGTCATCATTCCCACTCAAATGAAATGCTGCTAGCAAACCTCCCAACATTCTTATAGTAGTTTCAAAATTGTTTACTTCGTAGTCGAATTTGTAGTCCAAATCGTCTTTAATCCATTTTCTAGCGCGGTCAACTTCTTCTTTACAATCCATAATCATCAATGTGTCTATAGAGTCAACAACCATCCATCCCAATGGCTTTGGACCCATATTTTCTCCTTTATGCTTGATAGGATGGTACACATCGTATCCCCAAGCATACTTTTCGTACGAATGCCAAGAGTCCAACATTGCCTGTCGAACTTCTTGTTGTGCGGTTTTCCATGACGGGGTACCTGAGTTGAAAACATTAAACACAAGCGAAGAGTCTGATGACAGGAATAAGTGATTTTTAGCAAGATGGTAGACAAGGTACAAGCCTAGTGAGTATATGAAACCTTTCAACAACATGAATAGCTTCTTCCTTCGTTTACTATGTGGTTGTTTTGGATGGAACGGTGATTTATCTTTGTAGTAGAGTGGTAGTGACTTTGATACGGGTTTGTCTTTATACGATGATTGATTGTTGCCTGTTGTTAAGTTGCTGACTCCGAAATTAAAAGACATTAAATTATGTTGTTGAGTGGTATACTTTGAAGTATAGTGAGTTAAAAGGGATTCTTTAATGGCTTAGTCAATACCATCAAATGTGGTGCAATTCAGTCCACAATGATCTCAATCTTATTTTTGTAGAATTGTCTTCACAAGGTGTGAGTTTGAGGACAACTTGTACTCTTGTGGCTGTAGTGATCTCCCAATCTCTTTTCTTTTTCTTCTTCTGGAGGAAAGTTTTTGACAGTGAGTTCTTTCTCGTGTAGTGCTACCAGTTGCAATTAAGATAAGGGGCCACCTTTGAATTTACAAGCAGAAGGTAAAATACAATCTTTGGTTATATGCATAACTTTATATAGCTACTATCTATTGTATAGCATTAACCTTGATACTTTGCACTGCTTGTGGACTAGTTTCTGTTGTTCTGTGTTCGCCCAACATCGATGGAAAAAGCACAAATTGCAGTTGGCTAGTTGTAAGTGGTCAGGTTACTCTTTTACACTCTCAAAGGGGGGTGACAATACTGTCGTCCAAACCACGTGTGTCTATTGGTAAATTTACAAAATATTGTCTTAAACGCCATAAGTCGCTGACACGCCTCTCATTTCAGCCGCATGAATACCAGCAAGTAGAGAAAACAAAAGACTGAGGTTTGAACTGCAGGCCAAAAAAAAAAATAAACTATCCAGTTTTCAACCTAGAGCTTCATTGCTACTAAGCAGGGCAGATGTAGGGTATATTATATATATATATATATATATATCTTGAGTAAGTATATGCATGTATAAATATCCGTGAGCAAAGTTCCATGCCTTCTAGTCTATTAAATAACACAGGCAAAAACCAGATTGTCTCGGATTTTGACAATGACCAAAAAATATGACATTGTTATTCAATTTAAAACTAATAAAGGAGAATAAAAAAGAAGAGAAATAAAGGGTAAAGAAAAACAGAGCCAAAGAAAAAAAAAGGGAAAAACAGAAAATTAAAAATCCCAATTTTACCGATTGTTATTCTCAAAATTTTACGCATTATTGATCCAACCAAACTTCAGCCGTTTACTATCCCCTCCTAACTCAATTTTATCTACTCAACTGACCACTACAATAGAAGGGGAAGAGATACGTCCGCTTTGTTTCAATTTCTATTTTTTTTTTATATTTTTAATTAGCTATTCATTTCCACTTGTTATTTTATTTTATTTTAATTTTATTTTATTTTCCTCAAGCTTTGCACAATGTCGGTTATAAACAACCATCAACAGTCGGTTGAATATTCTTCATCCCCAAACACTCCGCAGACAAGCGTACAAAATAATGCAAGTAATGTTGAAGTGTTACAGGTGAAGGAGGAAGGTCGTGGGTTAGATTCCCCCAACGACAATCATTTTTTCGAGCGCCGGGGATCCGAGGATGACAATATGGACCACAATCACGATCAAGATTCGCTGGCAGATGGACCTCAACATCGTCAGTCCAATAAAAGGTCGAAAGTGACTAGGAGATCGATTGCTTGTAAAAGCTGTCATGCTTTAAAAGTTAAATGTACCCCCTCGGATCCCCTGGACCCGGGCAAGCCCTGTATCAGATGTCTCAATGCTAATAGAAAGTGTGAAATTGACCTTAATCAAACTAGAAAAAGGAGAAAAAAATCAGAAATACTCGAAGCAAAGAGAAGAGAGGCTGAAGAAAAGCTCAAGAACTCGGGAGAAGTAGACTCGAGTAATAATGGAGAGCAAAGCCCATTGAAACACAGTGCGGAAAAGACACACAGGAAAAGCTTAGGTGATGATCACTCAAAGTTGCCTTCACCTACTCGATCAGCTGCTCCTTCGCAGTTTCGTATGCAAAATTCAGCAGTGCCGCCAATATCTAGCAACTTGAATCCAATAAACACCCAGACACAGAATATATCACCACCTAAATCAATAAACGATGATGCTACAAAGATTCAGTCCAGCTCGTCGTCACCTGCGATGCTGAAAGATGAGGAGATCGTCAATTTGAAACAGAGAATACTCACCTTAGAGACCCAATTGAGCCATAGAAACCATTTTCATAGAAAGACCCTCACTGACTCTCAATCGGATACTCCGTCGGAAATGTTTTCTCCACCATTCGTTTCAAAGTCTGACCTAGAACAAGAGATTGCAACCTTGGCAGAATCTTCATCGAAATTGACTGATTTAACTAATGAACTCAATGCTTTGGCTAATAGGAGAACTAGAATGCTCAAGAGTAACACACCACCCGATGTTGTTTCAAAAGGATTGATAACTTTACCAGAAGCAGAAAGAAGGTTGCACTTGTACAGAAGTAGGATTCTTTCCTTTTTGCCATTCATAGATGTGCCAGATGATATAACTGCCGATGCTTTACGGACCGAACAACCTTTCTTGTTCAATGCCGTGATGGCAGCTAGCAACACTGTCAATACCACAGTGACAGACTCAGACATCGACCATGCTTTGGCGTTGGATAACGAGGCAATTAGATCTGTTTGTGATGAGGTGATGGTTGTTGGTAGAAAATCGGTGGAATTGATCAAAAGCATGCTCATTTTGACCTTATATTATAATTCTCCAGAGCTATTCAGACAACGTCGGTATCATTTACTCAACAATATCAGTGTGTCACTTTTGCATGATTTAGGTATAGTGGCAAGACCATCATATTCGTTTGATAACAGTGACGGCTCGTTGAAGCAAAACCCAGAACAAAAAACGAGTGAGGAGTACAAGTCGATTGTGTTGATCATATACTTCAGCACTGTCAGTATATGTCTTATCCTCAGAAGGGCAATTTACATCAAATGGACACCCTATGTTGAAGAATGCTGCATAGCTCTCGAAAACTCTTCGGAGGAAAAGTACCGCAAATTGGCATTATTTGCCAGAATCAATGCCGCTTTGGAAAAGATTCATCATATTATTCACTCACCCGAAATAGGAGATAAAAGAGTGTCCAGTTCGCAATATATGATTCAGGAGTTACAACGGCAATTGACCGAGTTGCGGAAAAAGGTTAGCGACAATGATCATGTATTTTTGTCGTACCTATACTCGATTGAGGCATACTTGCACGAGCCTAATTTGAGCAACATATTTAAACCAGACGAATCACAATTGAGCGCAGTTGCAGTCAAAGCTATATCCAATTGTACAAACTCGTGCCTCGCAGCATTGAATGAATACAACAAGTTAACATCAGACCAAGTTGCGCAAATGCCTTTGGCGTTTGGCTCCAGAGTGATGTACACGGGTGGAATGTTGCTTCGATTGAGATTTTTAATCTTGTCCCTTCCATCACACATTGAAAAAGATTTGGTCCCTCGTGATGCAGTAATATCGATTCAGAAAGTGAGCAACTTGGTCGAGCAGGCCCATAACCAACATCCAACAAATCACTTGTTGAAAAAGACTAGGTTGGTGTTGCAGTTGTTCATTCAAACGTATGCTACTCAAGTCAATGATTTGCTTCGCAAAAATGGCGAAACTCCTCAAAACTTTAAGCCAACACAGCGAGACGCAGTAGAGTTGAAGAGGGTTGCATCCAATTTTGAAGAGTCGAGAGGTAGACAAGGCTTGATGAGAGATGAAGTGCACAGCGTTCCATTGGAAATTCTTTCTTATGCGGCATCATACCGACGCGAAGGGAATCCGGGTCAGCGACCACGTACAGTTTCTGAATCAAAGGACAAGACTAAAAATGCCACCACATTTTCTCCTCAGCCCATTGGCTCTCAAGTTCCGTTTACCTCTGCTGGCAACACTCCGGTTAACCAGGTGACCTCGCCACCACCATCGTCCATACCTTTCCAACCTCAGCAACCACCAGTACTTCAACCGTCGCAGCAACTCCAACAACAACAAGCACCTCTTTTGCAGCAAACACCGAATGGCGATTCAGGTCTCACACCACCATCAGTAGTGGCCCCAGCCACTGCCAGCACATTTGACCCGACAATGCAGCATACAGGGCTTACGCCAGGCAATTTTGACTACAGACAATTTAGAATTCCGCTGTTATCAAATCCAGCAGGTGTCGGCAATACGGGCCATAACTTGTTCAACAATAATGGCAATGGTAACAACGGCAACAACAACAACATACCCAACCCTCACCTTGCCAACCCTGACCAATTGGAAAATTCGTACCTGGTGTTGAATGACGAATTCTGGTCAAACTTATTGAGCACTGACTCTACTGATAGGATTAATTTCAGCAGTAATAATACCAATTGGAACCAGATGAATGATGAAGTTTTTTTTATGGAATAGAATGTATACAAGAACCCTGTAATAATTATTAAACGCGCGCAAAAATGGTTTTCTTCTTCAAATGCACGTAGTAGTTTGTTGGACTTGATAATCACTTACATGGCACGAGACAACTTTAATGTACTTGACATTACCCGTATAATAGGAGGCATTCTATTCTTTAATGCTTTACTTTCGTACTGGTTTACATCTAGCACAACATGGGGGTACCACGGTAAATACATTGATTGGAGGTACTGGCACAACAAGATATTGGAACCAGAACTACATCTCAGTCTAACCGAATTATCTTCATACACTGGCAATGACAATGGACAAATACTACTTGCAATTAATGGCAGCGTATATGATGTATCCTCAAATAGGGCTGTTTATGGACCCAAAGGGTCGTATCATGGTTTGGTTGGGAAAGATGCAGCTCGAGTGTTTGTAACTGGATGCTTTATGAACCCCGACGAGTACACCTATGACTTGCGCGGGTTGGATGAAAAAGAATGCGAAAGGGATATCAGAGGTTGGCAGCGGTTTTTCGAAACTCATCGTGACTATTGGTACGTAGGGAGGGTCAATTTGACTTTTGATTTTAGCAACGAGGATCCTCCTAGTCCTTGTGAACATATGAAGTTCCCTGGGCACTCGTGAGGACGATGTGGTGAATTCTCTACTACTTTAATGCATCAAAAAATAATTAGATCAAGCTTTCTCTATACAGCTATATATCAATCAAGGGCCCTTCTAAACACTTCCAATAACTCATCGGGGTCTTCCAAACCGATACTGACTCTAATCAAGTTTCTATCGACACCCCATTGTGCTATCTCATCCAACTCTTGGTAATGAGCGAGAATAGCATAAGGACACGCCAATGTGAAATTGGTACCCAAGGACGGTCCTTTATAAAGATCAACTTTGTTGAAGAAGGATACAGCCTCTTCAGGTTTGTGAAACAAGAATGAAACCAAACCTCCGTATCCTCCGTTTTCGTTTTTAATTTCATCATAGTACTTCTTCGAAGGCCCAATACTTGGATAGTAAACTTGTGCTATTTTCGGGTTCTTCAAAAGCAAACCAACCACCTTTTCAGTTGTTGCGTCTATAATGCGAACACGTTCAACAAAATCTCTCGAGTTACGCTCCAACCACAAGGCATCTTCATCCCAAAATAAGTCCTCATACTCCTTGTCAAAAAACGCCTTCAATTTCAGATAATACCTAGATGCGGGGTTTAAAATAAGAGAGCCAGCTAAAACGTTGGAATCACCGGAAAACACTTTTGTCAATGACGATGCAACCATATCAGCGTACGGCAAAACGTGGATATTTATGAAATTCCCCACAGTTTCATCCACAACAATAGCAAAGTCGTATTTGTCTGCCAACTGCCTAAGTTTTTTCAAATTGGGTGTTTTCAACAAAGGATTGGAAGGACATTCACAAAACAATGCCATTATCCTCAACCCATCTTCCAATTCCTTTTCCAACTCGTTCAACGACTCGTCGTCACCCATGCCCAAAAATTTAAGTCCCGGTCCAAACTTTTTCAAAATGCTCAAGGTATCGGTGTAAGGAAACCCAAAACATACAGAGATTCCCGGTGTTTCAGATATATTCAACAATGAATGATGTGCAAAGAAGATGGAAGCCATTCCCGATGGACACAAATACACGTCAGACGGGGTCAAATGCTTGCCTCTTCTCAGATGCTCTATGTCCTCTGAACCATGGTCACTGTCTCTATCAACTTTCCCACAAATACGTCTCCGTAATGCCCTTTTTGCCTCCTTCGCAAATTTAAAATCCAAAACACGGCCATATTTCTGTTCAATAAACGTGTTGAACTCCTTCTCAACTTCTTCATTCACCTGGCTATCAGAGCTACGGCCACTGTTCCGAGACGCAGTGATTGATGGCGACCTCGATTGTATCTTTTGAGCCTGCAACGCCTGTTTCCAATTTCCCTTTAGACCATAAATCTCCTTATCGTTCTCAAATAACTCTTTCAATACATACTCTCCCATGCGGGAGCTGATCACTTCACCCGAATGCTGCCAGTAGTTTTTGGCTAAGGGGAAGAGATCTTTTGGGAAAAACACCACACAAATAGTGGTGCCCACTTTTGTCAATCTTTCGTAATCATTAACAGGTTCGCTGGTACTCAATTGTAATAGTCTAATATGTACATCACTCTCTGACTTGTCTTTGATGAATTGACGACACCTTTTTGCAACTTTGTAACTTGGAAACACTAAACACGCTTCTCCCTCACGTCCGTATTTTGCCTCGAGTTTCCTGCATAATTTCTGGATAATTTTATGAATAAAGAATCTCGGATACCCCGAGTTCATTTTACTGGTAACCCACTCTTCGCCCTCTTCGTACCCTACTGTGGCTTCCCAAGTAGGTAATGTCACAGAAACTGCATGCGGTACATTTGGAATGGGTACCCCTACTTCTTGCGACGGCATTGATCTGATCACACTTTGATTGATGGGAACAATTTGGGTTTCTGTTTACCAATTGAGCCTCAGTTTCTTTTTATTTTTTTTTATTTTTTCTCTCAGTTTGACTTCTTTGGGTATGACTCTTTTTCTAAAATAACCAGAGAGATGCTTGTTTGCACTGACACTTTTTGGCAATAAAGTTGCAACTTACCAAAGATCTTTGCCTGATTTTACAAAGTCCAATAATAAAATCCGCGTATATATTTATTTATTTACACCTGAACTTTTTGTCCCAACCCTCCAAAAAGGGACTGGGCAATGCAACTAAAAAGTAGTACTACCTAGCACCAATTTCTCAATCTCACGACTTGATACAAGTAACAGAACCTTCCTTTAATCTCTTCAAATCCGATTCATTGACTTTACCATTTGTTTTAGCATCTTTAGCAGGTGCAACCGATGCGCCAGCTCTGTTATGCTGCATGTGTGATTGGACCAAGTGGCCGGCTGCTAGTGCCGAACAGAGAGAAAGTTCTGCTGCCAAGACCGCCGACGCAACAATCTTTGCCAACTGCCTAGCATTGTCACCAGGGTTGGTTGGATGTGGGCCGCGTACACCCAATAAGTCCAACATTGCACCTTGTGGTTCCAATATAGTACCCCCACCAATGGTACCTACCTCGATCGAAGGCATACTTACCGATATTTGCAAATCGCCAGTAATTTTATCCTTGTTCATTAAAGTAATACAGTTGGAACTTTCAACATTTTGAGCTGGATCCTGACCACATGCCAAGAAAACAGCAGTGACCAAGTTTGATGCATGCGCGTTAAAACCGCCAACAGACCCAGCCATAGCCGAGCCCACCAAGTTCTTACTCACATTTAACTCAACCAAAGCATCGACATCTGATTTCAAAACCTTTGCAACAACATCAGCTGGGATTGTGGCAGCGGCTACAATTGACTTACCTCTACCTTCTAGCCAGTTAATCGCTGCAGGCTTCTTATCCGAACAATAGTTTCCGGAAACTGATATAATTTCCATATCTTCATAGCCACATTCCTCTACCATGTACTTCAAAGAGTGTTCAACACCTTTGGATATCATATTCATACCCATGGCATCTCCTGTCGTGGTTCTAAAACGAATAAACAAAAGACAACCGGCCAAGGATGTTTGAATATGTTGCAAACGGGCAAACCTCGAAGTGGAGTTGAATGCTTTTTTTATTGTCTTTTGACCCTCTTCGGAATCAATCCATAACTTAGCAGCACCTGCTCTAGTAAGCGTCGGGAACCTCACACATGGGCCTCTAGTCATTCCGTCTTTGGTCAACACGGTCTCTACACCACCACCAGAATTAATAGCTTTACAACCACGCATAGTAGATGCGACTAAACACCCTTCAGTTGTTGCCATTGGGATATGGTATGGTTTGCCATCAATGATTAATGGACCCGCTACACCAACGGGGATCGGCATGTAACCAATGACATTTTCACAGCATGCACCAAATACTCTATCATAGTCGTAGTGCGCATATGGTAAGCGATTGGTTTCCAATACAGGTGCTTTTGCCAACTTGGCAATTGCTTTACGACGAACAACAACCGCCCTCTTGTTGCTTGCCAATTGCTTTTCCAATGCATAAAGGGGAAGCTTTCCTCCGGCAACCAATGAAGTGACTTCATCGTCGTTCAAACTTTTCACATTACCCTCCTTTAGAATCTTGATACACTCTTCGAGTGGCAACTGAGAAGTAGAAGGTTTAGGCTCTTGTTCCTCCTCTGAATCTTCGACATCAGCAACTGTAGCTGCAACCGGCTCAGATATCGATTTACGAATCTGTGGACGTGATATCTCTTTATCAAGCAACTTGTAAGTGGCACTAACTTGATATCTTGCAGCGTTGAGGAAATATATGTTGGTAACCAATGATATTCCAAAACAAAAAGCCAACACCTTGGACAATAATCTGTCTTGTATGGCGACACTGATCTTGCTCAAAATCAAGTAGACAGCATCCTCAACCTGAGCAATGAACCCCGATGGCATGTAGAACCTCGTTGGCAAAATTGTTAAAACAGTTCCAAATTTTCCAATAGGGATTTCGCTTGATATAGATTCTGTTATAGCTGGTGCTGCTCCAAAAATTGATCCAAAAGTGTTGAAATCGATACCAGCGTCAGACGTATTGTATAGCCACGAACTTCCTAACCAAAACACATGGAATGCAATGAACCCCAAACTCATGGCAACTTTGAACGAAAGAATGGAATAGTCCTTTGATGAGAAAAAATTAGTTTCATTAGGATAATCAATTGAGGAAGATTGTTCTGCAACCCTTGCTGCAACCAAAGACGAAACACCATCTTCTTCCAATGCGTCTTTCAAATCATTGGCTCTTCTTGCTCTATTGATTTCTATCTTTAAGCCCAAAATTGCTGAAAAAAAGGTGTAAACCAAGATCAAATCAAATGCCAATATTAACGAGGCAAGGATGCAAAAGTTTCGCAAACCTGTGAGGTGATTCCCGTATGCAGCACATGCAAGCATGGCCCCAATAACAACTAAATGATCACGGAACATACTCAAGGTATGAGAAGAAACAGCTTGGGAGACAATATCTGGAACATCATCTGGGGATACTGTCGCCGATTTCAGAATCAACCCGGCAATGGAAACCTTGTGCTTGAATCCAATAATTGCGACAAGAAAAGGAATTCCTTCCGAAAGACTCAAAAATGACACCTTAGTCTGAAGAACTTTGTTGGAAACCACTAATGCAAATAAGAATGCAAATGTAGATGATACCAATGTTGAAAACGCCAACCAGAACTTGGAGCCAATCTTTCTCATATCGTAAAACACTTTTATCAAAGTGTACCACATTGCCAAGTAAGCCACAAAGATCAATACAACATCAAACCTGTCTGCATTTCTAATTGACTCCTGCACCTTGTAAGCCAAAAATTTCAAACTGTCATAAAATCGAGCGATTTTGTGGTCGTTCCTCACTTTCCACTGAATACCATCGTTGTCTATTTTGTTAATATTCAGCAAGACGCTGTCGACTTGATTTGACTCTACTAAAAGTATCTGTTCATTCCCACTAATAATAATGGAGTTTGGTACCTTGGGAATCGAGTCGTGGAATCTTCTAAACCTCAATGGAACTAAAGTAACATGATTTGCACTTTCGTACTTGGCCACCTCTACCTCCTCTGAACCAACAGGTATCCAATCTTTCAACTTCAGTCCAGAACCAGCAGCATGGTAATAACTAAGCCCATTTTCGTTTGTTATAGAGGACAAGTCAGGAACATAATCATCTATGATGGACAAATAGGCAATTGAGGCCAACAATGCCGGTACGACGATGAAATGAATAGGCTTATGGGCTGCAGTTTTCGCTAAATCTCCCGTCACCTGCTGTAAAAAACTGAGCATGTCGATGTGGTTAAGTCCTAACCGTGATTTAATTGATGATTTTTCAATGTGGGTCTTCAAAGAGTAACGAAGTTTTTTTTTTTTTTTTCTTTCTGCCTAATTTGTTTTTTTTTATTTGGCTTTGATACGTGTCTGTGCTCGTTTAGGTGTTTTGAGACAAGCAGCGGGTTCGATGATAGACAAGAAGGGGGGGAATGCTAGGGGAGTGGCTGTGTTTATTCAAAGCTGTGACCAGTTCTTGCCGTCTACGATATGCTCTCAAAATGGAGCTTCGTTCCTTGTTGGATTAAATCTAAGAGTGCTCGTATAGAATTGGCGGAGAAAGATGACAGTAATGAGGGGAAAACGTGCTTGTAGTCTAATTAGCAATAGTTTGAAATTTAGCAAATAAAAGTAACAAACGCTGGGAGGGAAGACAGATGTTCCTGTTTGATATGAGAGAAAAGAAGTGACTGATGACAATAGATACTTAGAAATCTGTCATAACAAAAACCCACGTTGTGCTAACAAAAAAAGAAGCTTCGACTACACTATCAAAATCAATAGAGATATATTTTAATTTTATTCGTACCGCTATAAGAATGTTCTGTCTACTTTAATGAAACCAATTTGATATCAAAGGTTAATTCAGAGTTGGCTGGAATTCCTGGCAACGCTTGGGATCCGTAACCCATTTTGGCTGGAATTATAACTCTTCTTTCACCCCCAACGCTCATACCAGTAACACCGAGATCAAATCCCTTGATACACTCGCCTTTACCCAACTTAAAGCTGAATGGCTTTCCAGATGTGTTTTTGTCAAATGTTTTACCATTCTTTAACTTACCAATATATCTGATGCCAACTTTATTGCCCGACTTTGCAGTTGGGCCTGAACCAATCTTTCTGTCCTCGGTAACAACACCGCCCAACAAGGTCTTGGTTGGGTATTTCTTATCTTTTGGGGTCTTGTCTGATTCAGCGTTCTTTTTCTCCTTCTTGTCTTTAGCCAAAGAGGATCCAGTAGGACCTTGCTCTAATTCCTCAGAAAATTGAACTGTCTTTTTTTCTTCCTTCTTTGCGGCATTCTTTTTAGCCTTTTTTGACTTTTTTGATTCTTCTTCTGGTGCTGCTCTTTTTTTGTTTGCTTCTTCTTCGTCCTTTATTTCTTGAATCTTTCCTGGCTCTGCGGATTCTTCTCTATCGTCTTCATCTTCATCCTCATCGTAATCTTCATTAAAGTCAATACCATGGATAATTTCATCTTCATCAGGTGACAAATCATATTCGTCATCGTACTCACCGTAGTCTTCTTCATCCTCGTCGCTTTCATCGGCTGGATGCTCAACATAGTTACCAGTCAAGTGAATTGGGTATGAACCGGTGACAACAAAGTATACTTCCTCATCTGGTGTGATTGTAAGATCAAGTGTTTGTTGGAATTGTTGTTTTGGGGATAAAGTACAAACAACGAATTCAGCAATGTCATCGTCCAAATCATCCTCTTCGTCATCGTCCTCTTCTTCGTCCTCTTCTTCGTCCTCTTCTTCGTCCTCTTCTTCGTCCTCTTCCTCTTCCTTTTCATCAATTTCGATTCTATCTTTTGATCCATTAGCTTTTTCAACAACTTCCTCTTCCTCGTCTAATTCATCTAATTCATCTTCCTCATCGTCCTCATCGTCCTCTTCATCATCCTCGTCGTCATATTCAGGGAATGCAGCCTTTTTCAATATCCTCAAAGTAGAAGGTTCTGCCTTATCATCTTCTGCCTCTGGGTCTAAAGACGCCAAAGTAAGTCTAATGGTAACAGGAAAATCCTCCTCAATTGCAGGAAGAGGTTGGAATGGCTTTAATGCCAAGTTATAAGTGGCTATAGGAGTTAACTGAGACATGGTTGTGGTCCTATAAAGTGGTTCTTCTATTGCGATAGGGAAGGGGGTGGGAAGCTTTTCTTTTCTTTTTTTTTTTGCATGCGATGGCACGATGCGGTGGAAATTCATAGAATGTTAATTTTCAGCCAGCATTCACGTGGTCTCCCTGAAGTCAACCACTCAACACCACAAACGTAGCAACAGCAATCTGCCTCACCCAGGAGGACTTTTCGCTCTACTATCGAACCTACATTATACTCTTTACATTAAATGAATCCGTTTATTGGATAAATTGTAACTAAAATACAGTATTTTCCAACTAGGACCGCATTACATTCTTCATCTCTGATAATTGCAAATGCATGCTAGTCCATTTTAACCCCTCTTACCTTCATAACCGCGTGTAAGTTTTATTTAAAATTTCAACAAGTGTGGTCTGTCACCGTTCTTCAATGAGAAAGAAGCGGCCAAGTATTGTTTCAACAATGGGGTCTTTTTAATCTCAGACAATAAAGCAGCATCAACAGTCTTTTGGTCAGCAACTCTTTCTGATTTGATTTCCTTCTTTGCTGGAGCTTCGTCAAAGAATTCAGCTTCGGACTTCTTTGATTTTGGCTTTTGTTCCCTGGCAAAGTATTCAACGTTGAATTTGGATACATCAACACCTTCAACATTTACGTTGGTAGAAGTAGCAATGACGTATCTAGCATTGACTCTTCTCAATGGGACACCATTAACCTTGAATGGACCAGAGACCAACAAAGTGTTGTCTTCCAAGTTCTTCAAGTATACAACTCTCTTACCTCTGAATCTTCCAGCCAACAAGATTAAAACGGTACCTGGAACTAAAGAGGCACGCAATTTTTGTGGACGAGAGGTCTTTCTGGTTTGCCTTGGGACGGCAGCGTCTTGAGATTGATACCACTTTGGTGCCTAAAAAGAAAATGTTAGTATTCATTACTTGAAATGAAGTTGGATGTAGGAGCTAGGTGTCTATTGGAAAGTTGAGGTCACGACAGTTCTGTTATCACTTGTCCTTCATTGGTTGGAGCATATACTGTCCTGATCAGTCATCCTAATCAAATTGCAATTTCGATGGTGAAGGTCGTCATATTCTTCACGCTCTTCCCAAAATTGGGTCCCTCACTTTTAAAGACGACTTCTTTCAGTTGACATATTCCACACTCTCCATCCTCTCATACCTGTCTTGGTTAACATACTGCTGAACTCATTTTTGATCTTGATAAATGTATGATATTGGGAAACACTATGGGTGAATATTCTAAAATTTTTTTTTTTTTTTGCTTCTATGATAAACTTTTGGTGAGAGCGAAAAAAAAAAATAGAGAGAGAAAACAAAACAAAAATTTGTTAACTATGAGTGTACAGTAGAAAAGAATTGAATGGCGGCAGCCCAGGCGAGAAGGTCGAACAAAACTTAGCATTGGGGCGAGAAGCCAGCCGACTGATGACACTGACGAGCGCGGTGCGTGAACGAGAGAGAAAAAGTAAATGGCTATTTGTGTAACAAAATATCTTCATCAAAGTTGTTAGGGCTAAGCCCTAATCATATTTTTCTTTTGCAACCAATTTATCGTTAGTGCTGAAAGGAGAACCACCAAGCGGTTGGCCGTGTGGCTCGATAGCCAGTTCTAGAAAGGAGCAAAATACATAGGTTCTTGTAAATCAGCTTGGTCAAGTTGTGAAACAATTCCCAACAAAGTCTTCGGTGACGACTCGTAAAGTTAGGAAGAAATTAATCTATTAGGTAGAAACCTCACGAGTAATGCATCAACAACAAGTTTGAAAAGGGTTGTAAAGCTGGCATTATGTACAGTTACTAGTTGCGAGTAATAAGCTATAAAATATCTAGTGATGAATGTTTTAAGGTGTTGGCTAATGTCTTGACCTTACATTTTTGATTTATACTAACTTTTTGCACAAAACTTACTCAAAGTTAAGGACGATCTAACAATTTGTCTTCACTTTCACTAAAGACTCTTTCTTACTCGAGAGGTACTAAAACACAATATATCCGTCACTTAAAATCGTGCTGTTCATTTAAAGATCGTAATGGCAAAACAGAGTACAACTTTTAGCTCTTTATCTACACAAAAGCGTATTGCAAGACTACTGAAAACAAATTACATTAATACACAATAAAACATACACACACGCCGAGAACCTACACTAGGTAAAGTACTTCAAATTAATGATGACTTCACCATGTCCGGTAGGTATCGATATGTTCTCATTGACATTGATGTAGTGGTCCAAATTAACCACCGCCTCTGCTACAGTCTCATTCTTTCCAAAAGTATGTGGTTGTCTCAAAGTAAGGATCAATTGTCCTGTAGGAGCCGACTTAAACGGAACACTCTCGCTCCATTTGTAGGAGTTTGTATTCTTATCAAGTTTAGTAATTCTCGTCTTGAACAATGCTTTTTCCTTTGTTGATGTTTTCAACACGGCCTTGACATCCAAGGTTGGGTTAGAGTAGCCCTTGGCTTCGACAATAGTAAGTCTACCTGGGATAGCACCTTCACCGTGCACACTTGCAGCAAAACTAGAAGCCTCAGTTGCACTACTAGCGTTTCTATTGTGCCCAAGGACGGGCTTCTGTGGTGGTGGAAGTGGTTCCTCACGGATGTTTGGTGCTGCAACGACACTAGAAATCTCTGCGTCTTGTGCTTCTCTAAATTCCTTTTCTTCCTCAGGAATATCTTCCGCGCCATCCTCTGCGCCACCGTCATCACCGTTTCCTTGCTTCTTTTGCGATGACTTGTCGCTCTTAACTCCGCTTCGTTCACTGCCTGTGGTTTGACTTGGTACCACAGATCTGTCATCATCGGCTTTACTAGCCAGATCGCTATCCTTTTTCGATTTCTTCTTGCCTCTAAATCCTTTGAAAAACTTGTCACCCTTACTGATGACATCAGCACCTGCACCAAGACCAGTACCAACGGCACCAGTAGCTAAATCAGTAACATTGCCAACTGCTTTCATGGAAGCTTGGTGTACACCGGCAAGATCAACAGGGAGCATTGAATCAGAATCGACAGGTGGTCTGATATATTCAGGGAAGAATGTGGCTCGCAAATCAAGTTTTCCTTGCGTATCCAAATCCACCGTGAATGGAACAGTCGTCAATGCTGGGATATTGGACAAATCTAAATTGGCCATGCCCAACAATTCCAAATCGTGAGTGAGATCCCAGTCGTACACCTCAAGAAGCAATACTTGTCTGGATCTTGAAATCATTGGGAAATCAACAGCCTCGTTCCAAAGTGGGTCCAATGTTCTACGTTTCTTGTCAGTTCTGAAAACCTCAACACCGTCCAATTTAACAACACACAATGGATCAGATTTACCATTAGTATCCACTGATTGCAAATTCTTGGCACCAATAATTTCCAATTTACAATTTCCAACATCCAATATGGTGTCCAATGGCGCCAACTTGGCAATTGATGGAATATACTCGAGCTGGATATCGATGGTGTTTTTCGGTCCAAGATGAATCGTGATTGGCTTCTTGAAAGACTTTTCGTAAAGATCGATCGTATCAAAAGTTTGCTCAACCAAGATGTCTTTCTGACTTGTGACCTCCACCTTTTTAGTAATTCTGAAAATCAACTTGGAATTGGGTAAATCTCTGATAAACGTTTCCCCAATCGATTTCGTGGCTATTTTCCTATTTTCAACCTTAGGGGAGACACCCGAAGGATATGCATGCTCGTCAAAAAGAGTTTGAACATAGACATCGTTTTTGTTAAATTTTCCTCCAAGAAGATGTACCGCCATGTCACCAGCTCTGTACTTAATGGCGTCCGCCAATTTGAGCTTAATCTTTGGTGGTTCCGCCATTGCATCTTCTTCGGTTTCAATCCATTCATATTCATCAGGGTGCTTTTTATAAATCTCTTCCTCTTTCTTGTATTGCTCCTCTTCACGTTTTTCTTTTAATTGTTTTTGTTCCGTGTACTCATCCATATTGTGCAATTCGGATAACGAGTAAGCATTAATAGTTGGGAAAAATGAAACAGAATAGAAAAGAGTTCCACATGGTTCAGACTCAAACAAGATTGGTTGTTCAATGATTTCATCGGCTCCGTCGTAACCAAGGTAGTAGCCTTCGTCATTCTTTCTCAAAAAGTCGGCAGCATTGATTGCAGCAGTTCCTAACGATCTATCTTTACCCTCTGGCTCAGCATCCATGATTTCTAGCAAATAGTGCAGGTGGGGGTTTGGCACTGGTAAAAAGTAAACAGCATTCCATTGTGGATTAACTGTTTCGGCAAATGTGACAGTCTTGCCTCTCAACTTACCATTCATAATAAGTCTTACATATGGATCGACGTATCCAACAGATTCCAAGTTCTTTAATCCCTTTGCTCCTCTCAAGTGGATTCTAATACCACCAACTGGAGCTGGAGAGATTACCTTGGAGCTTGTGTCTTCGTCAACAGCTAAAGGTTTCCAGCTTGCACTAATACGAATTTGAGGAGGAGGCGAGTTTTCCGAGAGAGCAGGACACGTAATCCACAGCTGGCCTCTACCACTCTCAAATACGAGGTCCTGCAAATTGGCTTGCATGTCAGCAACTATATTGTTATCAACCGTGTCGCGTACAAGTACTTGAACCGATGTTTCAGTTTGTTGTGTAATTAAACTTTCAAATGATTGTTCCCAAGAAGGTTCGTTAGTCTGTCTTAATTTACGGCATGTTTTGACCAACTCGTTGTTTACATAGATTTCTGCATAAGGATTTAACAATCCAATGACAGATTTCGAAATGTCCAAGTCCCTTGCCTCGTGTAAGGTTATCTTCATTATACCAACTTCGGAATCAGTAATAACCTCCTTAGTACCATCTTCAAGCTCGATAGGTTGCATAGTTGGGAAGTACTTCATATCCAACTCCAACTTTCCAACAACTTTTCCACCTTCCATAATGTTTTTGACAATATCAGTTTGGTTCTCTTCTTGCAAGAACTCACCTATTGGGAACTCACAATTTCCAATAAATTGGTCATCTGCTTGATCTTCTAGCAAGTGAAACACATTAAAGTTGAAAAAGTTTCCTTCCAACTGGTTGATTAAAATGTATTTATGTTCCAAAAACACGGGATCATTAACTTGTTTCTTGACTTTGGTCCTCTCATCAATGTCACCATTATTAGACACCTTGATTTGCACATATGGATTGATACTGTTGGGTTTCGTAGTTTGTCCCGTTTTCAAATTCTTGCACGACTTGATGTATACAGCAACAACACCAATAGAGTCATTCGACTGTCCTTCTAATAATTCCTCAACATTGACGTCAAGCGAGTTTGGAGCATAAAGCATTGGTCTCAAAGTCGAGTGGATAATACCATTAACGAATTTGGACAACCCTGGGATAAATGACATGATATCAATACCTAATGCATCACCTCCAATCGGCTTCAAAACGTAGTCAATGTTTGGTGGTTCCAAAAATTGAATCGAAACAATCTTAACGTGAGGGAAATTCAACGAAAGCTTCAATTTAACCTTCATCCTACCTGTAAATGTCATATCCTCAACCAAAATTGGCAATGATTTTGAAATAAACGCTTTTCCAACAGTGACACCGAGAGCAACTTTTGGATCAATCTTTCTCTTGATTTCATTTTTCGTCATGTCATCTGTGTCATTTGGAGCAAAAGAGAATGCCCAATCCATTTCAATAGTATCATGATGAGATTGTGTGTAAGATTTTATAGAATCAACACGAGGAGCCTTCGAACCCAATGTAAATTCATCCAATGATAACTTTTCAATACCAAAGCCAGGAGCTTGATCTTTTAAAATCTCGTTGGCTTGAAACATAACTTGTTCAGATAATGCTGGCATGTAGATAACCCAAAACTTGTCCAAAAACGAATTCATCCATTCCATAGTTTCCAATTGGTTGACTAATCTATTATCAGCCTTAATTCTCTTCATATCATCTCTGATGTTTCGGTTGAATCGTCTAAATTCTCCTCGATAGACTGAATTTGTAAACAACAAAACAAGCCCCAAGGATAAAATTCCTCCTCCTAACCTGGCAATCAACCACGCAAAAAGACACGTTCCCAACATAAGAGATGTGTTCCAGTACCAATCACCATAAAAGTGGTCAATTATGTAACTTTCAACTGTTTTAGCATTTTTCAACAACTGTTTCTTGTCAGTGTCAACGTCAACATCCCATCCGCCGACTCTTAGCCAAGAGAAAGTCAATTGATCTCTTATATGGACTTTGCCATGAGGATGTTCCGAAGGTTTGGGTTTTGGTTGAGTGGATACAGAATTTGTATGTTGCTCTGCCCCCGATTGCACTTTCTTATTATACTCCTTGACGTCTTCCTTGTTTCCGCCAAAACCGGGGTGACGGGTCTTTTCCGAGTCAGCTTCATTATACTTCTCCTTCGAGTGTTTGGAATCTCCTCCAGGGTGGCCATTCCTATCGATGTTTTTCTTTTGTTCGGCGAATTGGTCTTTGCCTGTTTGTTCACCAGCGAACGCAGGCTCGCCGGTTTTTACAGGGTCCATTCGTTCCTATTTGAATGTTAGTAATGAGGGAATTGGACTATCACACTCTCGGAGGGTGGGGATCCATTGCAAGTTGCTTGCTGTATTGCAATCGCTAGTATCGAGAATCACAATTGTGAACCCAATGGTATTATTTACTTTTCCTGTCCAGTCATCGCCGAGTGTTGGATCTGTGACACATACTTGACTTTGGATCATGCTAGTGCAATTGAGCTAGACCAAGTCTGTAGTTAATTGAGTTACTAAGAACAGATAATAAACAAATAAATAAATTTAAAAAAAAACCCAAAAAAAAAGAGTAGAAACCTGTGATATAAATTGGAATCGCTGTGAAATGGGTGATGCTATTGTTGTTGTTGTTGTTGTTGTTGCGTATGAGAGAACAAAAGATTTAAAATTTGAAGTGGTAAAAGGATGAAATTCCAAATGTAAATTTAAACAATAAGAACTAAGATTTCTTTTTATTCCTTTTTTATTTTTTGTTACTCTTGCTATTTTATTAGAATTTATTGTAAGAAAACAAATCTGTGAAAGCAATTTATGTATATATATATATATATATTAAGACCATAAATTTTAACTTGCTAAAAGTAAAAGGGTTAATCCTCAGGGGGTAAGAATGGTGGATGGTTGTCTTAACTGTGCTTGTTTAAAACGAACACAGACATAGACTTTTGCAGGTTCCTACTAACGCTTTGTTGTTACCCTTAAGTGAAAAGCCTTGTACTTCGTGTTTGTGTAATTCTTCTACATCGTTGCTACCTTTTACCTGCAGAACGTCATTTCAAAAGTATTAGTGTCGTAGAATAGTATCACAAGACATTTGGCACTCACGACATCAAGTCTTTGAAACTATCCAATCCACTATTACATGTTTAACAAAGTTAACATTCATCGATTACAATCATGTATGCAGCTACAGATTAAATGAGTCCACTACGTAACTCCTTCGGTTTTCACTCTATTGTAGGTACTACATTTCTTTAGTATGAACCTTTCGTATATATATTTAAAATTAGGTAGTTACAAATTAGAAAATGCTAAAGGCTATTAAATCACCAACACTTAAACAGATTCCAAAACAACATCCTTGAAACCACCAGAAACCTTCTTACCTTTTTCTTCAGTTGAACCTTCACCGTGCAAAGCCAACAATGAACCCAAGTCGAATTTTGGTTGTTTCAACAACTTGACTTTTCTAATGTGAACATTTTGCAATGGGAAAATGGTTTGGGTAGATTTCTCAATTTCACGACCAATAACTTCTGGAATCAATTTAGAGGTTAATTGAGCCAAAGTACAGTTGGAAACTTCTCTTTGCATGATTTCAATCATCTTCTTTCTGATTTCTCTCAACTTAGATGATTGAGCGTAGGTGGTCTTTTTGATTTGGTTTGGTTGTCTCTTGGTGAAGGCAATAGCAAATACTCTCAAAACGTGGTCATCAGCAGTCTTGACAGTAACGTTGGCTTCAACCAATGATTGCCATTTTCTAACCAATGATCTTATTTTGTCTGAGGTAAAGTCCATACCATGGAAGTTGGTCAACAAGTTTTTACCTTGAACTTCATCAACTCTCAATTTGATCTTTCTGTAAGAGTGGTCTTCTGAACCTTGCAAGTCAGCTAAGCAAACTTCGAAAACTCTTCCCTTTAATCCATCGGCAGCGTTTTTCAAACCAGTGGATCTGTTGATTAAAGTCTTACCAACATTTCTGTTTTCAAAAGTGGTTGGGGCTTTAATGTCAAACCAATCTTTTCTGGTGAATGGGTCTACGACCTTCTTTTTCAATCCTTTCTTTCCTTTAGAAAGTCTCTTATTTTTACCTACTGCCATGTTGATATGCTTTCAGTTGTTGAAGATAATGAAAGGAGGGTAAAAACTGAAAAATTAATTTTCTAAGTTCAGTATTAAAATTTTTTTTTCTCCTTCTGTCTGTCTCTGTCTGTCTCTGTCTCTCTCTCTCTCAGATTTTGTATGTGTGTGTGTGTGTGTCTTTTGGATAAAAAAATTAATTTATGGTGTTGTGTGTACTATATGATTATGTAATGTTTATACATTGTGTTACGTAATTACTTATCTAACAATGCAGGAGAACAAATCCTCCTAGACAAAACAATAGTTGATAGCGCTACCTTAAACTTAAAGTGAGTGTAACTAATTTTGTATGCACGTGCAGTAATATACCACTAGGGTTTAGCCCTTGTTAGTCGTGTGATGCGCCCAAAATGTAAACAAAGGTATGTTTTGCTTTTGGGTCAACTTTGGGATCAACGTGATAACCCGCCTATTCATATCCCCCCTATCAGCTGTTGTTCAGTCAATTGTCACAATTAGCCAACGTTACTTCCGTATCTTCAGCATCTTACATTAATACACCAGCGCCTTTCTCCACTATATACCACCTGCATACGATGGACGAGGTGCAAGATCAAGACCAAAACAACCAGTATGTAATCCCATTGTCATTTACGACAACAACCGGTTTACTAACAGCACATTATAGAGTTGCATTAAAAATAGGTCTCATTGGGGACTCGCAGATAGGCAAAACCTCTTTAATGGTAAAATATGTTGAGGGTTCTTTTGACGAGGACTATATTCAAACGCTTGGAGTTAACTTTATGGATAAACGAATACAGATCAGAAATACCACAATCATGTTTTCTATATGGGATCTTGGAGGACAGAAGGAATTCATCAACATGCTACCGCTAGTCTCCAATGATGCCGTTGCAATCTTGTTCATGTTTGATCTTACAAGAAAATCCACCCTAAATTCAATTAAAGAATGGTACCGACAAGTAAGAGGGTTCAACAAGACAGCAATTCCGTTCCTTATTGGCACCAAATACGATCAATTTATAGATTTGTCCTTCCAAGACCAGGTTGAAATTACTCAACAAGCTAAAAAGTTTGGAGCAGCAATGAAGGCCCCCGTTATTTTCTGCTCAACCAGTCATTCTATAAATGTGCAAAAGATTTTCAAGATTATCTTGTCGAAAGCATTTGACTTGAAGTTGAACTTAGACGAAATTGTCAATGTTGGTGAGCCAATCTTGATTTTCAAATAAGCTAGGGAAGGTGTGTGTGTGTGGGGGGGGTTAGAGAGAAACAGCTGCACCTTTTCTAAATTTACTAACGATTTAACGAATTCTTCATTTCCTTTTTTTTATTCTCTTCAATTCTATAGATCCCTAGGAGAGGGAAGATAATGCATAATACATATTTAAAGTAACTAAATCACCCTCTGTTATCAATGTACCTCTTCGAATTAATAAAACAGCCGCGTATAATTTTCATTCTCAACTGGCAAAACAAAAGAAGACACGCACGCCGCCGCACAAGATTTTTGGTCTTTACTACCCAGAGCCAATGTCTCACGAATACAAAGGCTGGGAGCTTGTGTTTACTTCTGAAATTGAGAATGATAATAGCCTGGCATCTCATAAACCACCCACAAGAAGAACCAATCGTAGGAGCAAAGCAGGCTCAACTCATGCTCCGTCAGATAACCTTATATTGCGACGCAAGCAAGATCAATTTCAAGTGAAGGTCGGTGATACAATTGTGGTTACTGCTGGTGACGAGTCCAACATTGCTTTGATTAAAGATATACGATTTGGTATCAATGACTTTGTCGAAATCATGGTTATTTGGTTTAGTGAAAGAGATGAGATCAAAGCAATTCCGGTAGATATTGAGGTAATCGACAAAGAGATATTTATAACTCCCTACCAGGACGAAATTGAGCTTGAGAAAATAGGTGACCATGTTCAAGTTGTATCCGAAAAAGAATTCGAGAGGTGTAACGGAGCTCAAAGGGAGGATAAGCAGGTATTTATGTGTCGTAGAGCAACAAATGAACAAGACAAGTTTTCAGAGAAATTCGATTATGATGAACTTATGCAATTATTCACTGAAGGCGTGGACCATTTTCATGATACTTTAAAAAAGCTTGTGTTTAATCCCGAACTGTTGAAGAAATCAGAGAAGGAAAAACAGCAGTCAAATGCAGGGAGGAAAAAGCAGCCGACAAGTGCAAAGAATGAACCAGGAAGCACGGCACAGGCACCAACTGCAAAGACTACCGCATCGGATTCTGAAGGCTCCCCTTATTTCCTAGATACAGATGACGAAAGCGAAAGTTTTGAAGTATCCGATGACGAAGTAGCTCCACCAAGAACAACAAAGTGCAAGCAAGCAGCTACCCCATCTCCCAGGAAAAGAAAAGGCCCATCGTCACTAGCATCTAGTAAAACCCTGTCCCCTATAAAGATGACCCGATCGGTAAATTCAGAGATTGAAAGTATCTATTCCGTTGTTACTCCTCGTAAGAAAATCAGAGTCATCCAAGACCAGGGCCAGCTCCCCACATTTACATCTCCATCGAAAAAGCTACCGGAAGGAACACTAGACCCCACTTCTGAAGCTTTCCGAGAAGTAAAGGAAAAACTACATACATCTCAACGTTTGAATGCACTTCCTGGTAGGGAAGATGAGTTTCTGATGATTTACGCCAGTTTGGAAAGTGCCATAAATGAAGGCACTGGATGCTGTATATACGTCAGCGGTGTTCCTGGAATGGGCAAAACTGCAACTATAAAAGATGTTATTGAACAGATGGCCGGGTTAACTGGTGAAGGCTACGTCAAGCCATTCAATTTTTTCGAAATCAATGGATTAAAGTTGCTCGCACCGACAGTTGCTTATAGCATGCTATGGGAGTATATAACTGGTGGTGATCGAGTTGTTGATTCCAATGCAGCAATTTTATTGGAAGAGTACTTTAAAAGGAGTGACGACAAACGGAAACCTTTAGTGGTGATGATGGATGAATTGGACCAGATAGCCCAAAAGAAGCAAAACGTCATGTACAATTTTTTCAATTGGCCTACATATGCCACTTCGAAACTTATCGTTATCGCAGTCGCAAACACCATGGATCTACCTGAGAGGGTTCTTGCCAACAAGATTTCATCAAGAATGGGGTTACGAAGGATCCAGTTCAAGGGGTATACTTATCAGCAACTAGGCGCGATCATTCAGCATCGATTAGACATGTTGACGAAAACTAGCCGGCACAAGGTTGAAATCAGTCCAGATGCCATCGGATTTGCGTCACGAAAAGTAGCCAGTGTCAGCGGTGACGCTAGGCGTGCGTTAACTATATGTCGCCGAGCAGTTGAAATCGCTGAACAACAATATTTGGAAAACACTGAACAAAGTGGAGAAGTCCATTCATCATGTCAAGTATTGATATCTCACATATCGCAAGCCATCAGCGAGAGTGTCAATTCGCCCCTAGCTAAATATTTAACCACCTTGCCATTTGCAGCTAAACTCTTTCTTGCTGCCCTTTTAAGAAGAACGAGAAGAAGTGGATTGGCGGAAAATTCAGTAGGTGACATAATTGACGAGATGAAAAATTCCATGGCCATGTTTACAACTTCCAACCCGTTCATGACGGATTCATCAATGTATGACTTGTTGTACACCGACAAGATTGGTGACAAAATACGCGTCAATATAAGAATACATCACTTTGAATTTGTCTTGAATTCGTTGGTAGAAGCCGGAATAATCAATCAACAAAGTTTCTCAAGTGACAGAAGAAGAATGGTGTTGTTAAACGTTAGTGAGGAAGAGGTGGTTTCTGTATTGAAAAAGGATCATGAAATCTCACAATTTTTGTAGCATTTAATTATAAATATATACAGTGACCATTGTCTAAGCAGCAGCAGCAGTAGCCACCTCACAACAAGATTCAAATAAAGTGCTCTTTCTTTTCAACACCTTGTCATCATAATTGGACGATTTGACCAATTTAAATGCCCCAGTACCAATGCTCATGGTTTGACCTAAAATAATACATTCGGACACACCTTCAATCTTGTCCTTCTTCATAAAGAATGCAGCGTCAAACAAGTGATCAGTCGTTTTCTCAAAAGATGCCAACTGCAATACCGAGTCACGCATTTTACTAAGCCCAAATCTGGTGATTCCCAACACCTCACCCTTGTACGTCATGACATCTCCCAATAGTTGGATATGACGAGGATCAACACTCATACCGTGATTACTCATTGTGTAGTCAATTTCTCTAATGATTGATCCTCTGGCAGCTTCGATTCCCAAAATTTCATTCACCTCCAAAACATGATTCGTGGTGGTTTTAGTACCCACAATACCCTCAGTATTCATGACATCTTTCAAGCCATATCCTTCAACAAGCAACTCCTTCTTACCGTCATCTTTGATGTTAATCACGGCACGGAAAATGTTTGGCAACCCTTTGATGCAAATGTCTGGAAGGACCCTCTTTAAGGTTTGCATTCTAAAGAAAAGGGCATTCAGTGAATCGCCAGTAGCTTTCAAGCTTTCTGACTTTGACTCGTTGACATTGCACAATACATTAATCCTATTCTTACCGGTAACAATAACATCACCCGGTGCAATCTTCAACTTCGGCGCTTTGCAAATAGCTTGAGCAATGTTGTCAATGGTCAACTCCAATTGCAACTTATCTATAGTCTCCAAGTCCAACTTAATTGACAAGTACGCCATGTTGTCTTTATAAACATCTTCAATGTAGAAGGCCACATCTTTCAATAATGTCTTTTCAATTCTTCCCTTGGCAACACGAGCCGCAATTTCATCGTCATCGTTGACCAAAACAGCATTGATAATAGGCGTTGAAATAGTCTTGGAGGCATTGATAATTTCCTTGATACGGGGAACACCCAAAGTCACATTCATCGATGCCACACCGGCAAAATGGAAAGTCTTCAAAGTCATCTGTGTACCCGGTTCACCAATCGACTGTGCCCCGATAGCACCAACGGCTGTCCCAGGCTCCACCTTTGCTCTCAAGTACTTATATAAACACTGTTTCATAAACTCCTTTACTGCCTTGTGTGATATTTTCATCAACTGGTTTATAGCATTGACTGTGGTTTCATCTTCATCCATTTGGATATCATCTTGCTCAATTCTGGTGTAAAATGGCTGCAAGCCTCTGGTTTCTCTTAACCGTGCAAGAGTTTCTGCCTTGTTTCGTAAGAATTCTGCAACTGATTCATAAAATCCTCTCTCGGCATCCCTTTGATCAATAAGCTCATCTTCATTTCCAGCAACAGCAAGCTTATCGATGAGCGGGCTTAAGGTCTTGTCAACTAGCTCGTTTATCTCGTATGGTAACAAAGCTTTATCATGGACATTATACGTCACATTGTACGCATGATCCCACTGCCTAACAAAGTTTACTGGTTTGGCGTCTCCTTCCATATCATAAGGGTCCAAACCATCGCCACCATATGTAAACTGAACAATACCGTTTGACGAATTACGCACCGTGTTGTCGTACTGTGAAGAAAGATCTTCAAGTGACTTCATCAATCTACGAGACATATAACCCGTTTCAGCTGTCTTCACTGCAGTATCGACCAAACCTTCTCTTCCTGAAATAGCATGGAACAAGAACTCTGGGGGTGATAAACCACTAAAGAAGGAATTCCTAACGAAACCTTTAGACTGTGGTGTTTTAGAGTTTTTGGTGAAATGGGGTAGAGATCTGTCTTGAAAACCATCAGGAACACGATGACCAGAGATAATCTGTTGTCCAACGACAGCCACCATTTGTGAAACATTCAAAGTGGAACCTTTTGAACCACATGTGGCCATAATCAAAGGGGCATTCAACGAATCCAACTCACGGATACAAACATCACCCACCTCTTCTCTGACCTTAGACAACAAACCACCAATTTTAGCCTCCAAAGTTTGTTCTTCGTTACAACCAGGCTGGGTTTCCAATTTCCCCCTATTATACAAATCAATCAACTGGTCACATTTTAAATATGCCTGTTCTACCATCAATTCTTTCTTTTGTTTCAATTCATGAGCAGGCGTCACATCGTTAATACCAATGGAGAAACCGCGGTTACCCAAAAATCTAGCACATAATTTGGCCATTCGATTCATTGCTGCTGCTGCCTCTTGAGGACCATAGTCACGAAGTATCGTGTAAAACACAGAGTGTTTTTTCCCGTCACCCAAAGTCGATTTATCCATCAACCCACTAAGAATTTGCGAGCCCCTAATAATGACAAAACCATCATTCGGGGACATCTCACTTGGTAGACCCTTTTCAGGTGGGTGGAATGTCTTGTTTTTGGCATTCAAGTTGATGACAACTTTACTGTGTCTATTTGGCTTGATTAACAACGAAAACACTTGCTTACCTGTCCAGAGCATTACTGGCTTCACTATTGTTGGCGGGGGTATATCAAACTGTATGTCCGCGTCCGACATCATACTCAACAACTGGACCAAAGACGCACGGTCAAAGAAGGAATCCTTGTGAGAGATTAAATAAGAGCCGGTGATGAAATCTTGAGTAGCGGCAATGATAGGCTCACCCGACTTTGGCGTTAACAAGTTATTTTTAACTCCCATCAAGTTGATTGCTTCGGCTCTTGCTTCTTCCGTTTGAGGAACATGTAAGTTCATTTCATCACCATCAAAATCGGCATTATATGGCGTACAAACACACTCATTCAATCTAAAAGTTCTCCATGGACGGACTTTGGCATAATGGGCCAAGATTGATAATCTATGCAATGAAGGTTGACGGTTAAACAAGACAACATCGCCATCTTCGATATGACGTTCAACAACATCTCCAATTTGCAAAGACTTTGCCAACTTTACACGATCGCCAAATCTTAAATTTCTCTTTCCTGCTTCATTCTGCTTCATTACGTAATTTGCTCCTGGGTGTACATCGGGCCCGTTGATAACCAAACCCTGTAATTTTTTCTTGTTGTATCTGGTGCATTTTTCAGGATACGTTAAAACCTTAGCTACCCTATCGGGCACCGCAACCTCGTCTATTTTCAAATTGGGGTCGGGCGAAATCACAGTTCTACCTGAGAAATCAACCCTTTTCCCCGACAAATTTCCTCTGAAACGACCTTGCTTACCCTTTAGTCTCTGACAAAATCCACGGATTGGTTTTGCCGACTTTGATCCACCGCCACCACCACCTGACATCAAGGCTGGGTTTGCCGCGTCGGAGTTAATATACATTGCCACGGAAAGTTGCAAGTAGTCCCATTGCTCCATCAAGTTATTAATGGAGATACCTTTGGCAATTCCTGCTTTAATCATCGATGATGTCCAAACAATTTCTGTGAGCTTAACCGTGAGATCATCTTCATTCGACTGCGCATCCATCATAACCGAAGGCCTAATACATACCGGTGGGGCCGGTAGATAGCGCCATATATACACCTCCGGCCTTCCCCCTTTGGAAGAATCCATTCCAAGTAATTCACAATCTTCAGGGATAATTTGTTTAAACAAGTTCAAGGTCTTTAACGGATTAAAATCCTCTTGAATCCGTTTGGCAAACTTTTCTAAATCAGGATTCCGTTTAAACACCAAATCTAAGTCCTCATCCCAAACAGCCTTTTCAGGGGTCTCTTTCTTTCCGATCCATCTGAATGTATCGTGCACAATCTTTAACGATGCCGGACCTGCTCCGCTTGCTGCTTTCTTAATAACACCATTTACATGGTTACATTTCAAACAGCGTCGTTGCTTCTTACACTGGTCATTGATTTTTTTCAAAATTTTCATCCTTTTTAGATTGTCAATGTTGGGTCGCCTCAATTCCGATAAAAACTGGCGCTTGGCCGGGGGGTCTAGCAATATGGCTCCACAATTTTTGCAAACACATTGCAACACCGATATAACCGCTTTGAAATACCCCACATGAAACACTGGTAATGCAAGTCTGATGTGACCAAAGTGACCATTACACGATGCAAGATTTCCATGACATGTAGCGCACTCTGACGAGTTTGAGGAGATACCCATTCTCGTATCCAAGGCTCCCCCTTCCTTCGGTACCCTTCCTTTTTCCAAATCATACAAATCTCTCGTTTGAATCTCAACCTCTGATTGTGCAACAATGTCCTTTGCTGAAAGGGCAGAAAAATCCAAACCATCGATGCACTTGGGGGCAATATCCAATACTACTTCCTTACCCATTTGTGACTCATATAAGATAGAACTATTGTTGTTTGTGTAAATGTAGCAACTATTATGATAGTTTTAAGTGTTAACCAGTGTATATGGGAAAAGAATAAAATAAGAAACCAGATTCTATCTGTACTACGGTATGGTTCCTTTAACTGATGTATAAATTTTTCAGTGTAAAGTATGATCTGAGAAGAGAGAAACTTGGTATCGATGTTTTTTTTTCTTTTTTTTTGCCTTGCACCAACCAAAGTAGGTATTCCTTGCGGCTCCATCGAAAATTTGAGAAGAGATGCCATCGAATTACCCACCTTTCATTACTAGCAACTTCTACTGCTAACAAACTAGACACAATGACAACATCTATAGACCCCACAGACTATGTCGAAGTTGAGAATGGAAACTTATCTTTCCCCATTGAGGCTCAACAGGCCAAATTTGAACTAGGTGTGTGTATGGCGGTGTATAAATGGGAAGAGTTAGCAACTGCTGTGGAAAACTCGTGGGGTGGACCAAAGTCAGCAGAGAAAAGAGACTGGATAAGCGGTATAGTCATTGACTTGTTTAAGGAATCAAGTGTGGTGGATATCCAGTTGATTGAGGAGACTTTGTTGTACGCAATGGTAGATGAGTTTGACGTGCAAGTTGATAACGATTCGGCTTTGGAGATTGCTGCCCTAGTGATGAAGTTTTATAAACAAGTTCAAGAACATAAATATGATCAAGTTGATGCTCTATATGCAAAGTGGCAGGAAAAGAGGAGTACGCATGGAGAGAATAGACACGTGCACATAGACGAAGATCCAAATAATCCTGACGTTTCAGATGATGATGATGATGAAGAGGAGGATGAGGATGATGATATGGAGATAGATGGTAATAATGATGGCAAACAGGAACATAAGGAGGAGCCAATTGTTGATGACGATGGGTTTCAGTTGGTACAAAAAAAAGGTAGAAGGAGGTAAGAAAATTTTGGCTATTGTATAATCTAATTCCTATTAACTGAGCGAGTTTCGTGGAGTATTACTCCTTATTCTGTTGAGCTTATTTAATGAATGCAAACTCGTAACGGAGTTTCTTCCAGATCTTCTTGTAAAGTATGATTCTTGCTCTTCACCAGGGGTACTTGGCACTGACGAAACTGGCGAGCCGGTAGCTCCGTTGAGGTTAAAGTCGCTGAACCTTTTCATCATGTCATTCAAACCTCCAGGTGTGTTTGGAACAGCCTGGCTGGTCGTTCCATTGTATTTGTTGAAACTGGCAAAAAAGCCATCTTTGGATGTAGAAGAAACATCAAAAAGAGTTATGGTAGTTCCCTGCCATGTGTTAACATCCGTCATCCCATTCTCAATCCACTGGAGTGTGAAGTCGTCCACTTGTTTACCTGGCTCCTCTTGTTTGAGAAAGCTTGTCCACCCCGAAGTAATCTTACTTACAGTAGCCAACGAATTGGAAAAATTTTTCATCAACCCGTTATTATTCCCAATGCATGTTTTTACTTGAGACGATGCATTGTAGATTTCACTGTATAGCAATGAAAGATACCAGCCTAACGATAACAAGCTCCACTCAAACTTAAGCTGCTCCAATGGGGCCTCTGGGAGAAGTTCGTATTTTAGTTGATGCCGGTTGTCCTCAATCATTTCAGAAAAGTCAGAGCATTCAATCTTCTGCACTAGTTCAAAAGTATCAACGCTTGCTCCTCTGGTACCTGTCCATAATGTGCTCAAAACCAGTTTCAAGTGAGGAATAATTACGGTGAGTATGAGCGCCAATACATCCTTACCGGCCCAGACTTGGCCAATAGGGCTGTCTTTTCTTTGCTTGTCTCTCGCTTTGTCCGACATGCCAGGTGGTGGTCGCGGTCGCAAAGATGACTCAACACTTTCACTTTCTGATACGGTTAAAGAATCATCGTTTGTGTTTCGGGGCAAGATGGGAATTGGTGTTGATGGTACATTTTCATCTCCATTGGAAGTCACCGTTGCTGGTATATCTGTCTCATTGACCTCACTCACGGCAACCTCATCAATCTTGGATATTGAATCACCCCTCACAGAATATTCCTGAATGTTGAATATCGTATTCCATAAATTGTCATATACCCTTTCATTTTTCAAAATACTAAACAATAGCATTCTTGAAGGGTGTGGGTATTTGACAACTGCTATGCACACGGCTCTTATCAATAGCGCAACAACGTTTAAATGATATGGCTTCTCAAGAAGAAAGCTTTTGCTTGAAAATCTAGCAATTAGCTGCGTTACCAAAGACGACGCTTGGTATGATAACCCTCCACGTGAGTTTGGATTGTTCAACTTTTTGCTTGGATTGTTGTGCACCTTTAGTTCATGTTCAGACACGGGTATAATCAAATTGTACAATGTTTCAACCAAGGAATTTAGTAAAAGCTTCGGTAAAGGTCGGAAAGAGTATGTGGGTGGCTGCACTGGATAGGAATTCAACAAAATAGAACAAAGCTGGCTCACCATGAAATCCCGTGTGGTTAAAGGAGATATTGATAACTTGTAGCTCGGTGGAAGAGACTCGTACAACAGCAATGATATAGGGTGAAATAAGGAGCCCAACATTTCTAATTGTGACGACAAATATAGTAGTAGGTACGCACAAACACGCACCAAGTTCTTTTGACCATCATTAGTCTTGAATTCAAAAACATAATACAATAAAATGACCATTAGCAGTGGTATGTGTTTCTTTGTTACGATGTCTTCAAAGTTTTTGTTGCACTGAATCAATTCCCACATGAAGATAACACCATTAGTGGCCCATATCGATGGTTGAGTATTCTTACTAAAGTTGAATGAGCCATTCTCTGAATCTCTCGCAGCCAAAGGAAAACGTAATATATCAATTAAGGAAGTAGCAATCAACGCTAGTTCCAGCTCTTTGTGTACCTTACTTAGATACCTTCTAGTCAAATTGTGTAACTTACATCCTGTTATCCCCGTATCATGAGGTATAGGATACACCATCATCATAGTTAATAATGAAAAAGCGTAGGTCACACACAAGTGTCTGGTTTCAGTGTAGTTGATGCTATCATAATGTAGTGCACTCTCCTCGTTGCTTTTTGATGACCTGCACGTGAGATTTAGCAATGACGATATCAACGTTAATAATTTTACTTTTGGCGTCATTGAAACCAACACCGTAAGAAATCTCGACCCTTTAGACACTATTGTTGATGGTGTACAATAAAATCCATCCGAACACAAGGTCACAATGAGCTTCAATACCTCCGTTCTATTGCTGTCAATTACCAAATTCGGTGATCTAGGTTTACCCGAAAAGCCTAATCCCGGCTCCCATACACTTAAACTTATGCCACCCTTTTCCTTCGTATTAATTGTGAACCCTTTTGTATATAACAAGTCCACCAATGCCATCATCAATGTGAATGCCAAAGTATCCTTGACTTCGTCACATGAAATAGATTTTTTGGCCTTATCTTCAGCACCTGGTGTCTCCGCCACCTCCTTAGACTTGAGATATTCCGTTGTGTCAAATCTCAAGTTCCAAAACAACTCAAAACCAATGGTATCGTCATAATCATGAAGTTCAAGCATAGGTGGTAGGAGTTTGACCAAAAACCGTATGCAGTTTAAAACCACCACTATATCGCTATTGGTCAAAAACTCTGAATTTGCAACTTCAATAACTTTCAAGCTCAATCTTTTTATAAATGTGATATAATTTACCACATTCTGGTGTCGTACATTCCTCACATCCTCTAGTGAAATTAACTCTAAAATATCTTGACTTTTGGTTGGTAGTCTCCAAAAGCGAGACCAAAACTTGTCATCTTGTTGAGGGATTATCCGTCCTTGTCCCAAGCTTAAAAAGTCATTTTGAAACTGCAACCTCTCTTCTGAGGACTTCATAGCCAAGTATAGCTGACGTCTTGGCAAAGGGTGTTAAGCGAGTGAAAGGTAACCTGGAAAGAGTGTGATTGAGAAACAATGAATTATCAAATTAGTTTTATCTCTTTTTTTTTTTCTCTTTCCCATTTCAATTTAAGCGACACGCAGGTGAAATAGATCCACTCCGGGTCACTATCATATGAAGATGCGCTAAAGAGATTCTCTTTCTGCTCTATCATCTGAACTCTCTACAAAACTGAGTCGGTTTCTTTCAATCGTCCCCCCCCCCTCTCCCCCACTTCCTCACTGAATTTTATTTCTCTTTCTATACAACGTGCTATCCTGATCATCCTGTTCAGTTCTTTTACTTCCAGCTATCGAAGCATATCCAACATCAACACTCATACCGGCAACAACACCATGATCTGGACCTTCATCACTGTTCTCATCGTCTAGATCATCAGCATACCCGTCGTTTTTGAAATGTTTCTCTTGAATGTTAGCAGATGCTTCACCACTAAGCCAATTCTCGGGTATTTCCATTGTAGGAAGATGGGCCTCGTGATTCACAGCCATCGTTTCGTCGTCATCCGAGTCATCGGAGTCGAAATGCATAGCTGAGCATGTTGACATCGCCTGATATACGACTTCTGCCTCCCCATTTACCTTGGTAAATAGCACATTTGTATTTCCATGGTCGTTGTTTTCAACTAATCTAATCTCGCAAACATCATCCGATGAATCACTAAGCACGGGACTGTTCTGTACTTGTAGGTATAGTGAATTTTTATCCAAGGCATGCAAGTAAATCAATTGATATGGTATTTCGATCCCTAAATTATCTTCATTCGACCATACGATAAAATGCGAAGACAATACAAACAAGGACACTCGGTCAGTCGAAAAAGGTCGAAGTTTTCCCGTGTTTCGGAATTGGATGGTATAGGAAGGCCCACCGCCGTACATTATAAACTTGTCATCATCGGTTGAAAATCTAGCAGGACTAGAAGCTTGATACGTGGAGTATAATATGGTGTTTTCTATATCCGGCTGTTCGTGAATCACTCTCTGTTGTGGAGGCATGCTGTGGTTTTCAATTCAAGGTTCGTGACATTTACTTATGATGACCACCGAAGAAAACGTGTCTGAAAAAACAAAAAATAAAATAAAATAAAATTAAAAAAAAAAATAAAAAGATAAAGCTATATATCGCGACATGGTATATATTCATATGTTAGAGAACTACATTACCGAGACAACTTGCGCATAAACTTTTGAAACACTGGACTGCCTCCTTCTTGACTTTCAATTTGGTTTTTGATCCGTTTTTCTCTTTGTTCATCCATCCTTTTCATGTCTTCATAGCTTGGTGGTAATGCTTCATTTACACGATCAGCAGCTTTAGCTTGCTCAAAAGTGAGAATACTATTTTGAATACTCTCTTTTCCATGCAATAAAGACCCCTTGGGTAGCTGGCCCCGATTCAAAGCTTTCAAGTGGGCGACACTCTCCTGCTCTTCTCTCAATACTTGAAACATTCGCGACATTTTACCAATAGCTATGATCTTATTCCTCAAGACTAGCTTCTTTTCATCTAAAGTGAGATCAGCCTCCATTTCTTCAGGCTCGGCTGCAAATACCGGAGGTGGCCTTGCTCTTGGTGATGCTACTGTACTTGGTGGTGTATTGCCACTAAGACCAATATGCGCTTCCGAGAAGGGTGCTTCTTCGTCCAATTCCTCCTCAGTACAAACATTTAATATGCTTACCAACATATCAGTAACCTTTTCACCAACAAATGGTAGTGACCAAGTAAATACATCCATGAAATGAGGTAACCAGTATGGATGGGGTGATGCGTTGAATTGTCTAATGTTCATGACGTTGTTTTCATATTTCAACACAGCCGCCTTATTGTTATAACTGTCCAAATAGTTTGGGGCACTAAACATCGTTAATAAACTAGGGAACCCCATTGTCTTTGTCCGTTTGTACATTCTGTACCCCGCATTTTGAGCTTCATGAGCACGTATAATAGACAACAATTTAGTTCTATCCAAAAACTTGCATGCAGCTTTATAAGTAAATGCATAGGAACACCCTCTGACAGCATTGTTTAGATAATCAGTGTCAATGTTATCTTCATCGTACTCTTCAATTGGGTCTGCCCATAATAAATCACACATCAATCCCTTTGTAGGTGGCTCCCTAAATCTGTTCATCTTACGCACACTATCCAAATCAGTCAATTGTGGTGATATACCTCCATGAACACAAAAGAATTGCTCATTCATGATTGCTGCTAAGGGTAATGCGTTGAAACTGGTTATACATTCCTCGTACAACTTCAGTGAATATTTATGTACACATTCGTTCTTAAAGGTGAAATATTCAGTCAAGTGGCGACTCTCATGATTACCTCTCAACATCCAAAAGGAGTTCGGGTATGTGATTTTCAAAGCGTATAGGTAAATCAAACACTCAATGGAAAATGAACCCCTATCAACGTAATCTCCCAAGAACAAGTACTTGGTCGTTTTGGGGTCGCCACCAACTTCAAACAATTTCATAAGATCGTAATACTGTCCATGGACATCACCGCATATGGTCACCGGTGCCGGTACGCTCAACAAGTTGGGTTCGGCAGTTAACAATTGTGTCGCTTGCTTCACAATCTTTATAGCTTGGTCTTCTTGCAATCTACCTTCATGAAAAAAGTGGTCCTTGATGAATTCACAATTGGGTAACCCATTGCGTAAAAAGACTTGTTCATTTGATGGTTTAAAAGAGGCTGGCGGAGTAACATCCTTTACTGCTCGATCGACTGTTGAAATTGTTTCCCCTTCGTCCGTTGTGTACTTAGTTCGATCCCTCTTTTCATCCGACTCTGAGCGTTTGTGCTGAATGGCATTAAGAGCATTGTTAATCTGCTTTGTATTGGTCTGAGTTTTATTTCTTAGATCCAGGTGACGATCTCGATTAAATTGAGGAGGGTAATTTGACATTTTGGCTCGACTATTTGAATGACAACTGTACTACGTGAAAATGCTAACAAAAGGGGGAATCTCTCTTGTAGGTGTCTAGTGAAGATCCAAAAACTGAATGATCTATAATAGAAGGGTATCGAGGATGTTTGATATCGTCGTAATCACCGTTGTTAAATGCTATTTTTAATTTTTCGTTTCAGCCCTCGCAAAAGGGTAAGAAAGTAAAAAAAACGAGCGTCAGCAAAGAGAGAGACTGAGAGAAATCGGATCGTATTACCTAATTCTTATGTAATAAATCTAGATGCACAGAAAAATCTATGGATCAAAGAACGTAGGCGCTGTTTTGTTGAGATATATCAAAAAAGCCATGCTTCTCTACACTATCATCACAGGTTCATAAAAAAAACAATCAAACTTATATTAATCTTTAATGTATAAATATCGTTACTGTTTCTACTTTGACTCAACAGGGATATAAATAATCTTTGTATCATTTTCAAATCCATTGAATTGAGTGGCAGCAGCACTGGTGTATGCGCCTAGATTGGGAAAATATAACCAATCACCCACATCTACCTCAAAGTGAAGCTCACTCTTGGTGGAAACGCAATCCAAACCATCACACGTCGGTCCCCAAATTGAATAATTGAACTCGAATTTACATTCCTCCTTGTTACTATCATTATTCAATCTTCTCTCCATGTGATTGTAATGGAAATGTGACCCATTTTTCAAAACATGAGCTGTTGGATGTTGATGATCAAACAAGATACAATTCATGTTTCCATAAACACCATCATTGATGTACAACATTGCCTTGATACGATTCTGTTCGTCATCAGCAACATCATGTTGTAATTCACGTTTAGCAATAACGTGGGTGGCTAAAGTGAATGCATTGGCAACCATTAATCTTCCTGGCTCGGCAATAAACTTAATTTTATGCTCATCAACAAACTCCTTTGGAAAAAACTCATCAATTGAAACATTCACCATCTTGGACGACTCGACAAAAGTTTCAAACTCAAACCCACCACCAATGTCCAACATTTTCATGTCAAAGCCCATTTCAATACCGCGATTGAAAACGGCTCTTGAATCACGAACAGCCTTATAAATAGACTCAAAATCTTTAGCTCCGGAACCGACATGAAAGGCAACACCAACAACCGGTAAACCTAATCTTTTAGCCAAAGGCAAAATAGACTCGAGTGCGGTAGTCAAGCTACATCCGAATTTAGTACTCAATCTACATTGGGCACCTTCATCATCAGTCATAATTCTCACCAAGATTTTACACTCGGGATGAAATCTAGCCAACTTGTGCAACTCATGAGCATTGTCAACCGTGGTTAAATTAACATTGCTTGTCTTGGCGTGTCTAATGAATGAATTTGTCTTGCACGGGTTGGCGTAAACTATCTTGTCAGCATCAATACCTAGTTTTAAAACGGTATCAATTTCATTCTTGGAGGCGCAATCGTAGCTGACACCCAATTGATGCAAAAGCTTAATGACTTCTATATTGGTATTACACTTGATCGCGTAATGAGGTTGGATCCTGGGCAAATGTTTGCGCCAAGTGTGAACTGACTTGACAACTTGGTTCAAATCACAGACGAAAAATGAATCTTCGTCACCAGCATCACATTCTTCATGGTCAATCTGATTAACATGCTCAGTTAATGCCTTACCCACAGCAGATTTACTATTATCAGCGATGACTTCATCGCTTGCATCATCTCCCACATCTCCTTTCGCAAACAAAGTAGAAGCTGCACTTCTCAGCTCTGTTAAGCCATTATTGTTTCTTTGTAAATTAGAATTAAATTCTTCAATACATTTTAATTGACTTGCTTCAACAATACTTGATGTCATAACCTAGTGGAGGGGATCGTTAGGAAGACACACAAAGGATTTTTCAACTCTTTCAAAAAGCTTTCTAAACTTTTACAAACGTTCAAACGTTATGTTCAAAAAATATTCTTTCAAGCGACTGATTACCAAAACACTTGATTAACTCTATTTGGCTTGGTGACCTTCTCTAGACGTATTCTTCTCTGTACTCACAAATATGAAAAGATATTTATGAGTAATTAACGTAATCGGACTTTATTCGGCAGCTCTCGTTGTGTGTCTCGGTTTAAAACACACGTTTATCTGATTTTGTCTGAACTGGGCAGGAATGTATATATATATACTAAGTGTATATTAGTAACGAATAAGTACGTCTAAGAACTGATTTAGGAGTCGTTTAACAGATGTGTTGTATTTGAAAAGATAATGAAAAATTTGAAAAATTCTTGATTAAGCAACTTTTTTTTTTCCTCTCGTCATTTGCTATGACTCCATTTCTCTTCTCCTCTGCCTTACAATAGAGGAGTTAGAAATAGAACAGATACAATGGTACCCAACAATAGGGGGGGGGTGATTACATCGACATAAACATATTGCGCAATAGCAGATTCCAATAGCCAAAGGTGAATTTCCAAGTAAATGTGTGACGATTACTACATACTGTAAACTAATCTTTTCATTCTTCAGTGTCATTGCTTATAAATCTATTAAAGGCTCTGGTTCAAACAGTGACTGTTTACGACTATGACTAGCTTCTCTCTCGTTTGTCTCTTCTAGTTCAAAAGAAGGCAAGTTTTTAGGCAACTGGGGAAGTTCATTCAACCCATGTCCATGTTGTTGTTGCTGCTGTTGTTGTTCTCGTTGTTCTCTAGTTGGATTTTGTCTATCATAATCCTCCTCGACGTTATCCAACGTAGGATACTTTGCTGATGCAGCTTCATAAGCATTAGGAGGCAAATTGCTAGTTGCATGACGAATAAATGATTGTGGGGGCAAGTCATTGCTTAAGTCTTCTGGTGGAGGATAATGAGGTAATGACACAGTCACATAATCACTGTTATTGTTATGAGTGCTGTTCTTTTCTTGGTCACTGTCACCTAAATCTGGAAGAATGTCACTTGTCGGATAAACAGGATGTGACGACTTACGTCTTTGCTGCTGCGACTGCGACTGTGGCTGTGGCTGTTGTTGTTCTTCCTCATCTTCTAAGTTTGGTTCTGTTGGTTGACTATATGGATCATCTTGCGGTACCTCTGAAGGGTATATGGCTCCAAAATTGGGCTCTGATGGAGCTTGGCCACTAAACTGCGAATATGGAATTTGCTGAGCAGATGCAACCCCACTTGTCTGTTGACTGATTGGCTGCTGACTCGAAGATTGTCTTGGGTAGGCTGGATACCCAACCAGAGGATATGATGGATATTCGTTATTGAAGCCAACATTACTGATACCGGCGTTAAGTTTCTGCTCCCAAAATTGATCATATAAGCGAGTAATGGTACTTAGTTTATTACTCATTTCCAAAAATTGACTGTATTTATTCATGGCCTCACGTAATGACCGATTGACTTTTGGTTTCAATCGTATTACTTGAGAATGTAATTCATTCAAGTTTTGGTCATACATAATATTGGCCTGTTTCTTTGGATCATTGCGTACATTGTTCATCAAGGTGATAAATAGATTGATTTGTTCCTCTTCAGCTTGTGAAAGATCCTGAAGTTGAGACTGTTGCGATGATGGTGGTCTGAACTGTTGTTGCTGTTGTGGTTGAAATTGACCTTGTGTTGCGCCAAATTGAGGGCGCTGATAATTAGAGGTTGATGCAAAATCAATGTTGTAAACATCAGAAGCTGGTTGCTGTGCCTCGTTCTCGAATGGATTCTCAAAAGTTCCAGTACCCTGTTGCTGATGTTGTTGTGGTTGCTGTGTCTGCGGCTGTGATTGCTCATACTCTCTTAAACTTGCCGCTAAGGCTGCTTTCAATTCCTCATCTTCTTCTTCATTGTTGTTAGCACCACTAGAAGCTCTTGGCGATTCCCTTGGAGGTTCAACTTGCACACCACTATCCTGCAAACTCAACTCAATCGCCCGTCTCATTTGCTCATCTTCATCCTCTGCCCCCTCCTCGACTCCACCTCTTGACTTTCTTCTTCCTTCACCAGTAGCTTTCCCTTTCGATTTATGTTTCTGTTTAGCATAGCAGTTATCACAAACTCTGACTGGCTCCATAATTCCCAAATTTACCAAGGTTGTACTGTTTCCTGAATGATCTTGACAAAACACGCCACCACAGGCACGGCAATGATGTTTTCTATTCAACATTGAAAATGGCGTATAACAAATCATACATGAATCGGAGTCAATCCAATCAGGTGGAACTTCAGAATCAACATATTTCGAATCTATTACTGAATCATTAACCGATGGGAACTGATAACCTTCATTAGCCAATTCTTGATACTTTTTCTCCACATAATTTAATTGTAATTGTCCCTTGAACGCAATATACCAAGATTTAAGCAACTCCAAAATATACTCCCCTACATTGTACTTTGATTCATCTTGTTTTACCATGCTTTCTTGAACATTGTAATGGATTTTGAAAATAAAATCAATCAAGTAATCAATAAATTCTCGTGAACTCAATTCAACAAGAAAATGGAACCCCCCATTTTTGACACATAAATCGATTAACTTCAAGGTACTAGTAATCAAGTTGGGGTTTGAATAAACCATGTTTAACCGCTTCTTCAAGCTTCTCATACACGCTTGAGCAGGTAATTTTTTGGATCTAATGAAATCAGTGATTTCCAAAGCTATGGATAGATCAATTTCTCCATTGGGGATAGTTTCTGAGGTTGCTTCAGATATTTTGTTGTCTAGTTCTAGCTGAAGTGCCGATGTGGATGATCCAAACCAGGACATTGTAAGTAGTTGTGTTGGTGACTTTGAGTGTTGTGTTAGCTATTTGCTATGTGAATGTGGTAGAAGATTAACTTTGCCTCTCGTTTTGTCTTTTCCGTGAGAAAGTCACTGAAGTTACACAAAAGGTCGAGATAGGCTTACGGCATGGAAAGGGTGTTGAAATACCCACACCCAAGGGAGTAGCTCCATTTTCGAAACGTCATACCTGACGGTAGAGAGCGATGCAAACAACATTGTTAACAACTTTGCTACCAATAAAATATTCTACATCCCTAAACAGAAAACAAAATCAAACTTAAAACCGGTATTCTTTTTAAAAGACGAAATGACTTGCATTAACGATCCCTCGTACATCTCTCTATTCTACTCAATTCTTTAAGAAAAAGAAACCCGATGCCAATCCTAAACAACCGACACTAATCCACCAATACTTGTCAAATGCATCATCATGTCCTTTCTTGACGGCGTTGGTTCGGTAGGAATTTTCCAAAGATCTCTTCAAGTTAGATCTTACTTCCATAAGACTTCTCTTCCTCTTACTATTGCTGCTGCTACTGCTGCTATCGCCCAACGTTGATGCAGTTTCACTAGTAGAATCAGTTGGGTTAAGCGCTTCCGTAGGCAACATGAGTGGTGGTTTATAAGCCAAATATAATGGTTGCATTTCAGATCCATCAAATTGATAAATTTGCAATCTCCATCTGCCATGATATGGGTCAACGTATTTTTGGTAAGTTTTGAACCATGTTGATTGCACATACCTGGAATAAGTTGATTTTGATGGGTCGTCTTGGTTGCATGGGTCCGATAATAGTTGTCTTCCGTCGACTGCTATAGGTGTCAAAACAACTGACCCATTGCTAAGAATTTCATAAGTTCCATGCTGGTAAGTGATTGAAGCAACTGGGCATGAGTGGTTTTTGGCATTACTCGTAATACGATAAAGAGCTTCCTCATAATGGCCATCCTTGGTGAACGAATAAGAGATACCAGGCAAATCTGGCTCAATTATCAACTCATCGACAGGGTCATAAAATCCAGGGCCTGTAAACACGGTATTTGATTTCGATGTCCAAGTACCTTCCAACTCTTCCATCGATGGATCAGCAAGGATGGGCAAGATTAGTGTGAATAATAGGTATATATAAGACGATAACATGGTAAAGACTTTGTGGTGTAATAGTTGTTCTTGATGATAATGTGTAAAAGGACTGCGACAAAAGCAAGTGTGTCTGTGTATGCTTACTAAGTTGTTTCACTTAACAGTTGATATAGCGAATGTAAGTCAAATAAAACTGATGCCTTCGGTTTAAGCAAAGGTATATTCCGTGTATGCAGTAAGTAAAAGCCAACTCCTGTTAGGGTGAATACTAGCTACTCAACAACGGGTTCAATGATGATTGTTTCTCTTTTGGTTCCATTTTTCTTTTCTCTTTTTTTCTTTTTTAGCTTCTCGTCTCTCTCTCTCTCTCTCTCTCCTTTAAGAAAAAAAAAAGAAACTTTGGCGTATTATTTGAAAACAATGATTTATTATGTAATAAATTACATAAATCTAGTATTAAATATTACATAACCAATGGCTGTGTTTTATTGATCACAAAACACGACTCACAGAATCGTGTTCCAATACGCCTAATTCCCGAGGCTTTATAAATAAATCTTTCCCAATTGAGCCATAGAGTAACCACTACAAACAAAGTTTCAATGTACATATAGTGTATTAAACATAAACTAACAATGCTAAGAATGTATATCTCTCGTACTCGAACTGAAATAAATGAAAACTAAATAACTTTCTCATAAAAAATAACTTTTGAATAACTGAAGCAGCAGTGAAAGACCACTACTGCTATTTTCCCAATGAACTAAAATGAATTAAAAGGCAGATATCAAATCAAACGGAACTTGCTAAGGATACACAAGTTTCCCTCTGAGATAAAAGCAAATGCAAAAAAAAAACAATATTAAAAACACAATGAAGTAAAAAAGGAAGAACAAAGGAGTGAGTGGGCTAATGTTTAGGTTTTCATTCTCTCCATTGCCATATATATACTACCGGGACTTTTGTTTGCTCCCATTGCAGTATCAATATCACTCATCGGAGTGCTTGATCTCAGTATACAACTGCCTTCACCAATGGCAAGCGAACTTCCATTTCCACTATGCATAAAGATTGGTCTATCAAATACATTTGTATTTTGTGTGCTAGCAGATGAAACTGCTGATGATGTAGCTGATGGATACGAGGATGATAATGTTGATGCTGCAGAAAAGGAGCCACTTTGTCCTTGAGGTAAATTGGTATTCACCCGAAGTGATTGGTGTTGTGGCTGCTGTTGTTGGTTTTGAAATTCAAAGTGTTTCAACTGTGGTGTTGATTTATAATGCGGAAGTGGTAACAGGTGATGTGGCACTGTTGCATGTTGTGCCGGTGGTGGTGGAGCCTGCCTTGGTGGTTGATTTGGCACTTGCACAGCAAAGTTGTACTTGCTTCTGACATCCGGAGGTGTGGAAAAGTTGCCTTGTTGATTCACCACTGCATTGGCCGGTGCTGACATAAAAGGAATTGGAGGCGTAACGGCAATGTTCATTGCACCTCCTGCTGAATTTGTCGAGCATGCCGAACCAGTAGGAGATGGAGCTGAAAACAGTTCACTTGACGAAAATGAACCCGATCTCATTGCAGTGTAATCTTGATAAACACGCGTGGTTGTTGCTCTATTGCAAATTGGTGCCCAGCCATTCACCACTGCACGGTACATGTATTGTGGACCACTGGTGTCAAATAAACTCAACATATACTCTGAAGTGTTTAAAATGGATTTGATCAAACACTTTTTGATCATCTTATAATGCTCCATTTCTATGTTGATGCGTGCTAATGAATAACTAGACCTCGAAGATAAGGTGGTTGGAGTTTGCACAATTTGATAATCGGTGCAACTGAAATCGATTCGAAATACATCATTGATTAAATCGGATATAACTTGACCAACTTCAATCATGCTCACATCTACCAAATCAAATGAGTATAAGGAAATGTAGCTCAAGTACTCCTTGACTTTAAACATCTCTCCAGTGCTAATATCTCCTTCACTTGCTCCTTGTACTTGACAAGTGCAAAATTCATTGCTCTTGACAATGAACTCCTCAATCAGTGGATCGCATAAACTCCAATCTAATGTGGTCATAATGTGTAGTTCCATTTGCTTAAACATTCCGACATCATATTTACATTTAGCCCCGCATAACTTGACCAATTCATGTAATTTGGGTAATCTAAACCGCTCAGTTGGACCGATAAATTTACCACCACTTCCATAACCTAAATCACCAATGACTCTAAACCCATCAGCACATTTGTTCAAGTTGTTCAAATTGACGAAATGGTTATTGCCACCGTTGATCTTGCTAGCAATCCATAAGCATGTTGTGATGATCAACTGTGATTGGTCTAACAACACAATGCGCTTACAGCAATATCTGTCAAACAATCGTACTGCTTTGTAAAACACAAATGGAAGGATCTTCAAGCGTACCGACATTTTGAGCAAGAATTCAACAAGTTTAACCCGTATAGCTGGGGTAAGATATGGTTGTTGTTTATATAGACTGACATTTGGTTTGGTTTGTTCAATCTGTTCAAGCATTGTTTCATAAATGTCCATGTCATATTCAGATACTTGTTTCTCGTGAGTGGAAATTTCTGATGAGTACATGTGGGAAGAATAAAGCTCCTGTTCAAACTGTTTGGGGGTAAAAGATGGTGGCGGTGGAAGTGGAGCTTGATGATGTTGTGACAACCCTGGGTAATGAGTCCTTTTGTTTTGAGGAAAGAGACTAAAGCCATTAGGACTTGATTGTTTGGCAGCAGCGATCATGATGTAATGAAGTGTGTGTATATATGCAAAAATGGGGAAGAATTGAAATGAGTGTGTGTAAATGAATATGTAAATGTAACAAATGAGTGTGAGGTACTTAATGCAAGTAGGCTATGTATAAAGGAATGTAGGTGCTATTAGATGGTTTGATCAATAGCTTCGTAAGAAAAATACCTGAATTGTATTGTCTTATCTTATCCAGGGTCCTTAACTGTGTGAGGAATAAAATAGAAGAATGTAACTCAGTGAATAGGTGCACACAAGCCTTTGCAACGACTAGTGAGACGTATGTAATAGATGATAATAAAAATAATGTGAACTTTGAAGGTTTTGTAGTTGAACAAAAAGAACCCTGTATGCTATTTTTTTGAAGAAGTAGGTGGGCTATACAGAGGTTATATAAACTCTAAAAATTGAGTGAAATATATTTGATTGGAAATTAAAAATAATAAATTAAAATAGCAAAGCTTAATGCGTCTAGACGTTTCTTCGTTTAAGTTTATTATTTTATGTCCCCCTTTGTTTTACGCTAGGAGAGTTAATTTTGAGACCTTGTTGTGGTTTTCTCTCAAACAATGGGGCGTGGGTTTAGACGACGAGAAAGTAGGTGCTATTGTGCATGGTATACATACAGACTATGGAAATTGCATTTTTAATTTGTTTTGAAAAAAAAAAAAAAAAAAAAAAAGAAGACAAAAGACTTGAGGAATAAAGGGATTTAATGTATCAAGGGTTAAAATTAGGATATGGTTTTAATTTTAGCAGTAAACTCTTTCCAATGAATTTTGTGTAATTTAAGGTCTTCTTTGTCCTGCCCCACTTGTCTCGTCTAATTTTTTAATTTTTAATTTTCTATTTTTATTTTTATTTTTATTTTTTTTGTTTTTTTCTTTTTCCCTGTTTCCATCTTGACATATGAAAACTGGCGATTTTAGAATACAACCAAAGTGTATGGGTTGCCTTTTACAGCGATTAGAAAAGCAATAAAGGGGGTTTCAAAGCACTGCCATACGCGGAATGGAAAACCCACTACAATAAGAAAAAGCTGGACATTGTTACAAACGCAAAAAAAAAAATATAGAAACAAAAAATGAACTGACACATTAGGTCTCAGTAGATTTTAAAGTTGGAAATGAAAAGTAACGCAATTTTTCAGTAAAGAGGTTATTTTGTTGAATATACAATGTGCCTGTGGTATTCAAAAAAAAGTATAATCTTATTCTTCACCAAAAGTAGAGGGTTCGTTTGACTTTTACCTCGACGGGGAGTACCCGACGCCTGGAAATAAAAACTCGTTCGCTTTCTATTTCTGGTTCTATTTTAAGCCATTGAAAATCGACCCATGGTTATGCTGACCCCAATAGTTGGTGATCATATGATGGCAAGTCAAGCAGGAATTTGTGTAATATTCATTTAGTTGCGAATCTTCCAAGGGTGGTTATGGTTTCCTGTAGAGGTGAAAATCAGAAAAGTGCAGCCACAACGTGACTCTGTCATTGTTTTTTTGGGTAATCTGCACACCCATTGTTAGAGAGTCATACGCTTTTGTGCTGCTAATATTGTACCCTGGGTAACTAAGGACAAGATACGTGTTGAGAAATCACTCGGGTACATCCTCATTGTCTCCCTCCAGTAACCGCTTCTCGGAAAAGCCTATAAACACATGATCACTGAAATCCAAAGGAGACATTGGCGAAACACAACTGGTACCCGAACCAATAATGAAGGACACTAGACGGCAAAGATCAATAAAGGGTTTGATTGAATTGCACCATTTATTGTATGCAGTAGACATACTAGGCAAAGACTAAAATAAAGAAGCTTTCCACAAGGACGACCCTTTAGACCATTCCTTTTCACAAGCTAAGCTTTTCTTTCTTTGTGCCAATGGTAGCAACATGTAACAATCTTGAAATTGCAAGTCACTAGTATAGAACCCTTTTAGTTCTTTTTCGGGGACTTTGATAAAAATTGCTTCACCCAGATCTGCAGACTAGAGGATAAAAGTGCTCTGGTTTTTGCTGGATAATCTCTATTGCACTTCTAGGCTTATTTCCTATTTCGTCAAAATTTTGCAAAATACAACGCATATCCTCTTATTCGCCTATATATTGTACCTTTCTTTTTTCCAGACCAAAATAAACTTTTGGCGCTAGGGTGGTTGTTTGTGCAGCCAGGCGGAATATGCACACTGGGGAAATTTTTCTACTATTAATATTTCAAACAATAGGGGTGAGTTTGAGTTTAACTCTTTTGGGCTCTCGTTTAATGGGAAACGTGTTAACAAATTTTTCTTGTTTGTGTAACTATTAACAGAAAAAGCAAATGCTGATCCACAAAAACCCAACAAAAGACAAAAAGACAAAAAGACAAAAAGTTTATTTGTTTTTCAATTTTTGCAAATTTTATGTTTACGAAAGACACTCATAACCATTACCTCTGATCCACTTTGCGTGCATCTTTCTGTGCCTACATTTTGGTTTGTTACTTGGTTGTTACGAACTATCTATTAATGACAAGATTCTACGACCAGTCAAAATTGTAAACAAAGTTTGGTTGCAACTGGCTTCGCTGAGATTGTAAGACAACAAACGCAAATGATCAGCTAGACGAGCAGAAGGCTTAAGAAAGTATTTTTGCCATTCAAGCGCAACGCCACAAAGTAAATACATAGAACAATCAACAAAAGTTGTCCCAAATGCTTTGCCATTATCTACACCTAATTGATTGTTCTTACTCAAGAGCCAAACTTTGTCGATAATAAGACGAAATCAAAACACGGTCCTAATAGTTTGGAAACTTAGTCCTTCCACATCAATTTCCTTTTCTTTCTTGGTTTGGTCCCGTTAAATAGTTGACAATACAGTTCAACTTCAGGGAAGAGTACTTGAATGAGCGATATCAAGCTTCAAAGAAGAGTTATTCAGGGGTGTGCTCTCTTTCCCTAATGGTAAGGTGGATAAATAGTTAGAACCTCCGCAACACCAGTCGGCTTTCATTTTAGCTGTTTTTAGAAGTCATTGGCCTCACATTACTGTCCAAGTAGAGTTGTTTTTCTTCAAAAGCTCCCGGTCGTGTATTTTCTAAAGTGTACACAAAAAAGTCCCTTGTTATCCCTTGTTTCTTGTCTCCGCCAAAGAGTACAAAAGCGGCTGCACAAGGTACGCCAGTTAAAAAGTGTCAACATTTTCATATGAAACTTATACAAACAGAAACAGTGTACAAACAAGCTAATCTCCGAAATAGTGTGGTTCGGAAAGACCGACCTATTGCAAATCAAAAGAACAAGAAGAGGCCAAAGTAATTCTTTTCTCTTTTTTCTTCAAGCTAGCGGATGTATTTACATTGTAGGGGTTCTTCCAACAAGATTAAACTAAACGATCTAACTACTGAAGCCACGACGCGAAAATGTAGCAACACCCGACAAAGAATAAACTCCACACGCTCCTCAAAAGCAGCATTGTACACAAAATGTCTCTGGCTTGCGAGACTTTAAAGTTTGTAAACATTGGTAGACGATACTGGTCATCGTATCCAATTGTACCCCTAAGTAATTTTACCCCTAATTTACCCAGATCAGATAACACTTTCCATGCGGCGTTTTGAATGCAAACGGTTGAGGCTCATATTGTTTTCTCCTTCTTTGTTGTTTTCCTATTGTGGAAGTGTGGGTTTTGGCCGCATTGTTTTATCATTTGTTTTCCCACAGCACAAGAGCTTTATTGTTTACTCCAACGGGATTTTGAAAAGCTGTATAATTACGATTACAACAGAAGGCAAATTGTAATTGGCCCATCATCGAGTCTAGGTTTTGTGACTATCTACTCCAACCAGCGTTTATGTTAGTTTACGTCTAACAATGTAGAATGCGCCGATGTGTACGCTGAATCCGCCTTTATACAATTGAATTTATTTTGCTGAGAGGTAAAAAGCATAACCATGCGAAATGTCAATCAGAATTTCATACTCCTTCCACCCATTTAGGAACTGGAAAGCGTGGTCAAGATAAATTGGTGGCAAAACATGTCAGTGTTTGCTATGAATCTATCAACACTTGCTGCTCTACTATATATATTGCGGCACCTCTTCCAACGAATTCATTTGTTTAGGCTTCAACAATGAGCCAAAATGGTACGAAAAACCTTTTGGCCGGCCCGTAATCTCGAAACAATAGATGTGAGAACAATACAAAAAGGATGTCTACCAGCAAAATCTGGTCCGCAATGTAAACAACCGACGGGCTTTCGTCAACGGTGGAAAAAAAAAACACAATTACACGAGGATACCTTTTGTCACTTTGCACAAAATGGCAAGATCTGGGTAAGCGTCTTAAAGAATGCATTATGCGCCGACGAGAGGGCCTTCTAGGAAAGTCTTGTGCCAATTAATAACGTAGAGACAACCTCTTTTGTGCAACTCTTAGTAAAACAGCTGATTTTCTGCGAGGGAATAGAAAAAGAAACGATTGTTAGGCCAAAACTCGTATTAGCTAGCAGAAATGAGGAAGAAGCGACTAGCAGTGATGTAACTGTGCTTCGAGGCATTAGCAACCTCTCCTGTGCAAAGAAAAGGGGTGGGTTAATAACGTTTGTATAAGGATTGATTGGTTAAATTCCTTCAATGTCGCGTTTTATTTTTCGACAACGTATGTGACAGAACCCAAAAAACCAGAAACAAAAGCAAAAGCAAAAACAAAAACAAAAACAAACGCATCAATGCTCTCTCTCTCTACCCCCATATTTTGCAACACGTCCATCTCAGCCAACATCGATGTGGAAACGTTTGGGATTCGGAGACACTACAGTTACCAATGAGCCAACTATAGATTATAATAAAACATCGTCGTCGTTTCCAAGTACTCCGACTCCGCATCGCAGCACAAGAAATCAGAAATCACGATTACTGGATGATTTATCAACTCCATATCGAGATCAGCCCGAGTATGATAGTGACGAAGATGAAGAATTAAATCGCTATCGATTCGATTACACAAGAAGTCTTGATTTTGGCAATTATGACTTAGATGATGATTTACGACGAGACACCGAAATGATTCGAGAGTGGACTAGGGAAAGCAGTTTAAGAAACAAGTACCTGTATTTAGAGAGAAAGAAACACGAAGACACGCATTATTCACTCCCACGACGATTTCCTGGAAAGTACCAAATAAGTTCGAAACATGATGTGGAGGAACTGAAAAATAGCAAGGTTGATCTAGTGCAGCAGAATCAAATTGATTGTGAAATCAACAAATTGAAACAGGAACTACAACAAGAACAACAAACTGAAGATGATTTGATGCCGGGGGGCTCGTTAATACCACATATCGCGAACCTCACTACCAATGTCCAAGGACAAACAGACTACCTCTTTCATCTCAAGCAACACATCGAACTATCAGACGAAAACAATGTAAACAACAGGAACGACGACTACCAAACCCTCAAGCAAGAATATTTAAAAGAGCTTGCCAAAATGGAGAAACTCTACACCTGTTACTACAACCTTTTAGAAAAGTATGTGAATAAAAAGGTATAAGGATTGCGTTACTCTTTGTAAACAGTTCTCAATAGATACGTAGTTAATGAATAGATTAGCATCTGTCCACTTTTTTTTATTATTCAATTAGGGCACGTTATAAGTTACAAATGTTTCATCTATATAAGGAGAGTTCGTATATTTGGCAATCATGCAGTCTGCGCTTTCTAAAGCAATTGCGCCTAGCAGTTAACTCCCTTTGTTAAACAACACTAGAGCTCATACTAGGCAACAACGAATGTGCATCAATCGTCACATTTCCTTCATCGGCTACTCCTTCGCTAACACATTCTTCAATTATCTTGTCCCAGTTGCTTGTCACAGTAAAGTACAACTGCGAGAAACTTACTACTAACAATGCAATAATCATCCCGTACCATAACCCAACCAATTCCAAATGGCAAGCAAAAGCAAAATAGTAAGCACAGGGTAAGGCAATTAAATAGTAGCCAATCAAGTTCAATATACCGCCAATATACTGTCGGCCTTGACCTCGTAAGACACCGCCTGTTGAGCAGGATATGAAATCGCTAATTTGGTAAGCTGCGCCGACAATGAGCACTTTTGTAGCCGCTTCTATCACATCTTGGTCCTTCGTGTAAAGCTTCGCTAATGAGTGTCTAAATGTAACCAAAATTGCACAGTTGACGAAACCAAAAACAATTGACGTGTAAATCGCTGCCTTTGTTGCTAATTTAGCTGCATATCCAGAAGCAGCTCCAATATACCACGCAATTCTCGTTGAGCACACGACGCTCATTCCAAAAGGGATCTGGTAAAGCACTACCAATGTCGTGCTCACTATAGACTGTGCAGCCAATACAGTTGTGCCTAATTTGGCGGCTTGGAATGTGATAATTTCAAATGCTAGCCATTCGGCTTCCACCATCAACACTCCTGGAATCGATAGTCTAATCATCCTATGCCAATTACTAAAGAACACCTTGTCGAACAAACTCTGTTTGGGCCAGCACTGGTACCCGTCAACAAAGAAAATATATCCATATAATAACCCACACATGAGCCAGTTTGTAATCACCACCGAAGTTGGTGCACCGATGAAACCGATTCCAAGCGTTTTATCCCAAACTAACACATAGTTTAGAATTGCGTTTACAGGAGCACAAACAGCTAATATATAGGTTGATGCGTGGAATATACCCTGGCACTGAAGAAAGTGTTTGGCATTTTCAAATAAAATAAATCCTGGTAATCCAAGTGATAGTATTTTAAGGTAATCTGATGCTAGTTCACACAAATCCGGCTGATTTTTAATGATCAACTTCAAAATGGGGCCCGAATTGGTCCAAATCAAGATTATTGGGATACAGCACAACAATAATAAATAATTGCATCTTATAAATGCAACACCTACCTGGTTTAATTCTCTTTTGCCATACGCTTGAGCACATAATGTATCGAGGCAAGTTGAAACACCCTGAATAATGGCATATCCACTGATATTAGCTGTCATGGAACTGAGGCTGACCGCTGCCAACTCAGTTGACCCTAATCTTCCCACAGATAATACTGATGCAACGGTGAGAGAGTATTGAAGCAAAAACGTAATGACTATGGGAACAGCAAACTTGAGCAAAAGCCTCGTCTCCCTCAACAATGTAGTCTTGGGTTCTGGGCCAATATCGCTGCCATGTTGGAGCAAAATTTCGCTTATTGTTTGAGATAGTACAGTTGAATGTGAAACCTGCGGACTCAATGACCCAAAATCTTCGTGACTTTCATGAGGTAAACTCAGCGGCGACATCGCTTCATGATGCAAACTATTGCTTAATCGAGGCATATCATTTTTGGCCGAGGCAATTGAACGTCTCTTTTGTCGAACATAAGACACAATTTCATTTTCGTCAACTTCGGAGACATGACTCAATCTTCTATCGTGCTGGAACAAAGGTGTATTTTCATTGTGCATGATTCGATGTCCTTTTGGTCAGGGTGAGAAACGTGGGTCAGGTCTTGACTGCTGTTTTTCGCTGAATGTTGTAAGATTTACCCTGAAGCTCGTGCTTATGGAAAAGTTCTATTCACTATGAATCAGGTATATTTATTCCTCGACAAAGTTGAAAATTAATTTGAACGTGATCCTGATGCAACAGATGAACAATAGTGAGTTGGAAGTATTCAATCATCCTTATCTTTAGTGAACGTGTTTTTCCCGTTTTTGTGTGCGTTCTGTTTTCAAACAATCAACAATTTTCACGGTTATAATACGTCAATCAACTCCTTAAAATTGGACAAATTGTTTGCTAAGGTTGAGATCATGGCTTTGTTCTAAAATTTGGAAACATCTTCGGTCTGAAAATTGGTGCCCATTCCATTATGAAGAGGCAACTTCGGGTTTTTGTGAGTGTATTTTAATCACATTGTAATACTTTAGCAATTTGAATAAGTACTTCTTCCCTTAGTAAATGGTGGGCAATGGATGGAATCATTAAGCTTCATACCCCGGATTCCTTTTCCAGTCTTCCCTTCTACCGAATAGAAAGCATCACGCTTGTTGCCCAGTACTTTCATAACGGACTTACATCTCCGGGCTTCAAACCATTGCTTCTCATTTAAAATTTGAAAATGTTGGATCATAATCTGCAAGGCTAGTACGACATCAATTTTAATATATGCACACGACACATTTTTACAAATGGGTGTAGCATCATAATCTTAAAAGGGGGGGGGGGGGGTTATGAAAAAGTGTAAATTCAACGGTATTATTTTCAATACGGAAATGAACTATAAAACGGAGTGTAATTGACTTCTCCTCCCATTCGTTCACTTACAAGGAATTTGACCAACACTTCACAAATCTGTCCGTTTTCATCTTATGTCTCTTTCAGCATCCAAATTCATTCTTAGCAATGGTAACGCAATTCCCGCTGTTGCTTTAGGCATTGGTGCCAAACATTTTAAACACGGCCACAACGAGTTGGACAGGCAATTAATTGGTACCTTGGAGCTAGCATTGAAGGGTGGTATTACCCATATTGAAGGTGCTGGGTCCTATGGAACCAATGAAGAAATCGGAATGGCTTTGAAAAACTCAATGGTTAAAAGGAACGAAGTTTTTATCACTGCCGAGTACTTTCCCAGCGAAGACAAGCATCTTAAACATCACAACCCTTATGAAGAATTGAAAGCCAATTTGAAGGACTTGGGTTTGACATATGTTGATTTGTATCTCCTCCATCAAGAAGTTTCCAATGGCGGCCCTGCTTTACTTAAACAGTGGAGTCATATGGAAAGATTAAAAGACGAAGGTTTCGCTCACAGCGTCGGTGTGTCAAATTTTGGCATTGAAGATTTGAAACAGTTATTGAACTCAAAGACTAAATGGAAACCAGTAGTCAACCAAATCGAATTCAATCATTATTTGCATGATGATACTCCTGGCATTGCTGAATTTTGTCAAGAACAAGGCATCTTGGTGGAGGCTTATGCTGTCGTGTGCCACAATAAGTCTTTACACTATATACTAACCAATATGGCTGAAAAGTATAACAAAAATGGCGATCAAATCTTATTGAGATAGGTCATTCAAAAGGGGTTATTGCCCATCACCACAACTTCAAAGGAGGAAAATATGGAAGACATTGTTGGTGTTGTCAACTTTGAATTGGAAGAGGAAGATGTGGAACAAATAACACAAGTTGCAAGAAAGAGGATTCATTTTAAGTAGCATCATTTAGTATTTCTTATTGGCTGCGAAAGACTCAATTCTGACACAGCCTTAATATACGGTTAAAAGCTTCTCCAAAAAGTAGAGCAGGTTGTATATTCCTGAATTATAATTACCAACTCCTTCTTCCCTGGTTTTGTTATTGGGTGGTTTGTAGTCTTTCATCTGTCAATTCCTTGCCAGGCTACTATGTTCGTAGAGCAAATTTTAAATTGCTACCACCTCCTCCAACTTAGAAGCAAAAAGAAAAATAAAAAAAAAAAATCTTCTTACAGTGTGTCAATCATCAAGCCATGTCCTCTATACTAAAAAGCATACCATCAAAGAGCCGGTTATTAGAAGTGAGAAAGCTTCGTGCAGAAATATTTGATGAATTTTGGAACCCAACAGCAAAGAGAAATCCTACAAAAATATTGAAAGCACCCTTGAAGGGACCAGAGGTGGTGAAATACTATGGAGACAACAATGCTGTGCCGACATTCAAAGATTTCAAAAAATGGTTTCCAGAATTGAAATTGGTGGATCCTCGAGAAGCTCACAGGACGTTTATGGTTGAAGATAGAAAGAGGAGGAATAAAGGTGCTCCAAAGAAGAAGAAAGCTTAGGTTTAGTTAATTCGCCTTGTACATACATAATACACTATTATCACTTTATTCTTGCCCGTTTGCGCATCGCAAATGTGTCAGTCATCTCGTCAATCAGCTGATTACCAGCAGCACTTTTATTCTGGCTGTTCTGTGTTGCTTGATTGATATTAATGTAAATCCAAAGCTCGCTCCTTGGTCCCTGGTTAAGTACAATAAGGGACTCTTTGTCAAGTAGTGATGTGAAGTATATTGTCTCATTGGTCGAGAATATTGGTCTCACGATGCTTTTCTCGTGAAGTAGAATTTGGTGTGTAGTAATGATGAACCACCGATCCTTGTCAACAATTACATCGACTATTTCCAGACGACTTTCTATGTTTGTGATAAATTTCAACTCATCCAGGTAGTATCGGAAGCAATATAGCAAATGGTTGCCTAGTTGTACAAAGAAAAACTCATGGAGCTGAAAAACTTTCTTGACTCCTACTTCGAGGGACCCTTTACTGCTCAAATCGGGAGCAGTATTTTTCAAGTTCTTGACCTTGCGTTTAACCACTTTTAACAATTTCATTGATACTACTTGAAGCTCCAAATTATGTCCCATGACCCTTGCTAATAGTAGGAGTTCCTCGTCATCAGACGAGAACCAGCAACTTTGTGTTGCTCCCTTTAAGGTTTTTACCATACCATCGACTTCGACTTCGACTTCGTTTGCAAATTCAATATCCACCAACGGTTTAGCCAAATCGGGTCCATCACTACCATTCGACCCATATACCTTTAAAGAGTACCCTGATAAAGTTTCATTCCGATCTAGAACCTGTAGCCAGTTCCCACTAGGTGACCAGTCCACATGAGCTTCTTCGGAAACAAAATTTTGAAATCTAACTGAGTTCACTGGTATGCTGAGAGGGCCAGTGTTTAGAAATTGATTCATCGTTGGAGGTACATTGTACTCAAAAGTGTCAGCAATCAAGCACCAGAATGTGCCATTTGTAGTCCTGCGATAGATAACACGATCACTCAACGGTTTGTCTACCGTAAATAGCTTGTGTGTGCAGTCTAAGGAAAATAGTTTAGCACTCAAGCTGGATGTTGAAAATAGCAATAGTTGTGAGCTGTTTGAGTGGCCAGCAGCCTCTTCACTTTCAGTCGGTATTATCCATTGAAATGACTCGATTCCTTCGGTTTGGGGTTGCCGTATCAACACCAGTGAACTCTCGTCTTTGTTTATATCTAGGATAAATAACGCTGACATATTTCGAGCCAATACTGCCAATTTTTTACATTCCCTTCCATTGTGGGGGTACTCCCATTGAAAGCTAATGTCAAGCGAGGTAGGAATTTCCTCAAGAGAAATCCTACTCTGTATTAACTCAATCATTTGGAAAGAGCGGTGTAGAGTATTGTGTGGAGTTTGAAAAATGTTCAACACAATCAGATCTTCCAACGGCTGGATTTGGCCAACGTAGTTTCTGCATGGTGATAGCTGAACCTGAGTCATGGGGTAGTAGGTGTCTTCTATGTTGATTCCCTTATTTCCTGCCTCTTTTCGCTGAATCTATTCTATTTTATGGTAGCAAAACGCGGTACAAAGAAAATCAAAACCAAAACAAACACATCATTCTTTTGTCAGAAAGGCATCTTCGGTTATCAAACACTACAGCATAGACTTAACAATCTTATAGAGGACAATTTAAGCCTACTTATAATGAAAACAAGTAGAAGACTAGGAGCGGGAAAACCACGAAGAGGGCGTACTTCCAAATCTTCCAAACCAAAACCAACATCACCAACACCTCGCGATCACAATCTACCGCATCATTCGAGGAGTATTTTTGCTCGAGATAATAAACTATCGTCGTTATTCTCTTCTCAAAGTGAAAGCACGCCTGATCCAACTACTCGGAGATCCAATCAACTTCCATATGCGGACGAAGATGAAGTCTTTTTTGAACGAGACAGTTCCCCACCTCTTGACATTAGAAGGAAAAGAAGGCTGATAACACCGCCAAGTCAGTTTCAAAATGAGTTAGCGTACGATCTGAGAAAGCAGTCAGATAGCCTTTATAATGACATGTTTTATCTTCTGAAACCGAAAAGCTCTACAAAATCAAGAAAGCAGCTGACAAGAAATTCACACAAAACATCTCAAGAGAGATTAAAGAGTCAGCTACAATCTCCGCTAAAGGGCCACAACGAGATACTACCAAGGAATGATGTACAAAAGCTGAACAGCCAGGGTACCAGAAGATTGTCTTATAACAGTCGAGGGAGAAGAGTAAGCTCGATGGGCAATGGCTTCGAAGGAGAACCGCATCAGGACGTTCCAGTTTCAGAATACTACAAGCACCTTGACAAATCAATTCCGGAATCTGATCGAATGCGGCAACTCTTGATTTGGAATTTAAAAGCCGAACTAGACAAAGAAGAGAATGATTTGAGAAATAAACTGGACCAAGTCTCAACCGAGAATCACACAATCAACAATATTGCCAAAACTATCAATGACGAATTAATTCAGCTGTTGAAGGATTATTCGATATCCACGGACTGGAAAGAAGGTGACCTGCGCAAAACTGATTCAGTTCTTTTACCCAATCCGAAGAACAAGGAGAATTTGAGGAACATTAGAAAGTACAGTACGGAATTGACAGCATTAAAGCGAGAAAAGCAGGAGTGGGAGCTGGCGTATTTGCGATTGACATCTCTAATAGACACCATGGCTAAGGAAACAGAAGGTTTTGCAAAGGATTTTGAAAAAGTGTACAGCCCAAGTGAAGCTAGTGTGGATCCTACTTTTGTCAATATGGAGCAAAATTACCTTGACGTACGTGAAAACTTGAAAAGAGTGGCTGCAGATGTTGAGCTGCTAAGTTTCGCGGCCCAAAGAATGGGTCATCTAGCCGAAATGATGAACAATGAAGGTAAAGAGGAGTTGCGTCAGGACATTTCAAACTTATTGAAAAAATCGTTACCAAAATCCTCACCACAGCCATCGCAAAAGCCGTCAGAAGCAAAAGACATTTTACGAGCCATATGCCTTTGCGCAAATGCAAAATAAAAGTATGTACGTTAAAACGAGTCATTTATTTCGTTACAAAAAATAAATCATGCTATTTGGTCTACGATTTCTTAGCAAACAAAGGTTCACCAATGTTCTTTCCTCTCAACTTGATACCTAATGCTCTTTCTAGTTTGCCCAAGACTTGTTGACTTGGGACTGCTCTTCCGGCTTCATAATCGTTGATGACATTTGGTTTTTCATTCACTTTAGTAGCCAAATCCTTTTGCGTAAACTTCTTCTCCTGTCTACCTTTCTGGATAGCCTTACCGACATTAGTGTCAACCTTCTTTACGGCAACAACATCATCAGTAGCATCTAGTTTAGTTAATCTTTGACCTTCAGGGTTCGACTTGGTGTTTGCTGATCCGTATTTCTTTTCAGTACCTACAACCAAACCCAGTCTTCTTGCAGCGTTCAATTGTGATTGTGTCTTGGCAACATGCTCTCTTGGACCACCGCCCCCAACTCTGGCCTTTGAACCAATAATAGTAACTGAATTCCAATCTTCTGACATTGTTGAACTGATGTATCTAAGTCTAAGTTAAGTGATGTAAAATGTTTGTTGTAAACTTTGATGAAAATGTGTTGACTCACTTATATTTTTGCCGTTCGAATGAGAAAAAATAGAAAACTAAAGAAGAATCTTCTTAAAAAATTTATGGGCCAAATCGAAAAAGTCCTTTTGCGACCTGCATATAGGAACTCGTGTGATCACACACATTCCGACTGTGGTTGTCACTACCAGCAGATACGGTACGAGCTAGTCCTTTGAATGAGATACCCACAGGTCAATATTACTCTAGTTATTCGTAGTAATGAAGTGCGATGAATAAGCTATTCATAAGCATCAGTCGTTTAACGGAACACTAAGGCAGAGTGAGTTCATATGAAGTTCTTGAGTAGGGAAAGATAGAGCGTCCATAAGATATCCTTTTAGAAATACAGTAGATATTGTATCAGTTCAATCGCGTTGATTGTCCCAGCCAAAAACGGTGCATTTACCTTTCAGCCCTATCCGGCTATAAAGAGTTCAGGAGTTAAACAAAACTTCCTCAAATTTGGCAAAAGCAAAAAAAAATGAAATGGAAAAATAATATTTCTCCTTTCCTATTTTAAATCTAAAAGTTGCTAAGCATTACAATATGACATCAATTGAGGTCAAGTCACGTTCTAAAACACTCAAATCATATTCATCAAATGAATTGACTACAGATGATTTAGTGGATGATTTGATAGAAGAGCTCAGTGCCGATAACCACATTTCTAGACATAGACTCAGATTGACCAGGTTAGAAAATGGAAAGCAAGTTCCATTGGTGGCTGATAAATCGTTTGCTCAAAACGGGATTCCCAAAAGTGAGACTAATATCCAACTTTACGTGAAAGATTTGGGCCCACAGATTTCATGGCGAACTGTGTTTGTCGTGGAGTATTTTGGACCATTTATATTCCATGTTTTGTTTTACAACATTGCTGCATTGTACAATGTGAAACCATTTGAACATATTCAAACACAAACCTTGGCTTATTGGATTGTGTTGTTGCACTTTGCCAAGCGTGAATATGAGACATTATTTGTGCACAAGTTTTCAAACGCCACTATGCCTATGTTTAACATTTTCAAAAACTCCACTCATTACTGGATCTTGTCGGGATTTAACTTGGCATACTTTGTCTACGCTCCTGTTGGTAATCACTCTGGTGCTTTAGGCTATTTGTTTCACGTTAACGAGTTACCACACTGGGCTACTTACTCATTGGTTGCCGTGTGGGCTTTTGCTGAATTTTCCAACTTTAAAACTCACAAAATCTTGAGTAACTTGAGAAACGAAGACACTAAGAAGTATGTCATCCCATATGGTTACGGCTTCAATTTGGTGTCATGTCCAAACTATTTCTTTGAATCTTTATCGTGGTTGGCATATGCGTTGTTGGTTGGTAATTGGTCGGCATGGCTTTTCCTTTTTGTCAGTACCGGTCAAATGTGGCTTTGGGCTGTCAAGAAGCACAGGAGATACTTAAAAACATTTGGTGACGAGTATAAGAAGTTAAAGAGAAAGATCTTCGTACCATACGTTATTTAGTTTATATAGCTTAACATCTCTTTTCAACTTAAAGTGAAAAGTCATTTCTACATGAACAAATTAAAAGCATCATCTTTATTCTCATAACATCTATCCTAAAACAACATCCCATTCGTAACATCCTAACAATCTAAATAAAAACATCCCATTCATCTATCCAGACACCGTTCCTAAAATCTCAATCATCTTCCTAAATATTCCTCAAATGAACCTTATTCGGTCTTGTCCGGGTTCAAGTGAAGTGAAATACTGTTGACACAGTGTCTTTCATCGGTTGGGGTGTGGAATCCCTCGCCTTTGAAAACGTGTCCCAAGTGTCCACCACATTTGGCACAGGTGATTTCGTTTCTCACCATACCATGACTCTTGTCGGTGTGGATATTGAGAGCGCCAGGAATAGCATCATAAAAAGCTGGCCATCCGCATCCAGAATCGAATTTGGTACTAGCCTTGTAAAGGGGGTTGTGGCAAGCAACACACTCATAAACACCCTTGTCCGATGATGGTGTTTTGTTGTACTTACCTGATCCTGGTGGTTCAGTTCCCTTTTCTCTCAAGACATAAAATTGCTCTGGGGAAAGAATAGCTCTCCATTCGTTATCTGACTTGGACATGTTTCTCGTAATTTGCTTTTGAGTGTTGCTGTTGCTCTGAGTAGTATTCTTGGTGGCAATGAATAAGTTTCTTGTAAAGTTAGGTATTGATGGTGATACGGTCTTAAGCTTCAATACAGTTGCGGCTTGTTGACGAAACATGAAAGTTAAGAAAAGAAAAAGTAGAAGGCAAATGAAAAATTTCGATGCCATGATTAAAATATAATGAAATTTGCTGAGATTTAAATATGGCCGTTCGGATATTCAATGATGCAATTTATATTTATTTAGTGGAGTAGCCGTAGTTACACAAAATTTATTTAATTAGCAATTGTTGCTTTAATTCTAGAACGTGCGAAGCGAGCGATGACAACAAAAGTCTATTTGACAATGGCGGCGCGGCCTACACAAATCTTTTTATTACTAATTGCGTCTTCCATAATCCTAACGGAGGAAGTACTTGTATTCACCTTTTTGGTTTCTACTTTCATCATTACTTTCGGTTTGCAAATCCCATTTGAGATCAATGTCGTACTCTCTAGGGTTGACGGCACTTGGTCGTGCAAAAATTTCACCATAAATGATATCACCTTTCTTCAAGTCCAAGACCTGGTCCATGTAAAATACTGTTTGCTTCCAATGAGTGTACTGGTTCATAGGTCCGGTTGGTAAAGTGACTCTTTCTTTTCCCGGAAATATGGCGTCCCAGTAGACGATGTATGCATGGCACATGTCATTCTCGGTGGTGAACAACTCAAATTTCCTCTTGAAAGAGAGTTCCTCCTTTTTGACAGTATTTATATCAAATTCAAAAAATTTGAAGCTGTTTGTCACCAACGCTTGTTTATTCACAGTGTCAACCAATGGTTCTTCCATTGCTGTTTTGATAAACGGCGAGTAATCAAAGCCATAGACGTCTTCCCAGTAATGAATCTTTTCTTCCTTGTATTGGCCATCCTCGATACCCGCAATATACATCTGACACTTGTCTGGCAAAATTAAACCACCCTTTACAAGATACTTATCTCTAGCGTATAATACAGTATCCAACATGGATTCATAAAGTAAAAAGTACCCCATCCATTCTGATATTATAATATCAACTGAATCAACCGGCAACTTGATATCCTCCAATTTACCCTGCAACAAAGTAATTTTATCACTGAATCCATTCAAATCGACAATTTCTCTAGCCCTGCCGATTATAGATGACATGTCAACAGAGTACACGTGCTTGGCACCAGCTTTAACGGCAAACATGGAAAGAATACCAGTACCACAGCCAACGTCAAGAACAATTTTACCCTTGAATGCATCCTTGTTCCTGTACATGGCATTTCTATAACTCAATGTACGTGATGTGTCTTTCAACATCTCTTCGTGGATGCCAAAATGGTCGTAAGATGAAAAATAGTGTTGTTCATACTTGTCGAGAGCTGACTTGTCAGTGGCTGAATCAGACATGATTAAAAGATGTGTTGTTGGATAAGCGAAGGGAGTTGGCACTGGTGTGGAGTCAAGTGAAAATTGTGATAAAATTTGGTCTAAAAAAAAGAAAAGAAATCATCACCAACGCGATGCTCTGGAGTATAAAAATTTAAGACATTACCAACAACGCCGAAAAAGGAAAAAAAAGAATTGGACGAGATAAGAATCGAACTCATGACCTTTCCCATGCTAAGGGAACGCGCTACCAACTACGCCACACGCCCGTTTTCTGAAAAAATAATAATGCTGGTTCAACACATCAAGCTAGTAATAGTCATGTGGGGAGCTTTTCAACTTCTCGAACAATTTGTAATACCTGCTACAAATGGAGGCAGGTTTGCAATGAAGAAGTTTTATATTGTAAATAATGTGCTTTATTTTAGTTTAGGATTGTCTGTGTATATTTCTGATTAAAGAAGTAGTTTAAATCATGTTTTAAGGGTTAAATCTTCAATACCCACTGCTGAAAGTCAATTCAGATCAATTAAATGTTATCCCGTTCTTTTAATTTTGCTCATTTAATATGTGAGTTTAAATTTAGGAATTTTAGGAATTTCAACGCTCTTGTAGCTAGGGGTCAAAAATTTGCGTACTTTAATAAAGCTTTAATTTAGACTCATTTTGATAAGCAGAAACTTTTCCAAGACTTGAAATATATAGTTAGTTGTTTCTCGGGTAGCTTTAAGCTGTTGGGGGTGATGCAAGTAAGGTTTAAGTAACGCAATAAAATTGATTAAAGTTTGCAACAAATTTAGTATAAAATTTAAAATGTTTAATGCAATTAGGTACAGACTTTAACTAATTATATATACAGTTTCAAACTGCTCTACAAGATCTAATAATCCTCATTAACCAAACTGACTTCCTTTATGTTGTGCACTTTATTATATAACCCCAGCCTCAAATCACTCCGAGATTTTTTTTTTTTTTTTTAATTTCTTTTGCAGCACAAATTGGTTTTGGCTCCGATATGGATCTTGGAATCAGAACCTTCGATTTCATACATCAAGGGATAATCACACGATGATGCAACAAATGACTTTCTAGTAGATTCAGATGCAAAAACAAAAATTGGATAGGTTAGTATTTCACAACCCCAAGAAGGAAGTAACAGGAGATAGATTCAAGACACGATTTGATCCGACCTTTTCTTTTTCTTTATTACCGAGAAGCGAGACACAGAAACACCGCAAAATCCGGAGATGATATTTAAAAAAAACCAGGTGATTTGGTCAATTAAGAAGAGGAATTCAATTTTTGCATGAGTATCTACAGTATTACCTTCTTTCCAAATATAAACCCCCCTCCACACCTCTCTTTTCAATAATATGCACGTTTGTAGACTTTTTCTTTTTTGAACTTGTAATAATTTTTTTACTTTTTATTTATTTTTTCTTCTCTCGTATAAAAAAAAAGATAACAGAGCAAGAGACAATTTTTCAAAGCAAAAACAACTTATACTTTACTCATATACGGCCAAACTCAGGTTCCATTTTTGAAGACGGAGAAAAGAAGGCAATTGCAGGACCATTTCAATACAATGTCTTCTACCAACAGGATAAGAAAATCACATGAGAAAGATCCCTCGAGTTCGAAAGAATCAAAGTCTAAATCAACTGCTTTAAATAACGTTAGCAGTGACGAGGAAGATGGAATTCAAGAGATTGATGTAACCGAGGACGATTCCAAGAAGAGCCACCGTCATAATTCGATTAGCCACCACCATCATAAAAAACACCACGAAGAAACCAAATCGAGGAAAAAGATTCGCGAGTCAAGACGATTTATATTCATTTTGGGTATTGTATTTGGTCTTATAGTTACCGTGTTTTTTACAACAAACAAAGCCAGCTTCCCCGCTGATCTAGACCAGTTGGTCAATTTGAACTTTGACAATTTAAATTCCTTGTTTGAGGACTGGAAGGGGTGGAAGGACGTGTTGCCATCAGGAATACAATCCTATTTACAAAATGCCGAAGGTGGCGATGACAGTCTCCACGGCTCAGCCGAGTCGTTTAGTGTTGGATTGAGGCTAAGAGCCGCCAAGAACTACACGGCAAAATATAATGTGGTTATGGTACCTGGTGTCATTTCTACCGGGTTGGAATCGTGGGGAACAACGACTCTGGGCGACTGTCCTTCAATTGGATATTTCAGAAAGAGGTTATGGGGGTCCTTCTTTATGTTGCGAACAATGATTCTTGACAAGACGTGCTGGCTAAAGAGCATTATGCTTGATCAAGAAACAGGGTTGGACCCGCCCAATGTAAAAGTACGTGCTGCGCAAGGATTTGAGGCTGCCGATTTCTTTGTTGCTGGGTATTGGATTTGGAATAAGATATTGCAAAACCTAGCTGTGATTGGATACAGTCCTGATAACATGTTGAGTGCTAGTTACGATTGGCGTTTGACTTATTTTGATTTAGAGAAACGAGATGGCTATTTCAGTAAGTTGCAGAAGCAAATTGAAATGACAAAGAAGTTTGGTGGTGAAAAGTCGATCCTCGTTGGCCATTCAATGGGGTCACAAGTTGTATTTTATTTCTTGAAATGGGTTGAAGCCAAAGGTGAATATTTCGGCAATGGTGGCCCTAATTGGGTGAATGAACACATTGAGGCTGTTATTGATATAAGTGGCTCAACTTTGGGAACTCCTAAAACTATACCGGCCTTGATATCAGGAGAGATGAAGGACACGGTTCAATTGAATGCGTTGGCAGTCTATGGTTTAGAGCAATTTTTCAGCAGGAGAGAACGTGTTGACATGTTGCGTACATTTGGTGGTGTTGCTAGTATGTTCCCCAAAGGAGGAGATTTAATTTGGGGAAATTTGACGCATGCTCCCGACGATCCAATCAATACCTTTGAGACAAATGACACTAGTCAGGAGATCGAAGGGCCAAAGAATGGAAGTTTTGGTACATTTATCAAATACACCGGTAAGGATGGCAAAGAAAGAGAGGTTACAATGGATGAGAGTTTGGAGCAACTACTCGACGAAGCTCCATCATGGTATTCGAAAAGAGTCAGGGACAACTACAGTCATGGAGTAGCCAAGACTAAAAAAGAGTTGGAGACCAACAACCAAATCCAGAGCAAGTGGGTTAATCCATTGGAAGCTACGTTGCCCAATGCTCCCGACTTGAAGTACTACTGTTTTTACGGTGTGGGAAATCCTACTGAACGTGCGTACAAGTATGTGCCGGCCGACAAATCAGTCAAGTTAGACTATGTTATTGATAGTGACTCAAGCGATGGAGTCTTGTTGGGAGATGGTGATGGAACAGTGTCGTTGTTAACCCATACAATGTGTCATGAATGGCAAAAGGGAAGCAAGTCAAGATTCAACCCGGGCAATGTCAACGTTACCATTGTGGAAATCAAACATGAACCAGATAGATTTGATTTGAGAGGTGGAGCCAAGACAGCGGAACATGTGGATATATTGGGAAGTGCCGAGTTGAATGAATTGGTTCTCACTGTTGCTTCAGGAAATGGTGCCACCATTAAGGATAGATATGTAAGTAATTTGAAACAAATCGTTGAGGGGCTAGAGATATAGATTATAGGAGTTTATAGTAAGAAGAAACGATTAGGATTTGAGCAAGGAGAAGCCTTTTCGAAGAGCGTTTTATCATGTGTGTAGCACTTAACTTTGGTACGCATTAGGTAAGGGAAAAAAGGGATAAGCTATTACCCAGAAGAGACAACTTGGTGCTGAAAACGGCAAAGGATATAAGACCTACAAAGGGCCAGATTGAACTTCTTTTTGAGCAATACACTTTTGTGACCCTCTCCTGCCTTGTCCCAATGGGTGGACGAGTTCCGGTCTTTTGGGGGGAGTGGAGGCGGGGACCAGAAAACACACAAAAATTTCGCCATGAAAAGATGTATATTATTACGTGTTCAAGCATGTACATTAAGCTTGGTGCAAAGCACAAAGAAAGTTGAGGGTTGTTTCGTAACTAGTGTGGCTATTTTGGGTTATGAAACTTTTTAGACATATACACATTATTACTTTATGGAACTTGTGTAATATAAGTTTTTACTCTAAATGCAGGCACCATTTGTAGTATTGTTTTTTTGGTTAGGAAGGAGAAAAAGAGCTAACTGATCAAAACAATATGTCTATGGTAAAAACGAAGAGCGACAGGAGAGAAGGAGAAAGGAAAAGGAGAAACAAAAGAGGGACGTTGTTTCAAGGTGTGTGATATGTTTGTACTTTTATTGTCATGCGAAATTGCATAAAAAAGGGTATTACCATTGTACTTTTTACTCCACTTTGAGGGTCGAATTTCAATGACAAAAGGGATTCGTCCTGTGAGTTTTCGAAGCCGTCACACAAAATATATAAAATAGGTGCCTCGAACAAAGCACAGGGTACAGCATTATCTCTCTTATTAATGATCTTTCTGTGGGAAGTTCTCTCATTGTACTCATTGCCCAAAGGAATAAGGTATACGTGGTAACTATCTGAATCTTAACCACATTGACAAAAGTCAATTGGGTATTTAAGTATAAAGAACTCCGAGGGTGCGAGTTTTAGTTTTTATTGTTTTTTTTGCTTATGGTAGTGAGAGTGGGGTAAAAAGGAGTTCTTTTAAGATAAACGAAGTACAAGAAGCAAAATCTAAAATTGCTGTTTTTTTTAAAGTGCTCTTGTTTTGTATTGCATTGTATTATACTGAATTATCTTAACAATAACAAAAGGATTACGGAGTTTAATAGATGGGAAAGAGAAGGGAACGTCATCTCTTTCATCAATTGAAGTAAATAGCTCAAGCTTTGCAAAAGACGAGCATAATCTTTCTATGTGAAAGAAATGTCAAAGAAGCTATCACAACCGTTCCCCTGAGATACATGTTTCATCTCTTTAAATAGCAAGGGTGATATGCCTTTCAGGTACACATACTCTAAATAATAGAAAGAAATTTACTTACCCATGTATTGTTATTTTCTTCTCTCCTGCATAGATCAGAAAATCTGTTATCCACTAAATTCATATGGTTATGAAACTATTTTGAGTGGTGCAAAACTAAAAAGATCTTGCTTTGATGTCGCCAACAAGTTTAGTGAAGTAGTTGGCTTGAGACTAAGTATTTAGTGGGACAGTCATGACGTGTTAAGGAATGAAGGAATGCATTAGAGAGATTAAGAGCTGCAATATTCTAAATCTGTAGTTGCAAAAAAGAAATGCTATTTCCCAACAGGTGGATAAGCCGAAATTTACGGGGTAGTTGCATTTCGATCGTCATTATTCATCGATATATATATATATATATATATAAATATGTATGTGTGGGGTTTGATGCTATTTTGCACGCGGAAAACGCTTTAGTTTGTACAACTTTGGCACTAAAAATATCATATGTAGGGTTACTTAATTGTGTTGTAGAGTAAAGTAAAGTAAAAAAGCTACCATCTACACAAATTGGTAGCGATAAAGAATTACGCACTCTTTACAAAAAAACTCCCTAAACTAGTAATTAACACAAAAATGTAACTCTACACAAAATTAAACAATTGTCCACCTTTAGTAAATATCTACTTTTCAATGATAAAGTTGAAACTTTTAAAGCTTTTTAAAACCCTTTTTTTGCTACCTTTAGGTATAAAAAGCTACGTTACATCAGCAATGGAGTAGTATGTAGAGTTACCATGTAGGATTGTGATGTAAAGTGGTTTGCCTCTCAACGAAACTCATAATGAAGAAGTGTGTACATTGGCATTGCAAACAGAACAGACTCTGCAAAGAGCCAGTGGAAGTACAAAAACGGCCGAAAATTTACACTGGACACCAAAGCAGCTTCCCAATTACTAGATTCAAAAGAGGGCTGGGTCCCTACTATTAGACAAAAGTAACCACAGCACAATCAGGAGTCCCCCTTTTTTTAGTTTCATATGTACCTTTTCTATATCAACTCCGACGGAAATGCTTAACTAGAGGAGCACAAATGTGTCACATTCATAACTTATTTCTCCAGCTATTGCAATTAGCCGCTCATTTCGCCCTTTTCCCCCACTCCATAGAGATATATTTAAACTTTATACTTTATTCAAACAAGGGAAAAAAAATCTAATGCACAAGGTGCAAAAAACCAAAAAAGAAAAATGAAGTACAAATTGGTGAAATTTAAATTCAGTGGGATTGTGAATTATTATCATCGAAAAATCTATTTATTCCCCTCCATTATGATCAAAATCTTTTTGTTCCCCATTAAATTTATACATAAATAAATATATATATATACTTTGTCCAGCAGTCAGTTTTCTACGCCCAATTCTGATTTCTTTACTATATATTGCCAAACAGTCCACAACCTCTTTCTCATATGGTTGGACTATAGTGGCAAACATTAACAAAGCAAAGTTATTTTGTTCCGTTAAGATTCACTATTATTCAATAAAGCATTTCGTGTTTACCATGTACAATGGCATGACCCTTAAACAGGAGGGCAATAAAAGCGAAGACCAATTGAAATACCCACAACAATTCCCACCAAATATTCAACAATCTCAGTATACCTTGCAACAACTGCCGCAACAACAATCACAATCACAACCACAACCACAACCACAACCACAATCGTTCCAATTTCAGCACTTACAACAACCTTTTCAGCGACAACCACAACTGCAGCAGCAGCAACAGCCGTCACAACCACAATTTCAGCAATCACTTTACTTTCAACGGCACCAGCCAATGCTCCCCTCTATTCTTTCGCAACAACAACAACAGCCGCAACAGACAGGTGTTCCACCACCAGAGCAACCACATTTGTTGAACGACCTGTCAATGATTCCGATTTTAAAATCTTCCGACGAAAATCATGATAATGCTTCAAGTCGAAACTCTTCTGGTTTTCAAGGAGTACAGCAGTCGGTACTGATGCGTAAATCTAAAAGTGGCACCGAAGGAGGAAACGAAGACAAGGTCTGTCGGTTCTGCCACAAACAATTTACCCACAAGGGGTCTCTTTTACGCCATTTGGAAACTAGAAAAGGAGACTCTTGGCACCCCATTGACGAATGCAACTTTATCAGAAACCAGCATGCTCGGAGAAAAAGCTTCGAGATTTCCTCAATAGGCTACAATTCTGGTGGTGGCACCACCACCTCATTGGAGTCATCACCTATGGGTAGGTCGTCGTCACGAAAGAGGAGAGTGTCAAAGAAAAGCTTGGCTAGATCTCAGATGTCGAGTGATTTAGCTAGTGGTCAAAAGGAGAAAAGCAAGCTCAGGCGAAAGTTGCGTGATCGTAGAATAAAGGCCAAAATTATCACCAATGAATGGCTCATCAATCAATTTACGAAAAAGTCTATGTCAGACTCAAGACAAACCAGTTCACCAACGACATTTTGCCATTTTATTACATTTTATGTTCCCATTAAGAATTGGCCCTCACTTTCAACCCTGATGCCAGATAGTTCATTGTATGACGAAGTTTTGAGTCAGTTGCGTAAAATGGAACAAGAAGACTTGACAACTTTGTTTATACAGAGTATGCAAGCTTATGAGCAATTAGATCCGTCCGAGCGGAAAAGAATTTGGCTTGATGAAGTACAAAACTGTTTAAATTCATCTATTAGTAATTTCACATTATTTGACTTGAACAATATCAAAACTATTATTGAGAAACGCGAGCAACTTATATTTGAAGGAATATGTGCCAATGACAATTTATCAGAATTCGTCGATGCTGAAGAAAACCCCACGTTGGAAGAGGAGGAAGAAGAGGAACGGGAAGAGGACGAGATAGAAGCGTCGTCCTTGGCAGAAACTACACAGCCAACACAACAATACCAACAACAATATCTACATCAACAGCCACCATTTAGCTATACCCAACAACTGCATCATTCTCATTCGCAGTCGTATCAGCAACCACCAACATCAGCACATGCACATTTACAACAACAACAACAGCAACAGCAACAGCAACAGCAGCAGCAACTGTCATTACGTTCAAATAGTTTACCACACAACACATTTCTTCCACATTTACCAAACATCTCAAATAACGATTACAATGACTTTAGTTCTTCTCATTTCTTTTAATACTACTATACAACTCATTGATAACGTTTCTTGTATTATTGTTCGATATGTCTCTGTTTTGTATTTTTTTGCAACACTTTGTCCGGGTGTAGGATCTTCAACACGCAATAATTTTTCTATTTTGTTTTTCCCTCTCACCATCAACCATCAACCATCCCCCACTACCACCCACTAACTTCAATGCTACCTGACCTGATAAGAATAGTTGTATGTGGCGATGAATCGGTTGGGAAGTCGTCCCTAATAATGTCATATAGCAGAGAGTCAACAACCGATTCCTCCCTTGACCATGTTCTACCGCCAATTACAATTTCACGAAATGATTACGAGGAGGTTGTCCGCGAGGCATCATCGTCGGTGATTCTCGAACGTGTCACCAATAATACAACCCGCACTGGCCGTGATAACGAAAAATATACTCATAGGAGCTCAGTCGGTCTCCTGCCGCATATACCCAATACAACAACAATTGTCGACACAAACTCATCAGATGTAACCTCACTACATAAAGAACTCAAACGTGCCGACGTGATTTGTCTAGTGTATTCTGACCACTACACTTACGAAAGGATCTCCTTGCACTGGATGCCTATGCTCAGATCTCTAGGGGTTAATTTGCCAATCATATTATGTGCAAACAAATCGGACTTGTCACCCAAATCAACATGGAAGAACCAAGACAACGAAGAGTTTCTCCCCTTGATTAACGAATTCAAAGAGATCGAGGCTGGAATAAGATGTAGTGCTGTGAATGGCTATAATGTCGTGGAAGTGTTCTACATATGCCAGCGTGCAGTTGTATATCCCATTTCGCCACTTTTTGACGCTATCGAACACAATCTAAGACCGCGTGCTATCGAAGCACTCAAGCGAGTGTTTTTCCTATTTGATGCTGACCAGGATGGATACTTGAGTTTTGAGGAATTTAACGAATTACATAAGAAATGTTTCCAAAAGGAGGCTTCACGAGTCGACTTTGATGACAATGTCAATTACATTAATTCTAAAATATTGTCCTATGGAGAAAATGGCGGTCTTAGTGAGGACGGTTTTATACTATTGCACAAGTACTTTGCAGAATCAGGTAGACATGAAACAACTTGGATTATATTGCGGGCCAATCATTATACAAATTCATTGTCCTTGGATGACAAATTCCTATATCCTCATCTCGATGTCAATCCCGATTCTAGCGTTGAATTGAGTCCAACTGGATACAAGTTTTTTGTTGATTTGTTCCTCACGTTCGATAGAGATAATGATGGTGGCTTGAATGAAATTGAGATAGATAACCTTTTTCAACCGACCCCAGGTATTCCCAAATTGTGGCTGGAAACAAATTTCCCATCGTCAATAGTATGCAATGAAGGAGGATATGTAACGCTACAAGGCTGGCTAGCTCAATGGAATTTAACGACATTTTTGAGCTACAAGACCACGTTAGAGTACTTGGCGTACTTGGGATTTGATGAAGGAAACTCAGTCAAAGCTTTGAAAGTGACCAAGCCAAGGAAAACGCGCCAGAAACAAGGCAATATTTATCGTAGTTCCGTTAACGACCGCAATATTTTTTACTGTTTTGTTGTTGGTGCTCCAAAAGCGGGTAAGAGTTCATTGCTAGATCTGTTTTTGCACGGCTCATACAGTGAGATGTATTCACCAACAATTCAACCACGCTTGGTGATCAAGGATATTGAGTTGAGGGGAGGTAAGCAATGCTACTTGATTTTAGAGGAATTGGGCGAGCTAGAACCGGCAATCTTGGAAAACAAAAAGAGACTAGATGAATGTGACGTGATATGTTATACTTATGATTCCTCAGACCCCGAGAGTTTCCAATACTTGGTTGATTTACGACAAAAATATGCTGCCTATTTGGATGAAATACCGTCTGTATTTGTTGCGCTAAAAGCAGACTTGGACAAGCAACAACAGAGATCAGATGTTCAACCAGAAAACTACACACGAGACTTGTTTCTTAGCTCACCAGTACACATATCGTCCTCGTGGACTTCATCTTTACAGGAGCTATTCATACAATTGGTAGATGCTGCAAAGAATCCAGCGAGTGCCACTCCAGGGTTGGAAACGGAACCAGTCGTTGACCAAGAGAAAACGAAGCATTTGATGATGGCTGGTGGTGCCATTGGAGTGATGTCCCTAGTGTCTATTTGGATGTTAAATAGTATGCGACGTAGATAGAAAAACATAGCACAAAATTCAATCTTTTTATTTCTTTTATTTTTTTTTTCTTACTCCATCTCATCTTGAGAGTGAAAATTAAAACTACAAAGTTATCTCATTATACACACAGCAACATGTCATCAGAGAAGCAATACAAACCAGTCACGGTAGAAAAACCCATAGAAAATACATACGATCTTGGAAACCTCACGACTTTTGACCCAAATCCCTTGTCAAACGATAAATTGAAAAGCAAAAACGAATCCGAAAAGGAACAATACATTTCGTCAGTCACAAGAGACAATGTACAACTATTAATAAACCAGATATTGTCGTTGCCGGTAAAGACAACCACTGACAATCAAGGATCACTGACGGGACACAGCTCGTCAATGACATTAATTCAGTTACCCGAGCCAACGACATTGTTGCCTCGTGAAAAAGCCATTCCTAAGCCTAAACCACCTACCAAGTGGGAACAATTTGCTGCCAAAAAAGGTATCAAGCCAAAAGCCAAGGACGGAAAGTTGGTATACGACGAAGAAAAGGGCGAATGGATGCCTAAATGGGGGTACAAGGGTAATAACAAAAGTTTGGACGACCAGTGGTTGGTGGAGTTGGATGATAAACCAAAGAAGAGAGGTAGAGATGATGGAGACGATTTGGTCGATCCTAGAACTTTGGCTAGGGCCGAGAGGAAGAAGCTAATAAAGAAGAATGAGTTACAACATAAGCGAAATTTGAGGAACGCTTCCAAGTAAGGGGGAGTAGCGGTTTAATTTTCAATAGATGGAAATCTTGCTTTGAAGAATGTAGTTTTGATCCCGTGCTTCGTGGGGGAGAAAGTGGTTGTAGCTTTTGCAGGGCCATACTGAGGCTCACCCTATTCTTCCATTTTTTATTTTTTTTACTTAATTATTTATTTTTCTACATTCCAATTTCTGGCGCTATTAAGTTACTTTCTGAAACGTTGATATCCAAGTAGAATTCAATGAGTGTCTATGAACCTGAGAAGTATCTACCCACTATAGATGTATGCATTCATAATACAAGGAACGCATTTTTTTTAACCAATTGATCAATACTAACCGAGATTTAGGCGATTCTTAGTGTTGCCAATTTGGAGGAAATTACAGTGAAAAAGATTAGAAAAGCGTTGCAGGAATTGTTTGGAGTAGACTTGAACCCGCACAAGGCATGTGTATGGTTACCGTTTGTTTTGACATATATAGTACTAACTTTGGGGCTTTTTAGAAGGAAATCAACGAGGTAATCTTAAATCGGTACTACAATCTTCAAAGTATCAGGAAACAGGAGTCAGAGAATGCAGAAAAGAGAGATCGGGATGAAATGGAGCGACAAGATGCATTGCTTGCGGCAAAGCTACTGAGGCAAGAGTCAGGTGGAAGACAACCAAGAACCAAACGTAAAGCAACCAAGGCATCCCCATCCAAGGAGAAGACAAAGCGAACTCCCAATAATGCTTTCAATCGAGAAATGGCTCTAAGCCACGAACTACAGAATGTTATTGCACAGGAGAGATGCTCACGACCTCAAGTGGTGAAACATTTGTGGGCATACATCAAGGACAACAATTTGCAAAATCCCGCTGATAAACGACAAATCCTCTGTGATGATAGACTTCAAAAGTTGTTCAAAAAGAGTATGTATTAGGTGATGGTCTTTAGTGAAGGAAAATACTAACCATATATATTAGAGTCTGTTGGTGCTTTTGAGATGAATAGAATATTGTCAAAGCATATTTTTGTGCCTGACGAAATCGATAATAACCTGTCTGCCCAAGACGAGGTAGTCGTTGATGAGGAAGAGAAATCAGATGAGACAACAAACAACGCAGGCAGTGAAGAAAGTGGTTTTGTGGTAGACAACAATACAGATGTAAACTTGGAGAAAACTGCAAAGCAATTAGAAGAGGAGTTAACTTCAGAGGAAGAATAAAATGGTTGTAGATTTGTATAAGTTAGTAATGTTTGATTTCTCTTTTGTATAATATATATGTGACTTTACAGACTGGTTTTTCCCCATCCCATGGTGCAACCACCAATTTGCATCAACAAAATGTGGATGCCCTTCCCTGAGAATGCCTTCACCTTTCTTTCTAAAAGTTATTGTGTCAAAAAAATAGAGCGTCTCGCTCATTCCGCGGGTGGAATCAAATTATTTATCCGAAGTAAGAAACTAGTGATTGAAAAACGAGGCTACACATTGAAAAGAACCAGTAGAGCATTATGGATGATCACACTATGAACTCAGAGCCATCGAATATTTCTGAAAATGTCAACAAGGACGAGCTATACAAATATGTGCTCAAGGTGATTCTTCTTGAATACTGTAATGAGACTCGATTTAGGACTCCAATTATAACTCCAACCCGCAATCTCCAGAAAACACCATCAAGACTGAGCATGTTACTAGACTCAGTACTACCCAGCTACGCCATGAAGCTACTCAACTCTCGACTACAAGACGTCATGACCAAGAAGACAGCATTGACGGATGAGAAAACAAGGCGGTCTTTGCTAAGGCTATATGGAGACTTGTTAGACACGCAAAAGGACACAGATTTGCGTAATGTTGACTTCTTAATACCCAAATTTGCCGCCTATGCCAACCAAGAGTTGAGAAAGGTTGGGGTTGTGGATGAAACTGAAATCAAGTCTGAAGTGTTTCGACAAAGCTCCGAGTTTATTGACATTTTAATCAATATATTAAAGAGCAAAAAAGACTCAGACCAGGCACTCATTTCACGACTTTATGAAAGGAAAAACGAGTTTAAGGGAAATCTGGGCCCAAAGAATAGCGCCAAAGAGGAGTTCAAGTATCCAACAAAGTCTTATAGAGTTGATGATATGAACGAAAAGTTGCTACAAGTATTTCGTGCAGTGTTTGATGTAAACAATACAAAGATACAAACAGATGTGTTTAAATATAAGGACTCAGTTTCGACGAAGCAGTTGCATGAAGATGTCAAGAATGTGTTATCAAAGAGTGAAGAAAATGGTGAATATACCAACGAACTTGCAGCTCAGCTGTGGAGCAAAAGGCAACAGGATATTGTATCTCAATTACAAGCCAGGTACAAAGTTGTTACTGACTCCAATATCCCACGCGCTCCACTGATTCCTCAAAATGAAGAGTTCCATATACTTCCACCGAGTTTCAAAGCAAGAGGCTTTTATTTACTTTTGCTGTCACTATTAGTCCAACATGTATCTCAAGACGGGTTTACAGACACTGGATTCCTGTTACCACCTAATTTTGTTGACTTTTTGAACATTGTCGCTCGTGTTTGGTTCATTGATTTTCCAACGAGGGCAATTGCGCTTTATTCGGAAGGCAATAAGCTTGATTTATTTTCGACCAACTTAACAGAAAGTGGCGAAAAGGGAGTCACAAGAGGCATATCATTGAATGCTATTCAAGATCTCTTTGCAATACTTAGAGAAATAGCTGAAAATGGCGGCATGAAATGGCAAGAAAAGGATTTCTGGGGCGTAAAGGACCAAGAATTGTGGATCGAAAATCTAACAATCACATACAATGAGCTATTCTTTTCCTTGAGACACTGTTTCACCAAATTATTCGACAAGGATGACAAACCAAAATTCGGACCTTATCTCGAGTTCCTTGCAACTAATATAGAGACAGACTTTTTATTTTATCGAGTTGAAGATTCGGGATTGCCCAAGAAATGGGAAAAGAGATTAACCAAAGCGCTTTTGAAAATATCTGGAAAAAGGTACGAAGAGTATTTGGAAAACTTACCGCGAGATGATACATTGAATGTGTTACATCTATTGGACATTTGCGACAAACTTATTGGCGATATCAGAAGTCTCCAGAAAAAGTACAAAAATCCGTTTTTGGGGTTTTTATCTGTGGCAAAGACAGTTGCGTCAATTACTACCGGGATGTTTGCAAGTGATGCAAAAATGATCTTGAGCCACATACAGAGCTCGTGCAAGAGGAGAAACGAAAGTATGCCCGTAAGCGACGCTTTAGAAGTATACCAACTGCTTAGAGAAGTGAGAGATATATACTACCAAGTGACACCGAGAAATCCAAAATTTCAATTCGACTTGGAAGCGTTCTTTTTCCCCTTTTTGAACGCTTGGGCGGAGGAGTCTGAGGAGAGGCTAAGAGATATCGTCAATGAAGCATTGAAAAAAGACGACTATCAGCCAATCAATATAGAGGACAGTAGCAAGCGGAATAGCCGAGCCGTGTTAGATATTTTTACAATCATTAGACAATATTTGACCATTTTGAACAAGCAAGGCTGGCAAGATGAGCGCCAGGCCCTGGAGATTTACACTAAGCTATTGAGGGGCATTTCAAATTGTGCTTTGTTTTATTCTGAACAGATTACCACCAAGATCAACACTGAACTCACAGCGACTAAAGGTGATACTGAAGAATTACCAGAGGCTAAAAAGAACTGGCTCAACGAGGTCAAAAGTGTGGTCAACAGTATTCAAAACTTTAACCGAGCGGAGCCGGCGGTGGTGTACAATTTCGAAGCCGAGACATGTATTGCTCTTAACAACATTGCTGCCATGATAGATAGTCTTGCCAAGCTTGAAGAATGGTTGGACCCTGAGTCTATTTCGAAATCATTATCAACGTACGAACCCAATTCACAAAACAACTTCCTAAGCCATGTATTCACAGTAAGGGTGGTTAAGGCAGAAAATATCATATTGTCAAAAGATTCCACGTTTGGAAGGATCAATCCATATGTACAATTAGTTGACCTTGGCAGCAAGAAATCCATTGGCAAAACAAGAGTGCTTAGACGCACCTCCGATCCTGAGTGGGATGAAGAGTTTGAGATTACAATTCCTGCAAACACTACTTTAGAGTTATCGGCTGTCGTTTGGAGCGAAACTATGGGTCAACATCAAATCTGTGGTAAGGCATTTTATGAACTTAACCCTAAAAAGTTTAAGCACAATGGTTTTCCCGAAGAACTCACTTTGGACTTGGATATCCAGGGAAAAGTAATAATAGAAGTGGCGGTTGAAAGTGAGACTTTGGATGCCATGTTTGTCATGGGAAGGGCCTACAGGGCATTGAAGAGGTCCCAAGAAAGAGCCATCAAGTCCATGGTTGAAAAGTTTCTGGGATTTGTGGAGAATTGTTTTTCCAAGGCAAACTTGAAGGCTGTTTGTGCCAAGGGACAGCCGTCGACGTTAGAATTCGAAGCATCAATTGAAAACTTGTGCGATTACTTAAATTTAAATTTAAGCACCCTCAAAACTTACTTGAGAGACGATCTCTTTATGGAAGTTATGCTCGCAACCTGGAATGTTGTTATCAAATGTGCCGATGAGTTGCTATTACCCAAATTGTCAAAAGCGAAAGTTGATGTCGATCCCAGTAGCTGGCTGGCGGTTTCCTCCAAGTTTGCCAACGTGTCGATATCGACAAAAGCAATGTTTGGGTTTGATAGCCCCTTGAGTGTGGTTGAAATTGAGACTGTTTTGCGCTGGTTAGATTTGTTGACCGAATTTTTTCACAATGAAGGAAATGGACCACCATTGGAAGACTTGAAAACAGAAAAGTACCAATCATTGTTGTTGATACCAGTATATTATGATCAATCAGAGGGAGAATTGGTTGAGGAGGTGGATATTCTCTCCCCTGGCTATGTGCAGATGCTCACAAACCGTAATCAACTGAGTTTCGAGGGCCCCATAACCTCAGTCAAGAGAGGTGGCAGTCTCAACAGGAGCAAGACAATGTATGCCAGTGCTACTGCAAAGAATAGAGCTCTTGCGGCAAAGGAGAAAAAAGTTGCCAAAACCGATCCAGATGCCAATATGGTACTAAAAGAGGATATAATTCTTCGAATCCTTTTTGCTCGAGGACAAAAGGAGTTTGTTCGCTTGAGGTTGAACCAACGAGCCAAGTTGGCCTACAGCCTTGCAACTGAAAGAATGGCCCGTATAGCAGCAGAGAGACGATTGCATAAGTAACACATATTGAGGTTAATAGATTTCGCAAAATGTATTACAATTTTAACTAAACTCACTAATAAAACAATTTATAGAAACATGCGCACTTTCTAATTTACATCCTCCTCCTTGGTTTCACCTTCATCTTTCTTTTCAACAAAAGACTCTTCTCCTTTTTCGTTCTCCCTCGCACCGTCAACGTTAACACCCGCCGCATCCTCTTTTTCAGCAGCTTCTTTTTCAGCATCCTCCTTTGAGCTCAACTCCTTCAAATGATCCTTGTATTTAGAACCCCCCTCCTCAAACAATATACGAGTAGCACCTTCGACATCAGCTTCATTCTCTCCCTCTTCCAAAGTCGATTTCCAACCATATTCACCGTCAACCAAATCTCTCAAGGACTTAATCTTGTCTTTGTTGTTCGATGTTTCATCAGCCTGTTTTTTGTAGACTGTATTGGAAACAAATTCGTCATGCGACCCGCCTTCAAAGTACAAGCGGTACGAATTTTCACAAACCGACACTTTCAATTCTGAAGCAACACGTCCTTCTACATCATCCTCATCAACCAGTTCAATAAATGACTTCAAGAATGGCATATTCAACTTTGACGCAGAGACTCCTTCAGTAGGGTGAGACATGATGTAGCTGGTGACGTAGTAGTTGTATTGTTCCTCGGTGCTTTCTTGATCATTCAATGTGAGGTCATCCAAACTAATAAACAGAATGTTGGCCTTGCACGTATCCTCATTGTATGTGATCTTGAACATATTCTCATCAGATGACATTAAACTGCGTACTTGTATACGGTAAAGGATCTGTTCCTTTGCACTGGAAGTAGGTTTGGTTCGATCGTTCTCGAATAGCACTATAATTTCAGAGGCTTTTGTATCTGTGATCATGGTGTGCATATGTTTTACCAAAGCTTGGATAACCTTATCCACTGTATACATCTTGTAGGCTTTATTCTTGTATCCCTGACGCAAACTCTCTTCAAACCATTGATGCTCAATGTCGCCCTCAATCAACCTACTAGCCAAGCTTAGAACTTGCTGGTAGCAGTCTTTTGTTCCAACGATGTTGACACCCATATCTTCTAATTGATGTGAAACAAGGTTCAAATCTTTTGCAAATTGAGGGTACTTGCGGTTCCTTATATCATTACCAACACCCTCGTTCATCTTCTTTATCTCCAACAACCTTTCGTACAATGTTCTCAAGTGGCGGAAAAACACATAGATCGTGGTATTGCAGAACAAATTAAACTTGCTGCGCTTCTTCTGGGAGGATACATCAGACTGCGAATGCTTGGTATTGGCTGTTTTTACCCACAACTCGCTCGATCTTTCAAGCTCCTCGTTTAATTCTTGCGCAATACTTTCCAATGATTGGGGTCCCGGAGAATCCGCTCGATCATCCTTTTTAGACTTCGAAGCCTTCTTCAATACATCCTTCAACAAGTCTGACTCACGGCCTCTCTTCTTTGAAGACTCAGGTAGGTTGTTCTGCACATTTTGAGGTTCATCATCGTCCCCATTCTCCTCGGTATTTTCAACATCTCCTCTCTTGGTTAAAGCTTCCTCGACAGTCTCAGTAGGGATCCCGAAAAATAAGGACACGAAAAATTTAAAGAACTGGGTCAATTTCAGCCTATCATACGCTGAATATGTCGATGAACGATTTATAAAAACATTTGCAAGTTTTATGATGTCAAACAAAACGTCATCGTCCCCGAATTCGTAATTTAGTTGTTCTTGTGGCTTGGGGGTAAGTGGATGGAGTCTCTTGTTTTGTTGTTCCACTTTGACGGTGCTAATTTCACTCACCAATTGCTTAGCCGTAAGCAATTTCTTATCAGCTTGCTTAAATGTCAAACCCAAGTGATCCAAAGACTTGTAAAAAACTTTTTGCTCCATTTCTCTCCAGACCTTGTTCCATTCTCTTTGAGCACGTTTCCATTCCTCATCTTTTTGTTTCAACCTTTTCAACACAATAGGTACTGCAATTGCTGGGTTCTCATGTAACGCATCAATCACCTCAAATCCACGGTCTTTGTCGTATATCTTTCTGATTACCTTTTTATAAATTGTAGTTGAATTATGACCCAAGCCAGGAGGCAATTTGAAATTTGCTTTTTGTTCCGGAGTCATGTTTGCAATTCTGTTTGCAATCGTTTCCAATATTTGAATGGTTCGCAAATTCGATTCCATGTAATAGTCAAACTCAAGTCTTTCCTCCTCAATTTTAAACAAAATTTCTTCATATTGGTTCTTGCGATGAGCAATGAAACCAGAATCTTCAGAAGCCCAGGTGGGGTGACCAACCCACTCATCATTCAAAACTTCCCAACACATTTCATCACGGCCTGAACAAGGCATAAATGTTTCGGCCTTTGGAAGTTGTCTGTAAGATGGTCCATAAGCCTTACACAATGAGAGCTCCAATGCGTGCTTTTTGAAGGTAATGTTTTCCAAATTCTGAGGTTTATCTTCGTATCCAACAAACAATTTGAACCACTCAAACAAATCGGCGTTATTGTCACCTAAAAATGCATCCACACGTTCCACTAAAGTATCCTTGTCAATAATGTCCTGTGTAAATAAATTCAAAAGTTTCAAAAATTCACCATAAGTCTGTTTGTTTCCCAAAGCACGCTTAATTTTGTCAAAAAAGCTGATCTCCTCCGAAAGTGACGACGATTTGGCAGTTCCTGGAGGAAGAACAGGTTCTGGAATACCAGGAATTAAAGTAGGGTTGACAGGCGGAGCAGTAGCAACTGGACCGACAATACCACCCGGACGCGAGAGTGTCTTATTTTGTCTAGGATCAGCCAAACCAGAACGAACACCCGAATATTGAACTTCTTGGTTATAATGCTCGGCCTCCGCATCCACAGCAGACTTTTTCCGCGAAATGTTCTGAACCGAAGCAGGTTCAAAACCACCCTTTTGCTGGTCTAAGGCAGCACCAGGGACTCCCTGCACACGTTGAGTTTGCTGCCCGTATGGAGAATGAGAAGGGCTGGCACCAATGGGCCCAAAGTTTCCCACTGGTGGTAACTGAGTTCCGTTTCCAACAAAGTATTTTTCCTGTGCTTGCTGTTGGGCATAACTTTGGTTACTGGTGTCTGGCAAGAATTGCTTAAAATCATCTAAAAGATCAGGGCAATTTGAGAATAATTCTGTGACCTGCTCGTAAACCTCAGCAATAGGCTTTTGTTCTCTCTGATATGTTTGCAATATCTCAAGAAAATGTTTGTATACATCTGGCTGATTAGCGAACCTGGTTTTAATTTTATTCACATAGGTGATTGCGTGGTTGAAGTCGATTTGGCCAGAGCCATTTGCTTGGCTAGCGGGGTCATTAACTTGCTGCTGCTGCTGCTGCTGCTGTTGTTGTTGTTGTTGTTGCTGTTGTTGCTGGGTTGCAGCAGTAGCCACAGCGGAGGCTTCGTCATTGCCCCAACCTTGATTGTAGGAAACCACTGAAATATTTGGGCGTGTAGTTGTTCCAGTAGGGGTAGTTACTCGAATAGGATTGGGATCTGATGGGTCCATGGAACACTCAATCTTATACCCTGGAGGCAAAAACGTGTTGAAGCCCTGAATTAAATTAGGGTGGCCCTTGAACAAAGTAGATACTCTATCAATGACACCTGGAGTATCAATACTTTGTGACTTGAAATCTTTCATAATGTCAAGAAAGTTGTTATAGACCTCTGACTGATTATAAAATTGAATCTTAACCTGGTCCAAGTATGATAAAGCATCCTTGACATTTAACGGTCTATAAACATTGGTCGTGGAGGATCTATTCGGAAGGCCTGCAACAGCAGCAGCAGCAGCAGCAGCAGCAGAGTTACCACCCAATGGTGAGACTTGATGGTGTTGAAGTTGAGGTGTGCTGGATGAGTTCTGTTGTTGATGTTGGTGCTGTGGAGGAATCAGTTGCTGTGGTTGTTGTTGGTGAACATGTTGTTGTTGCGATGAACCGATATCGTTGTTAATAATCAGTGCTTCCGAACTCATATTGGTTAATGATGCCGGGGGTGGCAATGGGGCACTTCCAGGAGTACCAAATCCTACACCAGATGGCCTTCTAATCTCGGCACCCTGTCTAGAATGGTCCGAATTCTAAAACAAGCAGCAGTTAGTATGTGATCTTTTTATTTTTTTTTCATCGACATGACAAAAGTTATTTAATGTACATACCTGTCCAAGTTGTACTGGATCATTCACAGGATTGATCGAGGGGATTGTGAATTGGTGTCCATGTTGTGGATGGCTACTTCCATTACCAAGGCTCGGCAAACTAGGCAAGGGATAAAACTGTTGACCTCCTATAGGTTGTTAGTATTTCTCCAAGAAAGTTCAAATCGAAAGAGGGTCGACATACCTTGCTCCAACGTTGCTGGTGGTGGTAGAACTGGCGGATGTTGGCGACTATATCTGTTAGTATCAAGGACATAAGAGAAAGTTTGCACACGTGTGAACATACTTGAATTGTTGACCAATCGGACGCTGTTGGGAAGACCAAGAATCCTGTTGATTGGACATTGTAATTCCGGATTTTATTCCAAAGAAGATCTGGCTGATTTTCTGAGATGGGGTATTTTGTTGATTTTTTGGAGCTCTGTTTATCCAAAATCGATGTTGTCGGGATAAAATTAAAGTTCTTGAGGAACAGAAGCTAAAACTTTGGTTTGATAGCTCTTTTCAAGTGTATAATTAATCTTTCGCTGTGAATTTCACACCTATCACAATATAAGCTGGTAGTTTATTGATTAGGAAAAGGTATGGCTCACTTAGATTCCTCTGTAAACACTCTGAATCTCTGGTTTTTTCTCTTCACCAAATTTGAAAAAATGCGTTACCACTCGTTTTGGAAGGAGAGAAAAGCTTGTGATTGCTATATGCAGGATAGGAGACCAGTTTGCAAACAAGTAGCCGTTAATGGATTGAGCCTTAACAGTTGGACAACTCATACATCAAGTCCACTTTAATATTAGCAACAGTTCACTGTTGAATCTTCTAAGTCCGAATCTTCAAAAGCTTTTTGCTTGCTTTCTAACAGACAAAACGTGTTTACAATCTCAATTAGGCTTCTCCTTGAGAAACGTCTTCATTACCTACTGCATCATACTATACATACAAGCTCCATTCACACAGTCATTGTTCTAGGTTGGTCAAGAGGATAAAATGCCTGTAGAAAGCTATTCAGCAACTGCCTTACTGCTGATTTGAGGCTACTGCGATATTTGTCCTTGCACGACCCTTTTTCCATAGAAAGACAAAAAAAAATTGAAAATAAAGTACAGACAAAGCATGGCGTTGTGCTTCATTCATCAACGAATCAACTTCCAAAGTCATGAATGCTCCAGATAGATTTGAACTATTCATATTACCCGATGGACTTGAAAAGTAAGATTCGAATACTTGTTCTTAACCATCTATGCCGTATACTAACTTAGTTTAGGATAAAAATTACACCAGATTCAAAGGTCCCCAATGCCGCCATCGTGAAAATCGAGAGAGAAGACCATACTCTAGCTAATTTGTTAAGGGCACAGCTCCTTAAAGATGACGGTGTTATTTTTGCTGCTTATAAGGTGGAGCATCCTTTATTCGCAAATTTCGTTTTAAGAATCCAGACTGAAGATGACTATTCACCAAAAGAAGCCTTGAGAAATGCTTGCTCGGGCCTTATTGCCGAATTGCAAGCAATCAAGGACAAGTTCCAAAGAGAATGGGCTTTGAAGGTTTTGTTGACGCACAACGAAGATGAGTATTGAGAGGGTGAAGTGAGGTTAGGTGGGGTAGGATTTGTATGTATTTCTTGGACACAGGGCTAATCATGCCGTTTGGTTTGTGCACAAGACGATGCAATTGACAACATCCTCATATCTAGAGATGGATTCAGTTCTTAGATGGTGTATTACATATTACGAAAGTTGCTTCTATGAAATTTAGTAACTTTTATTTATGCTAGTATAATGTTTGAGCAGATATGCATGTGTATAGCTCTTTATTAAATAGAATCAAAATGAATTAATAATACAACGAAATGCTGGGAAGCTAAAGCCGATGAAACTAACAGATATACACCAAATGGGCAATGGAAATCTATTCCTCTTTGAAGGCCCTTCTCTTTATTGCATCTTTAATAATGGCGATCTTTTGCAAGCATTCTGGAACTGGTTCGGAAGGGAAATTGCCGTCTTGAAGAATGCTAATTAAGGGATGCGTCAGTGTTAAACGGTTTGGTGAAACATGCGTTATAGCCAACCCTGCCTTCGAAATGCAGATTTTATGATGATCCTTGAAGTTGAATTGAAAGTTTCCATTTGTCATCTCAAACATAATGTATTCGGAAGTTCTGCTGTACCGCCTCAAGAAAACAATTTCTTTCCTCTCTTCATTGTCACTCACTTTTGACAAGTTGCTATTCATGTATTTGGCAAAAAAGTCAACAATCTCTAATTGTCTTTTGGCTTGAGCTGGTGGATGACTCAAGGAATTTTCAATACACGTCCATCCTTCTCCATCGTGATAGATCAACTCCAAAAATTTGTTAGAATTATGAAGTTTCAATAACGTGTTTTCATCATTGAACAAGACCCCGATATCATCATTGTTTAATTGATAGGAAAAACCATATTTATTGGAGTAGTCAACCCACTTGCTGATCAAGGTAGGATTTTCACATACAGGAAGTTCAAATAAATCAATATTCTCATGTCTCGAATGCTCCAATCTTCTTATATTTTGATAAGTCTCAAAACAAGTTTGATTAAGACGTTTAATGGTGGTAGAAAAATGTGAGTTGAAATTGACACGTCTTGGACGGCCAACTTGCTCGGGATCCACTTCACGATATTTGTTTTTGGTATCGTTTGGCGATAACGATTCTGGAAGCAAAGCTCTTGGTTGTTCAGAGTGTAAGTCTGATCTTAAAATCTCCACTGGATCCTTACTCTTTGGTGTGTAAATCCCAGCCATGTCCTTGGCATGCTTAAAATTCATCTTGGACTGGGCTCTTGAAATTTGGTCGAGTCCTTCAGGCATTTCGCTCAAGCTGATATCCCGAGTTTTCCCTGGGAAGGGGCCATTAAACCACTCGTAGCTCAATACCTCATCAATAGTGGGTCTATTCAATGGATTTAAGCTTAGCAAGTCCTTGATCAAAATTTTAGCTGCCTCCGAGATGGGTTTGTCTTCAGGGAAGTAATATTCTGTCTTTTTGATTCTTTCGTAGATCACATTGACATCTTTGGCTTGGAAGGGAGGCTTACCAACCAATAAAGCATACATCATAATTCCTATAGCCCAAATGTCCACCTCAAAGCTGTGACCTGTGTTTTTACCTCCCAAAACTTCGGGCGCAATGTAATTTGGTGTACCACAGACAGTGTATTTTTTTGAGTCGGTGGAAGGTAAAACAGATGCTAACCCAAAATCACCAATTTTTAAGTTCATGTCGGGGTCAAAAAATATATTGCCCAACTTTAAGTCTCTATGAATAACTCTCCTTGAATGCAAGTATTTAATGGCACCAACTACTTGGACCATGAACAACCTAACTTCAGGTTCAGAGACTCTTTTTCTGTTCTTTAAAAGCTCCATCAACGATTGGTTGGGACATATTTCAAGAAGTATATAAACATTGACGTCATCCTCGAAACAATCGACAAAGTTGACAATGTTGGGATGCTTCAACGACTTGTGAATCTTGATTTCAGATAGAAGCTTTGTCTTTGTTTTTTCATTTTTTATGGAAGCTTTGGCAACAGTTTTAGCAGCATAGACTTGGCCTGATGCATCCTTCATTTGAAAGCAACGAGCAAAGCCTCCTTCACCCAAAAAGGTTCCACGTTGGTAATCTCGACCATTTCTTGTTCTAACAATGGAGGGGGGAGTCTTGCATAATGCCGATAGTTTCTCTTTCTTCTTCTTTGTTTGTTGTTTTTGCTCAGGTATGGTTTCTTTTGTACGTCTTGCACCTTTAATTGGTGTTATGTTGTTAGATCTGACATTCAATTGGCCGCCATTCAATGGCTGCAATGGTTGAGAACGAAGCGCAGACATTATAACAAAAAGAGCAATGTGACAGTGTGAAGTGGTTCAGAATCAATTGAATACAAAATGGGGGCAAATACAGAATGCGTTATAATTGGCTTGTTGTTTGTGTATGATCTATAGCTGAATGTGATGCGAGCTATGTTTGTTTTGATGGTGACCCAATGGTTTACTCAAAAGTATTGATCAATGCTTCAACTCCAGTCAGAAAAATTCAAGGAGTATCTTCAACTAAAAGCTAGTCGAGTTAATCAATCTCTGTATAACGACGTTGAAGAAAATTGCAATTCTGCTGTATTATTCCTAAAGCTGATTCCGTATGTATGTATATATAGACCGTTTGTGCTTTATCCACAGACACTAAAGTTTTGAGAAGATCTGTTGTAATTGGTACTGGCGCGTGGATGCGATGTTTTGCGTTTATTTACATTCATTCCCAATTGAGTTTTTTTTTATTTTTGTTTGTTTTTTTATCATCTCTATTTAGTATACATCACGTGCACCTTCCAAAACAAGCAATAATATGTTGTATATTTGTATTTTGAGTTAATTTGGGTAAAGCCTGTTTTATTGGCGTAGTAGAGATTGTAGAGGTTGTAGAGAAAGGGTTTCTGGTCTAAACTTTGATTGCTAATATTGTATTGCTGTTAGAGAAAATTATATCCACACACCCCAGTGCAAAAGCCATGTCAGCATCAATTAAGATATCCTTTACAGCCAGGAGCACCACATAAACAACGAATACGCTCTTCATCATTTGTTTCCCTTTCAAATTTATAGTCATAGGTGAGCTCTTCATTGGCTTCAATGTCCCTGAGCGCGTAAATGACAATTCGCTTTTTACCTTCCACTTTGATAATCTTAGCCGTACAGCTGGGGTTACAACAATGATTAATAAACCGAGCAATACCACCTTTCTTTGTCGCATCAATAACCGTATTTTCATCGATTCTGAATAAATAGGAGGAGCCAATTCCTGTTCGCAAGTAGCTCTTTTCCCTATGCTCTGCCACTTGTTGCCTAATCCTCTCCCCAACATACTCAATAATCATCTCCTTTGTAGCAATAGGCTCCATAGCATAGAGACCCCAGTTGTGAATTGTCGATCTTGCAAAAGTCACTGGCTTCTTACGCTTGGTAAGTGCATTCAAGGACATAACATCGGATTCAGAACCAATCTGAGCAGTGATATCAGCAGCAAACCTTCTATTATTAGCTCTATTAACTCTGGAGCTTTGTAACACATTACTGCTATCTGCAGGTTTCTCATCATCGTCATCTTCATATTGGACAGTCTTGATGGGCTTATTTGCTTTCTTACGATGAGGCAAGTACTCGATTTTATCAATTTCTGCAATCTTCTTAAAGCCATCGCTCTTGAACGATCCAGTAGTGGAGTCAAGCCTAGATGGTATTTCATCCATCTCTGCTTCCTGTTCATCAACCTCGAGGGAGGCTGTTATACTGGAATTTTGCTTCCAGGCCCAATACTCCATATTAGGCATATCCACCGCCTCCTCTACATCAGCCAAAACCATGTTGGCCAACTTCAAATCCTCATGATCCATAATAATATCTTGGAGAGTCCTCAAGTCAGCAATAGTCGTGGTTAAGGCAGTCGGATAAACTGTCATTGGCTTACCCTCGGTAGGTCCGTATTTAGCGTCGATTATCTCCTCTGATAGCTCATGCTCACTCTCTTGATCGGAACCAATATCAGATGCTTCTACCTCTTCCTTCATTTCATCCTCTGGCGAAGCAACTTCGTAGGATTCCTGTAGTTTTGATCTATGTCTCTTAGGAGCAGGCTCATCGAGCTCAGAATCCTCTACGACGCTAGTAGCAGTCGAGCTCCGAACTCGCTTTAGTGGCTCGGCTAAAGGGGTCATGGATCCACTAGCTGATTCATAAATATCTTCCTCATCTTCTTCATCTTCATCAAGGTTCAAAGCATGCAGCATCGGTATTATCGGACGCCTGTTACCTCTTTTACTGTCTTTGAGTCTTTCTTCTGCTCTTTTAAAGTAAGGTATCTTTTCCTGCAAATCCTTCTTTTGCTTCTCTAGGATGGACATGGCATTTTGTTTCAAATCAATATTTGAAACACTCAGCTTTGATTTCAATGCTTGCTCTTTTTCTTTTGCCCTGAGTTCCTCAACCAACGCAGGATAATGATCATGATCTAGAAGGCACAAAACCTGAGGCGCTATTATCCTTTCTCTGATATCTTTAACCAAGAAGGCTTCAAATTCCTTTACTAGCATATTTGTGGCCTCATCAATAACGCTGTTACTCAAATCATTCTCCTTGTCCACTTCCTGAAAGCTCTCTGGGATGGCCATTTCCATGACTAACTTGAACTCATAAAATCGGCGCCCATCTTCATTATGGAAACATCTTTCGCATTCTTTCAACGAATTAAATACAATGTAAAAGCCAGTCTTATCAGACAACACCCTAGTCCAATCATATTTTTTCAACACTCTCTTTATATCCTGCGACGAAGTCTTTTTAGTAGAAACATATTTGTCGTGGATTAGTAGATATGGCCGGTTTTTCACATACTTTGCCAAATCATTTGGTAAAAAGACACCGTGAACAATTTTGTTACCATGCTTGGATGATAAAACCGTAGTATTGTTCTTGTATTTGGAAGCACTGCCGTCACAAGCTACAACTATTCCATTCTTCTTTGCCTGCAATTTTTCAGCTTCTTCCTTCTTCCGTTCTTCTTCCCGCTTCTTCTGCTCCTCGACATTTTTCTGCTCTTCCAACTTCTTTTGTTCTTCAATTTGCACCAATCGCCTCCTCTCTTCTTCTTCTTCCCTCTTCTTTTGCTGTTGAATTATTCTTCCTCTTGCCAAGTTGATTTTCAGGTTCAAAAGGTCATCCTGATTGTCATTCAAGGCTATTTTTAAATGGTTGCCATCAACCTTGATGGAGTCTCGTTTCACGGTTTGTATAAAATTTTCCGCCAATACATTTGACTTTTCAGCGGTTCCTTGGTACCTGAAAGTAGCGACACCTAAAGGTACTCCATATTTTGGGTCGTCTATTGTCTTGAGGTTTTCAATTTTTGACTCATAACTTGCAAGAAAGTTCTTCAAGTATGTTTCGTTAACACTTAGCGGAAGATCCCAAAGTACCAAAGTGGTAGGTGGTGCGTCACCAAGGGAGTCCAGATCATAAATAAATTTCGCTTGTGGTAACTGTTTGAACGGGAACTTGAAAGACTTTTTATTTGGTTTTTGTAGGTACTGGGTTAAATTCGGTAGTCGAGGGTCCTGTGCACTGACTACACCTTCCCCATTGAATCGCACTTTTTTTGATTTTGCTTTCATCTCACTCTTTGTAAGGCCAGGATCAAGTTCGGGGTCATATATAACTTTGTAGTTTTTAGAACTCTCCAGTTTCTTAATAGATTCTAAACGTTTTGTGGTGTCACGGTGGTGTTTTAGTTTAGTATATTCCAAGTCTTTTTGATTAAGACCTGTTCTCACATTGGTGCTGGAATAATTCTCTACTAGTGAGCCATCGGTTCTAACAGATGCAGGCGTATTTCTACCTGAATTTTCGGTAGAATTCCATCGAGACAGTCGGCTTCCCAAACTTTTCGAGTATTCATTGCTGTCACGGTGGTGATTATAATCTGTGTGTAGTTGTTTCTGACCATTAGCCACAGACAGCGAGACAGCATCTCTATAACTATGCTGTTCGCGCGAGTCTGTACGATCTGGCCTGTATGATTCATACCTTTCTCTTCGCTGTCCATATCTGTGTCCATAGTACCCACCTTGGTAAGACATTTTCTCTGATAATTCACACAGTTGCAATTTTCTCGAACAAACCTGAATAGACTATCTACCAAACAGTAATCGTTGCTATAAAAGTGTAGGATATACCCAAAAGGTCTGCCAAATAATCGCTCTAGATAAAAGTGAATACGATCCTATACGATTAGTAAGGAATCAAAAAATCTTTCACTGACGTAAGTAAAGTGAAGTGAAGTTTATTTTATTTTATTTTATGGTTTTTTTTTATCAATTTTTATTTTTACGCAATTTTTGTCTTTTTAATGATCGCGCATTCTTTGTGAAACTATCAGCTAGAAGTGGTGTTTTTCAGACAACATTCAGCTTGAGAGCGTGCTTCTCGAAGCAGCCAGAGTAGAGTGATATATCATAGAGAAGGATTACAGTACCTGTATTTTCAATGGAAACGGGGCCACTATGTTGTATTCGATATCCCTCACCTTACTTAGTTCTAATATGCTTCAATGGACCAGACGAATGGTAGAAGTTAGCAGCATACTCCTTCTTTCTAAAGTGTAATTTCTTTGGCTCTTGGACATAGTGGTCCCAACCTTGGTTCTCTGCAAATCTGATTGCGGCTTCTTTAGTATCAAATTTCATAATAGTTCCTTGCATGTAATCGGAAGATGATTGATAACCAATCAAATCGTTTTCCCATCTGTTACCTTTCCCTAAAACGTCCCAGTCCAATTTCCAGTCGTGACCGTTGTGATGTCCGGATTGTGTGGCAGGTTTGGCTTCTTGGTATATCCTAACCACCCTGCTGGTAACAAGATCCCTTGGAGCGCCTGATACGATTTCTTTACCGGCGGAATCAGTAGGTTTAGATAACTCTGAGTTCCTTACTATTGCTGTAGATGCAAAACTACGAGCAAAGATAGCAGCTGGTTTGACTGCAACTCTGGACAACATATTGACTGTAGTGCAAGTAGCGTATAACTATATGTGTGAATCTAATAGGCAAGTTTATTAGGCTTATGTCTTTGATAATATACTGCTATCTAAATCTAATGGGTAGTACCGAATATGGATTAAGCAGTGGATCTTGTCTTTTTATCTTTTATTGCGTAAAGAAGAAAGGAAAAATTTTGGTTGGCTGGATTTTTTCCACCAAACGATCCTTGTGTCCAATTTTTCATATTTGCGACAATGATATTGAAAAACTCTAACGAAATCCAACACGGCTCATTCTTCACGAAGGTAATGCCATCGAATCAGATCAAACAGTCCATCAAAGACATAGTTCCCTCATATGCCGGCGAAAATTTGAGCAAACTTTCAACATACATTGATTCGTTATACAATTTAAGCTTGCGCAAGAGCAGCAATTTGCCAAACAATTCAGAAATTGGCCGCTATCACTTGTGCACATTTGTGATAGTCGAGAAGTTTCAGACGATATTCAACCTACCGACGCCAGATGTAACAAGAATACCAATACAGCCCCAGGTTGCTTTACGGTTGTTGACGGAATTTCGTGAATTGGTAAACCAAATGTCAGCAGCTAGCACACCCACATCGAGTCCAAAGAAACGAAACTTAAGCCCCTTGAAAGACCCAACGCCGAGTAAGCTGGATATGAGACAATCCGGTTCCCCATTGAAAAAGTTGAAAGCTGCAGCTACCGAAGGCGACGGGTCTAGCATGGAGCAAAAAAACAGCCCTGCATCTAAAGGGAGTAACTCTCCCTTCGTGAGTAAAGCAGATACGCCAAGTAAGAAAAAATACAGATACGATTTCAAGGTCGTACTGCTTAGTGAATTCATTACATTTTGCAACACCTTTTACATTCCAAGCAAGTACACAACACGGATGTTGTCAACTTTTTATTTGCATAAGCACAAGTTTGCAAAAAAAACAGACTGGTCCTTGGCTTGTGGAATAATTTACACTGCATACATTCGAATAAATCATAAATTACTACATGAAAAGGTAGGAGCAAAGTCTGAGTTTATGAATTTGCTTTTGCAGTATCAAAAAGGTGCGTTACTGAAGGCGTCTCTACAGTCCTGGTGTACCTTGGTTGAGGAATGGATTAGGGAGGAGTCATGGGTACAGGATCTTGAGAAGCAATACATGTATGGTAGTGAGGTGTTGATGGAGAGTATGTTGAATAAGGAGTACAGGGGCATGATAGGCGAAGGCTGGGATTTGATGGAACGATTTGGCGCTATGATTCATGGAGAGGTAATGTATCAATCAGACACTCAAAATGAATACTTTACAACATGGTCGAAAAAAGTCATTGGAGATTTATAGACAAAACTAAATATGCATAGACAAATATCAAGATTGCATCTCTTCCTTTCTTTCTGTCCCAAAATGGTTAATCATCACGATTGCAAAAAAAAAGAACAATAAAAATAAAAATAAAAAAAAAAAATTGTGAAGAAAAAAATACACTTTGTTTTCCTTGTTGCATCAACAATATGAAAAGGAATGGCGAGCTGTTTATAAACGGACGTGTCAAAAGAGTTAAAGCAGATTCAGAATCACCGGAGAGTACCGGGGATGTGGAGGTTGAGGAAGATATTATTTTGGAATCGGACTCATCAGAGTCTTCTTGTTCACCAGTTTTTGACGTCGCGGTATCCAACAGTAACAAATGGCAAGACACAATTAAAAAAGTTGTAAACTCAGTGGTATCAATACAATTTTCACACGTGGCAGCATTTGACACGGAAACAGCGATTGTCAGCGAGGCTACCGGGTTTGTTGTGGATGCAGATCGGGGGTTGATTTTGACAAATAGACATGTGGTTGGACCTGGCCCATTCACGGGATACGTTGTTTTTGATAACCATGAATCTGTCGATGTTAAGCCCATATATAGAGACCCCGTCCATGATTTTGGATTTCTACAGTTTGACACAAAGGAAGTCAAGTATTTGGAATTGAGCCAACTTGATTTGGAGCCTACAATGGCCAAAGTTGGGACAGAAATCAGGGTTGTTGGTAACGATAATGGTGAAAAACTATCAATTCTCGCTGGTATAATCTCCAGAATTGATAGAAACGCACCTGACTACGGGGCTTTGACTTACAATGATTTCAACACCGAGTATATCCAGGCAGCAGCTTCAGCAACAGGGGGGTCATCGGGTTCTCCTGTGGTTAATGAAGACGGTAAATGCGTGGCGTTGCAAGCTGGTGGCTCTACCGAAGCGTCAACTGATTTCTTTTTGCCTGTAAATAGACCAAAGAGAGCACTCCAGTGCATACAAAATGAAGAACCAATCAGTAGAGGAGACATACAGGTTGAATGGGAGTTGAAACCATTCAATGAGTGCTCAAGATTTGGATTGACACCAGATGCAGAAGCGCATGCAAGAAAGATGTTTCCCGATAAGATAGGATTGTTGGTGGCAGAGTTGGTTTTACCTGAAGGTCCAGCTGACGGTTTAATTAAGGAAGGTGATACTTTGATATCTATAAATGGAGAGTATATTTCAACATTTATCCGAGTGGATGAAATATTAGATGAGAATGTTGGTAAGGAATTGGAATTTGTTGTACAACGCAGTGGGGTAGAAATTAAGCAAAACATTAAAGTAGGTGACCTTCACGCAATTACACCTAATCGATATGTCCAGGTTTCTGGTGCATCTTTCAACGATCTTTCATATCAAGTTGCCCGATGCTATTGCCTACCTGTGAGGGGGTTATATGTGAGTGATGGTGCCGGTTCATTTGAGTTTTCAAACCAAGACCCCTTTGGGTATTTAGTCGAAACAGTTGACGATAGACCGGTGGCCAATTTGGATGAGTTTGTGGAGGTGATGAAAAAGTTGCCCGATTGTTCAAGAGTGCCAGTAACTTACCGTCACGTTTCCGATATGAATGCTGAATACGTCCAAACAATATACATTGACAGACACTGGTACACGTCATTCAAAATGGCAACAAGAAATGATAAAACAGGGTTATGGGATTTCGTGTCGTTACAAGATAAACCTTTACCACCAATTGCTCCAACTCCTCAAAATGCAAAGTATGTCGACATACCATTCAACGACTCCAGCAAGGAAGAAATATCCAAGTTGGTTCGCTCTTTTGTACAAATACGAACATTGTGCCCGAGTGGCGTTGACTCGCATCCGTTTAAAAAGGATATATGCTATGGTGTTGTAATTGATGCCGCGAATGGATATGTCTTGACGTCAAGGCGATATGTGCCACATTACATGTGCGATATCTTTGTTGTGTTTGCTGAGTCGATCGATGTTGCTGGAAAAGTTGTATTCTTGCATCCGCATTTGAATTATGCCATTATCAAGTACGACCCAAGCTTGATACTAGCTGAGGTGCAAACACCTAAATTCTCGACAGCACCTTTAAAGCGAGGCGATGACGTTTGCTTTGTCGGTTACAACTATAACTTAAGATTGGTAACTGATGACGTGAAAGTAAGTTCAATCGCATCGTTGAATGTTACAGCAAACACTATGTCACCGCGTTATAGAGGTACTAACTTGGAATGTATTTTGTTGGATAGTAAGATTACCCAAGAGTGTGGAACTGGTATATTGGTGGATAGAGATGGGACTGTGCGCGCATTTTGGTTGTCTTACTTGGGAGAGTCTAATGAAGTGTCTTACAAGATGGGGTTGGATGTTACCGATGTTAAGGATGTTATCAATGCACTTAAAAAGGATGAGGTACCGATAGGCTTGAGAATGTTGAGTGCTGAATTTGCCTCCATAACTGTTTTCCAAGGAAGAACTCGAGGTGTTCCTCAAACTTGGATCAGCAAATTTGAAGAGGAAGCGGAGGACCAGATTAGATTTTTGTCAGTTGATAGAATTGCAGCACCGAGTTTGTCAGATCACCCCAATCCTTTAAAAGTCGGGGATATAATACTTTCTGTGAATGACAAATTGGTCAGGAGTTTGAGGGATTTTGCACCAATGTACGACAACGAATATCTCAATTTCAAAATTATACGTCAAAAGAAGGAGATGTTGTTGACGGTTCCTACAATAGAAACTGCCACTTTAGATACTTCCCACGTTGTATTTTGGTCAGGAGCTTTATTACAAAAGCCACACTACGGAGTGAGACAATTGATGACCAAGATCCCTTCGGAAGTTTTCGTCACTGATAAAAGTTCATGTGGGCCGGCACATCAATATGGAATAGTACCGGTTAGTTTTATAACTCATGTGAATGACCAAGAGACCAAAGATTTGTCAACTTTTATCGATGTTGTCAAGAATATCCCCGACAAAACATACATTAAGCTCAGAATAGTATCGTTTGACAATATACCAGCAGCAATTTCGTTGAAAACTGACTATCATTACTTCCCAACAACAGAACTTTTACGAGATACTACAACAGGGGAATGGCAAACCAGAAAGCACGAGCAAATTAAATCATCTGATTGATAATTCACCATATATATATATATATGTATATACAAGACTTGAATAGACTTTTATTTTAAGCATGTGGATACATCTTTTTTAAATAGCCACCCTCCTTTTTAACTGTGGTCATTCCTCTCAAATGTTTCAACGATGGGGCGCTAAACCTGCCCAAACCGTGATTCAAACCAGCATGCTTTCTCTTCAACCCAGATGTTCGTTTGATTAGCCTGCTCGTTATAGCTTTATGTGATTTCATTTTAGTTCTGATTTGAAGTAAATTGGGGCTAATGCATTTTTGAATGATATTTGCCCTAAAGGAGATGTTTTGTATGAGGTTCAACATGGTGAGTTTCACTGGGGGGTGTAGGTGCAGAACGATTATATAGATCTTTTAAACTGAAATTTTTTTTTATTTCCACGACATTAGATGCAGTGCTACCAGATACGGCAAAATCAAAACGGCAGCACTGTTACCACGCAATGTCAGCTCTTCATATGGACACTACATTCACTTTATTAATCTCAACACATTTACTCTATAAGCTCTAGAAATCTATGTAGTATCAAACTATCAATCAATCAACAATGTAAACACGTCCTTCGTAAGGAGACAATGAATCCTCAACAAGATCAGCTTTGTCGACATTGGTATTGATCAACTTGAAGTCGCCATCAATCAACTTGCTAAACTTGGCCGAATCTTTAGAAAAGTTGAGGACAACATAAGCCTTTGGGTAGTCTGAGTTTGGCAAACTCTTGACATAGGTAAACACTTGCTCGTTGTCAAAGTCCAAAATCTTGAACGA